ATACTGGGCCACCCTACTTGTAATATCAATTCCACAACGTCTTGTCTTTACGGACTCCACGCGCATTACTCACCAACATACCTCCAGCAGGTAACTACTATGTCTCGTGTAACCACGCCAAAATCACACAAACGGAATCAACCACAGGACCACCAATCTGAACTCCCACCCAAACCTCCCTACCACCCACAACTCGCTCATCCCCATCCCCAGTAACCGGTTGACAACAGCCTCAAGCTTATTTCTTGAGGTGGATGTAGTTGAAGGTGCCCTTGGAAACGGTGCGCTTGCCATAGCCCTCGCGCTTGGCCCAGTTGTACTCCTCGATGGTGACCTGGTTGCCGTTGACGGCGGTGACCCAGGCGACGTGGCCGTAGTTGCCGGCGTTGGACTGGGCGATGGCGCCAGGCTTGGGGGTGCTGTTGACGGTGACGCCGGTGCGCTTGGCCGCATCGTCCCAGGTGTTGGCGTTGCCCCAGTTGGTGCCCTTGTACTGGTTGTGGAACTTGATGCCGAGGCGCTTGTTGATGCGCCACGCGACGAAGGAAGTGCACTCTGATGGGGGGGGTCAGCGAGAGGTCAAATAAAATAGATGGGTAAGAGTTTGGAGGAACTTACGGCACTTGTAGTAGTTCCAGGGGTCAACACCGCCGCAGCTGGACTTGTACGGGTAGTCGTTGGTGACGGGGCCGGGGACGCTGCCGCCACCGCCACCGCCGCCACCGGAGCTGCACTTCTTGGTCACGTAGCCGTTGGTACCAGTCTTGACGTAGTAGTCGGCGACGTAGCAGCCATCCTGGGTCTTATCCCAGATGTTGTTGCCGTTGACCGAAGTGCCCGAGGTCTGGCAGCTGATCTTCACATCGGCGCCCTTCGCATACGACTTCTTGACGGCGTAGCTGGTGCCGGGGCCGGAGCGGCAGTTGACGACGCTGCCGGTAATGGGGTAGGCGGCGGTGACGGTGAAGGCCACGGCCTCGAAGAGAGCGGCGAAGAGAGCGAGCTTCATGGTGACTGAATGGTTGTCGAAATGACTGAAAAGGAGACCAAAGATGGTGAAGAGAATTAAAGGTTGAAGGCTGAAGTGAAGGTGTTGGAAGTGTGTGAGTGATGATGAATTGAGAGTCGATCACTCGGGGATTTGGCCGCTTCTTTATACCAGCTGTATGTTGATTCTTCTCGAGAATGAAGGTTTATCGTCGGCCTCAAAGTTCAGCTCCCCAAGATACTGCGCCCGATCACAGGCAAAAATCAGCACGGCCTATTCCCGGGGGTGGGTGGTGTTGAAAGTAAGACGGGCTAACGCGGACCCCTTCCGTTATTTGCGGAACCTGCAGTCGGGAAATTGCAGCTGGGGCATACTGGGGACTCCTTTATGCCAAGCCACCGTCATGACGGCCAGATTCGCCTGTCAGGAACAAAAAGCGGGTGTGGCCGCCCTACGTGACCCCCCTGCCCCCAGCCCCAGCTAGTGTAACGCTGAGGGCTGGTTGACCCGCGCTCTGTTGTCACCTATTTTAGCTGGCATGCTTGACCTGAAGGCCAAGCCTCAATCAGTTGACAAGAAGGGTGGTTGCCAGGCCAGTCTGTCAGCCGCCTTACACGCTCCACTGACATGGAAGTGAGAACCCTCCGATTCAGATCTCTTCTTACATGTCTTACTTGGCTGTATCTTGCAGTTTGATTTTGGATCAAGATACCGAGGCAGACCGAGATCCATACTTAGCACAACAAGGATGAGCGAAACGATCTCATGCAAAACATGCAAAACACAATCGGACGATCTGGTTGACTTATCGGGCATCTGGGAGCAATGATCTTCGATGGCTGCTGCCGTCTGGCCGGTGACCTCTGACTTGCCTCGGCTAGTTAAGTCGAGGAATTCCAACTTTCCGAGTTGATCCCAACTGCAGGTCCTTGAGATCAACAAACCCCGACAATCACCGGCAGATCAGAGGTTACAACGATATGCAAGCAGGCCAAAGACCTCACGCGGTTTCGTCGGTGAACCTTTGTGTTAGACAGCTTCCGTTTCTGGTTCAGAGCACATCAAGCGAGACTCAATAGTTCGGTTCGCCGGCCAAGCGGTTGGGGTAAAGAAGTAACCGAGAAGGTGTTGAGAAACAATAAGCCGAGAAATTGAGGCCTCTGAGGTGGTTGTTCCTCGGAAGACTCGGTTGTCTGTTGATACCCGGTCGACTTACCGTTGCGGCCCATCAGTGTTGACTTTGGACTTGGGGGGCTGGACTTATGCGCCTGTTCCCCGTCTGATAATTCTGATCAGACACGGGCATTCCAATGCCAATGCTCGTCAGCAACGACGAGTGCGGACGCCATGGATTCAATAGATCTCACGATAGCCTCATGCTTCTCGGAGTTGAAGTAAAAGATGTGCCGTGCTCACTATCTCGATATTCCCGTGCCGCGGCGGTGTGGTGGAGCTGAGCACCTTGGTAACCAACGGTTACATTGGGCCGCTCCTCGCATGATCACTGGCGAATAATCCCCCCGGGTTTAACCACGTCCGAGGGCAACGAGCAAGATGACTTCGCTTGTGATGCCGTCTCCAAACTCTCAACAAATTCAAACATGCTGGTGGACCGAAGTACCCGACCGATGACCATGCGTTTTTGGTGTTCTCGAATCCGCGTCTGTCCGGATCTGATGCGAGAAACGAGATTCAGGGTAGCATCAGTCCGCCGTTCTGTTGTGTGGGGGATAGGGGGGGCCCGGTGTCTGGTTCCGGAAGGAGGAAATCTGATGCAACGCTGATGACCCGTCTGATTCGCCAAAATAAATCTATTTCAAGTCTTCTGTCTCCACTCTCCTGACGATTTTCACCCGTTTGGGCAACCAGCCTGCACAATCGCTGCCAGTGCCGGCCGCAGCACGCACCACCCTCCAATCTCTCGAGCCCTGGTTCGTCAAGGGGTTCAGATCCAAGCACCAGCACCCCAAGCACACCCCAACCACCACTCCCAGAACAGAATCTCCCTTGTTACTACGTAGTAGGAAATGCTTGGAACTTCGCTCTTGTCCGTCAAAGTGTCTTGGGCCGAGGCACCCCACAAAAAGAATCGATCAACATTCCAAGTCCCACCCAGAATGCAACTCTAAGCTGCCCTACAGCCAGTAAGACGCCCCACTGCCGGCATCAGAAATGGATCGTCCCGAGTCTTGTCCCCAGAAACCAGCACTGACCAGGGATTGCTCGCGTCGTCGACCCCTGAACCGTGTCGCTTGCAGTGGATGGAGAAGACAGACCTCCAAGAATAACATCGCGAGTCTCTACACTAGGTAGGTAAGACGGCCTGCCATAGTCCCGAAGGGTCCAACACCGACGATCACGACGCCGACAATTTGTATATAGAGGCCGGGTCGTCGACGAGAAGATCCAGACCAACAACTCACTCTCACACATCACCAACACTTCTACAACATCCTCTTCCATTCTCCCTAGGCAATTCTAATAAGCCCGCTTTTTCTTCACTCCTTGAAATCAACATCTTTCTTCAACCATCAAAATGAAGTTCCTCGTCTTCGCCACTCTCGCCGCCTCGGCCATCGCCTACCCCATCACCGGCAGCGTTGTCAACTGCCGCTCCGGCCCGGGCACCAGCTACGCCGTTAAGAAGTCGTACAACAAGGGCGCCGACGTCACGATCAGCTGCCAGACCACCGGCACCTCTGTGAACGGCAACAGCATCTGGGATAAGACCCAGGATGGCTGCTACGTTGCCGACTACTACGTCAAGACTGGCACCAACGGCTATGTCACCAAGAAGTGCGGTGGCACCTCGACCTGCGCTGCGCCCAAGTCCAACTCGGCCACTGTCGACCTGATCGCCAAGTCTGAGGGCTTCCGTGCCAACGTCTGTATGTGGATATCTCTGGGTCCTTTACTTCCGCAAGATAGCTAACTCCCCAATCCAGACAACGACCCTGCGGGCCACCCCACCGTCGGCTATGGCCATCTCTGCACCAAGGCCAAGTGCGCCGAGATCAAGTACAAGATCCCGCTGTCCACCACCGACGGCAAGAAGCTGCTGGCCGATGACATGAAGGTATGTGCTTTTTCACCCGCACAATCCACCCCTCTTACAACCACCACTCACCAAAAGACACACCCCCACTAACCACCCTCTCCCCTCAAACAGAAATTCGAAAAGTGCATCACGGCCATGCTCAACAGCAAGGCCAAGCTCAACCTCAACCAGTACGGCGCGCTGGTCAGCTGGTCCTTCAACGTCGGCTGCGGCGCCGCCCAGGGCTCGCAGCTCGTCAAGCGTCTCAACAAGGGCGAGAACGTCAACACCGTCCTCAGCAACGAGCTCCCCAAGTGGGTCAACGCCGGCGGCAAGAAGCTGCCCGGCCTCGTCACCCGCCGCAACAACGAGATCGCCCTGGCCAAGAAGTCCGGCTCGGGCGCCGCTCTGCCGGTCAAGTGCTAAGTGCGCAATTGGGGATCGTGGATATGGGGGTGGGATGCGGATGATAATGTTATGATGGGTGCTGGGTTGGGCGCTGGAGGGGTTTCTGCTGGGGTGGGCGGTTGGTTGGGGAGGGGGGGTTGGTGGATGGTGAGGAATACTTCTTTGTTCGCTTCTGTATAAAGTTTTTGGGGGGTCAGTGTGTATAGAAGGGGTTTTAGTTGACTTTTGCTTTTGCTTTTGCGTTCAGTACACAGCCCGAATTTACGCTCTCAACCCGGGACTCCTTGTCATCACTTTGGAGTGAAACAACCCTTGCAAAAAGGAGAGTCAAGAGCTCTGCCACTCTCAAACAGCAGTCCGCTCCAACCGGGACTCACTCCATGTCCTCACCCAGCAGCTGCCCTCAAGTCCGCCAAGTACAACTCCCGCAAGGCCGTAAAGTCTTCCACAAACCGTATCCGCTCTGTAAGAAAACCCGTCAGCCGAGGCCAATTTGTAAGTTAATTAGGTGCCCAACAGAAGCAAGCCAAAAGGCCACCCCCTGGGACATAAACAAAACAGAAGTAAAAAGAACAAAAGAAACAGCAACCCCCGTGCACTTACCCTCAACCCCCCCCAAACCCCAGCACCACCTTCTTCACCCTCGCCACCCGCACCATCCCCCCCACCCCTCCCTCCCCCTCCCCCTCCCCCTTCCCTTTCCCTCCCCGCCCCTGCCCCAGTCCCAGACCCTGATACCGCCCCGCCGCCGCCAGATTCCACGCCCCGACCGTCCTCTGCGCCGTGACGCCCGACGCCCCCCCCCACGCCTGCAGCACCACCTTTTTGCAGCGCTGATGCTGCTGGTGCTGCTGCTGTGGAAGGCTGTCTAGGCGTGTTCCGGGCTCTGGTTCGGGCTCGAGGCTGGGATGCCTCGGCTGGGGTGGGGGCGGGAATGGTGTGTTGTTGTGGTGGTGGTGGTGGTGGAACATGTCTTCTTGCTGGCAGTCGCAGCGGGTAGGGTCGATGCGGATGTGTTGGTCGACTTTTGCGAAGCGTTGGGTTAGTACTTGGTGCGGAGGGGGTCGGTTTATAGCTAGATAGCTTGGGGCTCATTAAAAGTGTGTTTGGAGGAGCTTACTATCGATCACGAGCAACGAAGGCGCTGGCTTTGTGGTAGCTTTTATGGGTGTCTCTACGGGGAGGAAGATCACCAGCCGAGCAGGGTCTGGCTGGTCGAGGATGCAGCCCATGTTTCCGCGCTTGTCGACCTGGATCAAATTTGTTGGGCGCTTGGTGATTCCGCCCATTGACGAATTAGATGAGCGGGATGTGGATGAGGTGATGGTGGAGGTGCGGGTTAGTGAAGGGGTGCTTTGCGGTAGCGGGCCTCGGACCGGCTGCTGTTCGGGGAGGGCGCTCCTGTCTGACGAGCTACGCGTCCGCTGGAGCGAGAGGCTGAGGCGCGAAAAGGAACCGAGTGGGCCCAAGACCGGTACATAAGGGGAAACAATACGCGGTTCAACGGTCCGGCGGGCTTTTTTGGGGCGCTCTAATTCCCGGAATTCCTCTGGTAGCTGGGATCCTGCCGACGGCCGGGACGAGGACCAGAGCTGAACTCGGCCAGTGTCACTTTTTCGCTCGCCTCCAAGCACTAGGCCCGCGTGCTGCCGTGTCACGACTGTGTTGGGGCTAGGGTAACAAGTTAGCGGCCGTGGTCCAAACATGAAGCGGGTCACGGTGATACTGACTAGTCGTCGACCACCTTGTATCCCGTCAGCAATCCCTGAAATTCAAAAACATCTACCCGAGTGTTAGTTGGCGGGCAACATTGGAGATGTTTCTAATATGTTGCCGGATACCTTCTTCGCTCTGGAACGCCAACTTAAACCCGTCCTGACTGCGACTCTTGGTGGTGCTCAAGATAATCGAGTAGGGCCCCCCATTTGGACTGGCTGTTTCGATGGCTGGGGTGAGATGTACGCATCTCAAGTCTACTTGGTGTCTGAAACTGTCAGTCGTGACGACTATTACACGGCACCCGCCCGTAACTTACACCCGGTCTGCACGGCCAGGACCGCAGGTGATGATGGTGAGATGCTCTTGATCCTCTTCTTCTCGGTATATCTGTATTGATCTCTCGGTTGCCGCGTTCGCACTCCGCAGGCGACTCATGGATTATCCGCCTTAGCGATGCCAGTCTCGGAAGACGCTTGGTTCACTTACCAGGTTGCTACTCTCTCTCCACGCCTCGGGTCGTCGTCTTCTTCCTGTAGAGGCTTCCACTGCTCGTATTCTTGCCAAGCGTTGTTGTCTTGTTTGATAATTTCCAGCAGCCTCGTCGATGAGGGGGTGTCGCCGTCGGCTGATCGAGCCAACTGAGTATGGACTTGGACAATTTTCTGATTCATCTCGTCAAACCTGCACTTTAATCGTGGTTTTCGGATTGTGGGATTTACCTCCTCGAGTTTGTCGAAGAACCGACGTGCTGTCATGCCTAACCGAGGAAGGTCTTGCTCGAGCTGGGAGATCGATAACGTGCTGGAAGCCTCCCGGTACTCATCGCTCGCTTTCGTAGCTTGAAGAAGCCAGTACGCTCTGTAAATATTCGCCCATTTGAATGCCTGACCCCGTTGTGCTGACTGCCTCCGTACATGCCATTGAGTTGCCCTATCCAAGTAGAAGACGACTTCGTCCACCCCCTGGCACATTGGAATGTTAGTAAGTTTACCATACCTTGCCGTCGTGATGAATTCCAGAAATTCCTGCAGCGGTTGCGGGACATGGAGACGTGGTGGGGGTTCCGTTGACGGGGGCTCTCCGAGAACTTTCGAGATTCGAGAATCCATCAAGTCGAGTCTACCGAGGACCAGGCTGGTCAAGCCCACCATCAGATCGGTCTGACCAACTCTTGACTCACTGTGGTTGGAGTCAGGATGGTATCCACTACACAATATTCGGGCCGTGGCATACGTACATCTCAAGTGATTGCAGCGCCAGGGATAACTTCGAGTGGAGCACCGCAATGCGGTCTCGAAGCATGTCAACCTCATCCTTGACCAACAGAAACCACTGGATATTGAATAACGGCCCTTGCTGGAGACCATAGCGTGCTCGGCTCTCGAGAAGTTGTCGACAGGCGTCAAGGGTTTCTTTGAAGTTGTCGAAGATTTGGTTCAGCTGGCCTCTTGGAGCTAGCCGAGCTCCCGTTCTAGTTGTGTTGATTTGGATGGTCAGCTGGAGACTCTCTAGTTGTTTTGTGAGACCCTCGATGTCGTGTTTAAATTCGAGATATTGCTGGTCTAACATGAGCAGGTCAGTGGATATCGTCACCACCGGATGTTGAGGACTGCCCTACGCGCATTATGAACGTTGCTCCAGCCAATATTAATCACCTTGTACGCAAGTTCAAGGGCGCCATGTATCTCTCCGAGTTCAAATGGAAGGAACATCCTTTAGCTGGTTCGCGGCAGCTCACCCGCACTGGTAGTAGACCGACGCTGAGAGGGGCCGCCGGGGCGGCCCTAGAGGCGAGACCCAGTGATTGTTGAGGCGCGGTCAAGTAAGGTGTGGAAAGGGCACGATTGGGACCGTGGTGCTATAGCCGATCAGATATTGGATAGAACAAGGAGAAGATGAGCTCCTATCCAACGGCGACGTTCTGATGAAAAGAACCTGGGGAGGGGCGGCGACCTTGACCCCTGCCAGTTGCTCAGCCAAGCGAATTTTCATCTCATGGCGTGCCATGTGATTCAGAACGTACTAGTCTTCTTCCTTGGGGCTGCGGTGCGAGGCAGAATTCAGGGAGGGAAGTGAAATCTATCTTCCTGATTGGCGAAGATAACATGGTGGCTTGAAAACAAACCAGAAGTTAGCTTGGGCATTGCAAGTGAGGCTTGCATACTTAGCCAATTGCCAGAAAATGAGCTGCAGCCACATCTTTAGCGTCCTGAGAGGTGCTGGTGGGGTTCTTCCGTGACTGAAGAGCTGAACACCCCTTTGGGAGTTGTGAGAGGGGGTGGTGGAGGCTGTGTTATCCCCCCGGACGCCTATGGGTTTGGGTCAAATATCTCTCCATCTCTGATGGCTCCAAAAACACTCAACATCTGTTTGCCGTGGGGCCCCACGAGGATTCATCATGGACCAAGACCAACTCTCCGTGACCAGCGACGCCGAGCCGGGAGATATACCAGCACCAGCCACTGGTAGCGTGGTCAGATGGCGCCGGGGACTCGACCCTCGAGATGTCGACCGTCTAAATCAAGCAAGGGAGGACGACACCGCCATCGTTGAGGAAATTCCAGTGGACAGAGCTGGCCTCGGGGCATTCTCGGTTGCGTGTCTTGTGTTTAACCGGTTGATAGGCTCCGGAATCTTTAACAGCGGCTCAGTGATCTTCTACAACACACAGAGCATTGGGGCTTCGCTCTTGATCTGGCTTTACGGCGTGGTAGTGGCGCTGTCCGGTGTCGTCTTGTACATCGAGCTTGGATTGACCGTTCCGAGGTGGCAGTTGAGAGACGGCACCAAGATCTCAACACCGCGAAGCGGCGCGGAACTTGTCTACGTAAATATTACTGAAATTAGTTCTAGCACAGAGGCTAACCACTTACATAGTTCAACTACTTCCTCAAGGTTCCCAAATACCTAGCAACGTGCGTATTCGGGGTCTCCTTCTTGGTGTTTGGTAACACAGCGACGAACTCGGTTGCTTTTGCCGTGGCAGCGCTTCAAGCAGCCGGGGTAACAACGACGGCAAACAAGATCGTGGGCATTGCTATTGCTGCCAACACCTTCTCGTGTCTTTTGCACAGCATGTCTCGGAAATGGGGCATTCGACTGAATAACCTTCTGGGGTCTCTTAAATTGCTGCTGTTGGTCGTGATGATCATCTTTGGTCTCGCATTTTTGGACAGAAACGTCTCAGACGCCAACTTTAGCAGCAAAACGGCTTTTTCCAAGACCCCTCAGACTCCGTCTGGCGTATATCGCTACGCTGAAGCTTTGATCTACGTCATCTTCCCGTTTGGTGGATTCCACCAGGCGAACTATGTGAGCAGATTTCCCTATGTGACCAAAGATGCTCTTTCTCACCCGAATGGACAGGTCCTCGCCGAAATCAAGAACCCTCGAAAGAACTTCGCGTGGATATCGGGCCTCAGCGTCGGCTTGCTATGCGTATTATTCGTGATTGTCAACGTGCTTTATGTCAGTTCCCCAAGCCCTTAATTGAGAGATCGTGGACTCACTGGATGACAGGCTGCCATTATTCCCAAGGAGGTGCTATTTCAGCCCGGCCAAGATGTCGCCCTTGAGTTCTTTCTGCGCACCATCGGCCGTGCCTCCTCCGACCCCAGACGCGTCCAGGCCGCCTGCGGTGCCCTTAGAGCGCTCTCGGCAATCGGCAACGTGATCGTCTTCACGTTCACGGCGGCCCGCGTCAAGCAAGAAGTAGCCAAGGAGGGCATCTTTCCTTTCTCGCTGTATTTTGCCTCAAGTTACGAGTTCTCTCTTCGCCACGGCTTTCGACGCCTGCCCGCCCACAAGGCCGGCCACCACCTGTACACGCAAAAAGCCCCTGCCGCCGCTGTCGCCTTGCATTGGACCATCACAACTATCCTCATACTGGCTGCTGTGCTGGGGACGGCGGCAGCGGAGACAGCGACGGATGGCATCTTCAGCCATCTCCCGGGGTATTCCCTCCTGATGATGGCCTACGTGTACGGTCTCGATATCGTCTGGTTCACCGTCATCGGTGTGGCCATGCTGTGGCTGCGCCTTTGGCCAGGGAGCAATTGGCGATACAAATCACCCATCCCCCACTCGCTCGGGGTGGCCGCAGCGGTGGTGTTTACGACAACCAATGTGTTCCCACTGGTTGCCATCTGGGTACCGGATCCGTTGCAGCCGTTCATGGCGCGATCAAATGGGAAGGTGCCGTGGTTTGCGAGCCAGACGATGACCCTAGCGATTTTGGGGGCGGCAGGGGTCTACTGGCTTGGATTCCGGTTCTATCTCTGGCACCGGCGGACAAGGCATGCCGAGGTGTTGAAGGTGACACGGATCCCGGTGTTCAAGGGGAGCCAGGGCGGGCAGGGTGGCTTGGTGCTATTGTATGAGATTATTCGGTTGCAGTGGAAGGACTGGGTTCCGGAGGAGGACATGCAAATGAAACAGCCCGGAAGCGCCGAGAGTGGACCTTGAGGGGAGCCAGAGGAGCGGAGGGCCTCTTGGGTCTGGACTTTGTGAGATAGGGTCAGCTGTGAGTTGAATGGGAGAATTGCCGCCGTAGGTGGTAGCGTATTGGGACCGTTTTCGGCTTGGAGTTCTCACAATGATGCGTCATGATATATGAAGTTCGCGCTTGTATTCGAGATAGGCAGTAAAGCTGATAATTCCAACTCTGTTTGGACACGGTGTTTTAAGTAGCCTCTTGTTGATTGGGCTCCTTGCTGAACGTCCATGCTCCAAAGTGAAACCTCATATTTGGTGGGAAAAGGATAGAGTTGTACGGATAATGACAAAACAAGCTCTTTAGAATATGCCAGGCAGTAGAAGTGCCGCGTCTTAGGTGCGTGGATTCGTGATTCCATGTTGGCCCATCACCCTCTTGCCAAACAATAAAAGCTGAACTCGAAAAGAAGTAAAAGAAAGCAAGGAAAGAGAAAGGAACAAAAGAAACCAATGGAAGAAAATGAAGAAGGAAAATCGAGCAAAATAACGCAAATAAAAGAAACCTAATGAAATACAGAGCACATCTTGGGCTTCCGAGTGGCCTTAGAGTACCTATCCAATACATGGGGATGAATGAAAGGGTGGTTGGCAGCCTTGACTCGACCCAATAAAATCCAGTTTCAGATCCTGTTGGTTGTTCGGATGGCAGGTATGGAGGGAGGTTGTAGGCCTCAAGCGGGGTTGCCCATTGCCTGCCCCGACGCAGCCACCAGCTCTTTTCAAGAATATATTCCAGGCTCCTCCCAATCAAGCCGGAACCGCGATATTGTTCAAATTTCACCCTCCGTAAACCACGAGCTCAATTAAACCACAGCAGTACCCTTTCCTTCTTTCGTTCGCCCGCGCAAATAACAAAAGACCCAGCCATTGGAAGCAACTTGCGAAGTCAACGGTCCCTTCACCTGATTCCGACTTCACGATTCATGGCGGTGAGGATGGCGTTGCTATTCCTTCTCTACGGATTGGTATATCATGACTCGTCTCCTCGCCTTTTTCTGAGCTCGCTTCTAATCTGACCGATTCTAGGTAATCCTCGCCCTCGTGGGCGTCGCGATGTAGGCATCCCACCCTCCCGTCTCCCACCCCGAGACTAACACAGTCCCAGCTACGAACACATCACCATCTCGACCCTCTCCCTGCCCGTCTCGCCCGCCCTCACCATCCTCACGATTCTCCTTCCACTCCTCTCCCCTTTCACAACCCTCCTCGCACCCAACCTCTTCAAACCGCCTCGCCACAAAACCAACAACAACAACAACCCCCGCAACCGCCACACCCTCACCACCCCCCACAAAACCACCCCCACCACCACCACGCTCACCACCCTCGCCCACCTCCTCCAACTCCTCCTCACCACCATCCTCACCACCCTGCACACATCCCACCTCACCTCCCCGACCACCACATCCTGCCTCCTCTCCCAGCGCTGGCGCGCGCTCTTCCAGGCGCACGACGCGCGCGCCGTGCGCGCCATCCAGGACGCCCTCGCCTGCTGCGGCTTCCGCTCCGTGCGCGACATGGCCTGGCCGTTCCCGCCGGCGGACCGCGACGCGTGCAAGACGCAGTTTGGCAGGACGGAGGCGTGTTTGCCGGCGTGGGAGGGGGTGTTGAGGGAGAAGGTGGGGGCGCAGTTGGGGGTGGTGCTTTGTGTGGGGATGTTGCAGGTGGTGGGGGTTTATTTGGCGAGGAGGGGGGGTTCGGGTTCGTTTTCGTTTGCTGCTTCTTCTTCTTCTGCGGCGGCGGGGGAGAGGGGTGGGTGGATGGCGGGGTTGGAGAGGTTGGTTGGGGGGAGGGGCGGTGATGGTGAGAGGGAGGGGGTGTTGAGGCCGGGAGTACGGAGGCCGTTGTTAGCTGGGCCGGAGGGGGATGGACAGGGAATGGTGGGGAGGGTGGTGGAGACGGGGTACCAGGATGATGTGGACGAGGAGGAGGCAGAGGAAGGAGAGAGGGATGATGAGGAGGCTGGTCCGCGGAGAGAAGGAACCGGGTATGGTGCGGCTCGTGAAGGCCCAAGGGTTGAACCGGCGCATCATGACCCTTGGGCCGGTGTCCAGCGGGGTTGAAAGATTGGAGCAGCAAGGGGAGGATGCGACGAAGAGAGTTGCCGGGAGGGTCTATGGGGGGTGGGTATGGTAATCGGGAGATCACCAATCTATTGAACTGGGGCACCGGCTTAGTGCAGAGGAAAGGGACCAGTCATCTCTGGTCTGAACCGGGGTGGCAGAATATTTATTTTTCCGTCCACTGCGCTGGTGTTACTGTATATAAGCCCCCTGAGGGCGTGGTTTTTCTTTTCGGGAGGCAGGCAGGAGAGACACAGGCAGGAGAGACAACAGAGTCACAGTGTCTTGACGATATTCCCACAACGCAACGGAACCCAGATGAGTGCATGAGCGTAACTTGTAAGGCCGGCCCTCTCAACAGAGGGAGACCGTGGTCCGTTTTTGATTGAGATGCCAGACGTTGACGTATAGCCTTCTGGATCTATCTGTGCTTAGGTGCTGAGTTAGGTGTTAGATTGTGAGCTTCTGAGGCAGCAGTTTTGCCTCTCTATCTTCTCTCCTGTTCACTATTTAGGGGGTTGCTGGTCCGGCAGTGCGCATAGAGATTACAACGACGAATTCAAGTTCAAACGGAATTACGTCATATTTCACATCAACCAGGCCCCTCCCGTAATCAACCCCCGGTTTTCTCCCCTCCTTCCCAGCTGACTGATTACATGCGGGGCAGGGAAGCGACGAGACCGTCGGCGTAACCGGGTCCCTTTTTAGCCACACATCAAACTGTGTCCCGTACGTAGTTAGGTAACCATGACGGCAGGCACAGTCCGGCTGGGTACGGCCTCCCCTGGAACTCGGCCGACTACCGCTGAAACCCTAACCCAGCTTGAACACATCACCCGGCGCGCCGCCTCGAAGAAGATCGACATCCTCCTTCTCCCAGAAGCTTACATCGGAGGATATCCTCGTGGAACTCACTTTGGCTGCGTTATTGGAGCCCGATCTGAAGAGGGCCGCAATGAATACTTGCGCTACTTCCAAAGCGCTGTTGATCTGGGCGATACCGTAGGCGACGGAGCAGGTGCTGGAGCAGCCTGGGTCAACAGGGAACTGCCGAGTGATAGCGTACCAGGGCTGGATGGCGGAGAGGATGCGAGCAATATCTCTAACAAACGGGGTGATGGCACTCGTGAAGAGTTGGAACGGATTGCTCGCGAGACGAAGGTATTCATCGTCACCGGCCTGATCGAGAAGACGGGGGGAAGCATGTACTGCTCTGTCGTTTATGTATGTCCGAGGTTAGGTGTAATCGGCAAGCGGCGGAAGGTTATGCCAGTAAGCCCCCTTATATCGCGAGTACCTGTCATCGTGGCCTGCCCAGCTGACACCCTTAGACCGGGACCGAAAGACTCGTCTGGGCCCAGGGCTCGCCCGCCACTCTCCGTGCTGTCAGCACCATCATCCGCGGAGTCCGCATCAACCTCGCAGCCGCCATCTGTTGGGAAAACTACATGCCCCTGGTGCGGCAGGCCCTGTACGCGCAGAACATCAACCTCTACCTCGCACCAACCGCCGACGGCCGGGATTCATGGCTCTCCTTCTTGCGGACGGCAGCTATCGAAGGCCGCTGCTTCGTCCTGAGCTCCAACATGTGCGTCCGGAACACACCAACGCCAAACGGCCACGCTGCAATCTCCAGCAAATCGCAACAATCCGACGGCACCGGCGGCGCCAGCCAGGGCGACGCATCCCCTCCGGCCCGTGCAGGGACGCACCACCGCCGCAGCTCATGCGTAACCGAAGAAGGCTTCGAGATCGCGCTGCCCAGTCCCCCAGCCCCGCCCACCTCCTCCCACCCGCGAGCCAGACGCCAGTCGGTTCTCGACGACGACGGCAACGAGATCGTCCTTCACGCAAGCGACGACAGCCCCAAGCCAATCACAACCACGACCACCACAACCACCACCAGCCCGGCAGCACCCCTCACCAAACCAGCCCACCCCTCCCCCACCCCAACATTCACCTCCCGCGGCGGCTCCTCCATCGTGTCCCCCTTCGGCGAGGTGCTCGCCGGTCCGCAGTGGGAAGACGACGCCGGGCTGATCTATGCGGACGTGGATTTTGCCGACTGCATCCGGGGCCGGCTGGACCTGGACACGGCGGGCAGCTACTCGCGCAACGATTCGTTCAAGTTTTCGGTGCAGGGGTTGGATTTGGCGCCGCTTCCATATTCTTGAGGGGCATATATGGCGAGCGTGTGTTGTGGGCGGGTGAGTGAGTGGTGTGAGGGTTTGGGGTTGTGCTTTCTTCCTTGTCTAGGTTGTGGGGTTCTGTTCTGCGTGTGCCGTTTGGGTTTGACGATCACCGCCGTGGGGGTTGAGATCAGACAGGTTGCAGGGAGAAACGCAGGTGGGGGGCAGAGGTTATATTCGTTGTATCGCAGAGAATTTCTCCTCTCTGCACCGCCCTGTGTGGTACGTAGGTAATGACTGGAAAAGAAAAACAGATTGTGTACGCCTAGGTAAGCTCGACGGGAGCACGAGCTGAAGTCGCTGCCGCCATGTGGAACCCATTGAACACCATGCCAACCCGACCATTGAGAGCCGTCCCCCAGTCATGGCTGGTTTACCGAGAACACCATAAGAAAAGCCCGTCCGACATAAAACCCTACCCTGATCCACCGTAAATCCCGACCCAAAACCGTATCCCATTCATTAATCCATACCAAACAGCCAGACCACAATCGTGCCTTGTTAGTTCTTCTCCTTCTCCGCCTCCACCTTCTCCTGTTCAAGCTCCTTCTCCTCTTCAACCCCTTCTCTCGGGCTCGCCAACGGACTCGTCCCCGAAGGCGGCACGGCCAGTCCGCCACCAATACTCCCCGCCACGCTATCCGCCCGCCCGTGGCCAAACAGCCCGCTCCGCACGCTCGCCCCGTCCCCGCTCCCATAGCCCTGCTTCGCGTAGAAGCTATTCCGCTCGCTGGCCGCAGTAGTCCCCAGGATCCCCGTAGCAGAGTAGATGCTCGTCCGCTCGTTCGCCCCGATCCCGCCCATGCCAGAGCTCGCGCCGCGGTGCAGGCCCGGTGTTGTCGGGCCGCCGACTGTCCCATCCATGGTGGCGGAGAGCACGCTGAGCGGGAGCGACTCTCGGCTGCCTCCCCAAAGGGAGGAGGGGGCCAACGCGCGTACCGAAGCGTCCGTGTCGAAAGAGCGGCGGCGGCGGCGCTTGGAGGAGGACGCGAGGGTGAGGATGGACGCATTGTCTGTGAGGAGATTGTTGGCCGTTGCGGTGTGATAAGTGGCTGGGCTGGAGGCGCCGGTGGTACCGCTGGCTAGGTGGGCTGGGATTGCGGATGCCGGAGAACCGGTTGGGAAGGGTTGGTTGAAATGGATTACTTGCGAGTTGGAATTGTGGGAGTGTTGGTTCGTGGTTGTTTGGTTATTGTTGCCGGTAGCTGGGGCGACTGTTTGTATTGTCGTAAGTGTCGTTGTGAGAGATCGAACGGACGGTGCGGGGGAAGAGAAGGTGCTGTCACCGCCTCTCCGGCCGTTCGCTGTTCTGCTTGTGCCTGCCACTGACGTATCACCGTGAGCAGGCGCGATTATCGGAGCGGCATGTCCCTTGTTCGGTTCGATATACGTCGGCGCCATCGAGCGGCCGCCTGTTGTTGGAGGCGGTTGACCGTCATGTGACAGCTGTACGGAATCGGCTCGGTCGAGAGATGTAACGCTTGTCAACCTCCGGCTTGGCCCTGAGGATACCGAGTAGTGGCTATGATGCGGGGAACTGGCGATGGCGATGCGGCCCGACTGTGGGTATGGGTTGTTCAGAGGCTTTTTGGTACCGTGTCGTTTCGAGTTGGAATGTCGGCCTCCGTCGCTCGAAGACGTCGCTTTCAAGTTCGCCAACTTCTTCATCAAAGCGGAAAAGGGCCGTCGACGGCCCAGCCGACCCGGCTGGTCTAACACATTGTTAGCATTCTTGCTCATGTCGGTAGAAGTCGCATGGCGTTGGGACGGCGAAGCTGGTAAGCGACCACGGGAAGGCTGATAAAAACACATAAGAGTGTTTGAAAATCAAGGGTCTTTTCGAAAAGTCCGGATGCAAAAACAAGAGAAAACAAGAAATGTTATGAGAGGAAGGTGGTGAGGCGGGGTGGAAGACGTACCATGCGGCTGGGCTGCAGTTTCGGCCATGGCCATTGATGCCCACTGCAGTGGGAAACGACGCCCCTCAAAGCCAGAATGTCAAAGATGTCCGTTGATGGCGGTGGCAGGGGACAAAGTGGTGTCGTGCGTTTGGCGTAATGGGAGTTTTGCGCAAGAGGGGGAGGTCAGGTCGGGTTCGTGACTGTCCAGAGGACAGGGTGTAACCAAGGATAGGAGGGCGATTGCTGCCTTGTCGTCGTCGGGTTTGGGACGAGCGCCGACAGCCGTACGTCAATGCGCTCGATAAGTCGAGGCGACTCCGTCTAGAAGATAAAGGCGAGGTCGCTTGTGGGGGGTTTTGAGGGCGACACACAAAACAATTGCCGCGCAAAGAATGTTGGTGATTACTGGTCTCAGGCGGTGGTCGTCGGTGGGTTGAAATGCGGCCCATGCAAGTTTGAACGTCTCGCCCAGTCGTGGCAAGCCAAGCTGCGCCGAGACGACGGAGGTTGGCTGGTTCGGCTGGCTGGAACCAGTGACCCCTGGCAACCTTCACGTGTTAAGAAATACGGGTCCACCCACTGCCACTGCCCGCCCCACTGGTGTCGATCTCGGCCGGCCCTTTCACCGAGAAGCTGGACCAGCCATTTTTGACTTTTTGAGAATGAGACAAGCATTCGCCATTGCGTCAGGTCCACACATCAACGAACCAAACTCCGGAAATCATCGGGTTTTGCGGTGACCGGTGATCTAGATCTCCTTTTGCTTCGAATCCGACGACTTATTTGCACAGGCTGCATCCAGCCCGCCTTTTGTTTTCATGCGCCGAGCTTTTGTTTTGTTACCTTGATTTGCGTGGCCGCCTTCGTGGCCAAACCTTGCTTCAGGAGTTGCATTGGGCCATGATGCATTCCGCCATTTGGGGGGCTCATTAACGACTTGCTAACGCACATCCGGCATACGGCCGAAATGCCGATGTTGTCAACACCATGCTCATACAACCGCTTCCCAGGGATGTGGTTGCACAGATCAAGTCTTCGACCGTCATCACATCGTTGAATGGTGCGGTGTATGGTTTGCTCCAGAACTCGCTCGACTCAGGAGCTTCCAAAATCAACATCTCCCTCGACTACAGCCGTGGAAACTGCACCGTGGAAGATGATGGCTGTGGCATTGCCCCGTCTAGCTTTCAGGAAGATGGGGGGTTGGGCCGGCTCCACCGTGAGTGTGCTTAAAAATGCTGAGTACCATGATGGGACTGTAGTTGACACTGATTTGTTGTAGATACCTCTAATTACCCCCCTCGACCTGAATGCCATGGAAGGCGTGGGGAATTCTTGTCCTCCCTGGCAGCCTTGTCTTTGCTATCCATCGCATCGCACCACCGCGATTACCGAACCCACAACTCGTTAACCGTCCATAACTCCAGGGTGATCTCACGCAATCTCCCCGCGCCGTTAGAGCAAAGGCTGCTGGCTTCTGGAAGTGGGACCCGCGTTAGCGTCCGCGACCTCTTTGGCGCCATGCCGGTTCGCGTCAAGCAGAGAGCTATTGAGGTGGAACGAGCGGGAACGTCTAAGGAATTCGACCAGCTCATCTTCAAGATCGTCTCTCTTATCCTAGCCTGGCCGGGGGAAACAACTATATCCGTCCAAGACTCGTGCGCTCACCGGACAGTCTCCCTCCAAGCGCCAGGCGAGGTGAGCTTAAGTCGAAGCTCTCGGCTTACGGCGCCGAGCATTCTCTCGCGGACAACAGCGCTTTTGACGGAGGCTTCTCTAGTAGATCACGAGGACGTCAAGTCGTGGGTCCCGATTGGGGCCACTGCATCTGGGATTTCCATCAGAGGATGTGTATCCCTCCAGCCAGCTGCTACCAAGCGTGTGCAGTTCATTGCTATCGGTATTCAACCGGTACTGAATGAGCATGGCGCAAATTTGCTTTACGACGATATAAACTGCGTCTTTGAAAATTCTAGCTTTGGTATGCTCGAAGAGGCTGCCACCCGTAAGGATGAACAGCCCTCTGAAGCCCAGAAGTTTACAAGCAAAGAGCTCAAGCCAAAAAAGGGCATCGACCGGTGGCCCATGTTTTTCCTTCAGATCATGCTAGACGCAGAAGCAAACTTGGTCGGTTTCGATGAGTTTGTCGACGAAAGGCGCCAGAACATTGCTCTGATTGCGGACCTCCTTCAAGTTATGGCGTACGAATTTCTAAGGAAACACCATTTTTGCCCGAAACCTACCGCCGCCATTGAGCGGCTCAAACCGTCGAAGCGTAACTCACCTGGCTTGACCTCAAAGGCTCCCATAGCCTTATCCGCCGGGTTCAATAATGGCCCAGTAGAACGAAGGACTGAACGATCCCACTTGGGCCACACTCCACGCAAACACATCGCACCGCGCTCAAAGAGCCGTCCCGCCAAAAACCAACTATCGTCACCGTTCATGTCTTGGTCCAAGACGAAACCTCATACGCAATACAAGTTGGGGTTAAAGACCTCAGGCTCTTCCACCGCTGTTCAAGAAACATCGGGAGCGGTTCAGGGGGTGGAGAATCCATTGTTTGACAAGTCCGGCGGTCTTATGCGGAGACCATTCGATGATCCGAACAACCCTACCACCGCACTTGGAAACGACCCATCCAAGAACCCGCCATCTGAACCACAGGTTGACGCCGGAATGGGAAGTGCAAGGAACACCGTTGTTTGGATCGATCCCACGACCAAAATCAAGTCACTCATTGACCCCCGCACAGGGTTTGCGGTCAAACCGCAAGTTGGGACGGCGAAAATAGTTAAGCCCGGACTCGCAAGCGCCCAGCAGCCGGGGGATACCTTTAGACTGCGCAAGTGGAAGCCTGCCGAGATTGGTGAACAGGAAACTATCATTCAAACGATGGAGCCGCAAATCCCCCAGGTTTTCCAAGGTTTTAACACCTTCCACTGTGGCCATGGCCGTGATAACTTTGAACCTCGAGGACTTGAAAGCCTCGCTGCCGCCGAGAATTCAAACGGGAATGTGCTGGCCACGCTCGAGGGGCGGATCTCGAAAGCATCGTTACAAGTAGCCGAGGTCGTGGCCCAGGTGGATAGCAAGTTCATCCTGACCAAAGTGGGAGCGGACATCCAGCCGGGTCCGCCAGGCGGCGCCTCGGAATCAGACCCCCTGCTTATCCTCATCGACCAACACGCCGCGGATGAGAGATGCAAAGTTGAGAACCTGCTAAAGGCTTACTTCGTTTCCAGCCCAGCGTCCACAGGCCAGTTAGTGGCCCAAACCCAAAATTTGGACAAACCACTTCGCTTTGACCTGTCTAAGCAGGATGGCGACCTTCTTGTCCGGTTTAAGAAGCATTTTGCACACTGGGGCGTTGTTTACGAAACTTTACACGAACGATCGCCCCACGTCACGGTCGAGGTTCAAAGCTTGCCGCCGAGTATTGTGGAAAGATGCCGTTTGGAACCCCGGCTGCTGATCGATTTGCTCCGGAAAGAGGTATGGAAGCTCCATGAGACAGGCAGCAGTGGGGCGAGGAAACAGGCGGACAAAAACCGCGACGATGACGACTGGGTGGCAAGGTTTCATGACTGCCCCAACGGTATCATGGAATTGATCAACTCCAGAGCCTGCAGAAGTAAGTCCCTGCGTCAAGTCAAGCGAACAACGTAAACTAACGGTCCTTAGGTGCGATCATGTTCAACGATCCGCTCACGACAGAACAAAGCTCAAAGCTCGTAGAACGGCTGGCAGCTTGTGCGTTTCCGTTTCAGTGCGCTCACGGCCGGCCTTCAATGGTTCCCATGGTGCACCTCGGCCGAAACAGTGCACTTGGGTTAGGAAGGATAGAGTCGGAAGGGAACGGGGACTTATGGCGTGCCTTGAAAAGGCTGAAGCGTAGCTCGGGAGACCAGGGTTAGAAATTATTAGATTGAGTATCGTTGACAGGTTCATGTGATACCCTAGGAGGACTAGAAGAATCAAGGATTAGATGGTTCCCTCCCCTTCGTGACATTGCAATATCAAGAAACTGTTTTGAGATTCAAGGGGTCAGCGGTAAGCCATTGAACGCGGCAGGGTTAGGGTCATGATTAAGCCAGGAACCACAGGGTGCACGGGCCATCCAGCCCACCAGAGCTCCAAGCCCGTCCAACCAGCAAGGTTCACGTTCCACCATCGTCGTCACTCGACTTCGGCGCACGCAGGCAGACCGAGCACGACTACTTGACATCGCGACACCGTCCGTAAACATCCCACAACCCGCCGTAGGTCCGGCGACAAAGATGCGACCATGGCGCTAACAGTTCGTCTCCTTTGTCCCCCTCTCACCCCCCACCCACCACCCACCAACCCAGCTAACCACCCCCAACCCCTCTACCAGTGGAGGTCCTTCGACTTCTTCGACGCCACCCAAATCAAGCTCCCCGACGACATCGCCAACACCACCACCGCACGCACGGCCACCACCACCACCACCACCACCACTACCACCACCACCGACCACAACAACAACAACAATAACCCCGACGCGGGCCGCAGCACACGCTCCTTCTTCGAGGGCAACGAGATCGCGGCCGTCTGCTCGGGCTCCGACAGCCTGATTCTCGGAAGCTACGACGGCGTCGTGCGCATCGTCGGCCCCAGCTGGACCGTCGTGCGCAGCTTTCGCGCGTATGACGCCCCCGCGACCGCCGCCACTACTGCTGCCCTGGGGGGCGGTGGGGGTGGGTTGGGGGCGCCGAGTATCACGCATATGCGCCAGGTGGAGGGGACGAGTCTGTTGGTTACTGTTGCGGTAGGTTTTTTTTGTTGTCTGGGGGGATTGTTGGGTGGATTGGGGGGCGTTGGGTTGTGGCTGACGTTTGTGTGTGGTGTTGTAGGAAGGGGGTGGGGAGAGTCAGCCTGTGTTGAAGGTCTGGGCGCTGGATAAGCCGGTGAAGAAGACGGGGATTCCGACGTGTCTGAGCACGGTAGTGGTTAATAATGGGAAGAAGCCGTTCCCGGTAGGTTTCGGTAGTCCTTGGAGTGCGATGGTGGTTTTGGCTGACGTGGAATTGCAGATATCGGCTTTCGCAGCGACGGAAGACTTGACACAGGTGGCGGTTGGGTTCGCGAACGGCGCCGTCACCGTCATCCGCGGTCGACCTTATCCATGACCTCGGTACGAAACAGCGCATCATCTACGAGTCGGATGAGCCGATAACCGGGGTGGAATTGCATGTCGAGGCCGGGTTAACGACGCTCTTTGTTGCCACGACAGCGCGGATCCTGAAATTGGTTCTCTCTGGAAAGGGGCATGGGCAACCGCCAAAAACGGTCGAGGATACAGGGTGCGGCGTGGGTTGCATGGCTGTGGACAAGAAGACGGGGAATATCGTTGTTGGGAGGGATGATGCAGTCTACTATTACACACTCGACGGCAGGGGGCCGCCAACGGCGTACGAAGCTCCGAAGAAGCTGATCTCGGTTTACCAAGATTACGTCGCCTTGGTGTCTCCGCCGACGCCAGCGGGAGAGGCGGACACGATACGGCGGCGGTTCTGGGGTCCTACGGCGGACAACATCTACACTTTCACGCTGATCCACCCCGACCTCAGGATCATTGCTCACAATGAGACCGTACTCTCCGACGTTAAGCATATCTTCCAGTTGTGGGGTGACCTCTACATGCTGACGCAGGATGGGAAGGTATGTTTAGTCTTCAGCTATCGAAAAACGTCACTAACCGGCATCAGGTATTCCGCTACCACGAAAAGTCCCTCCAGCAACGATTAGAGATGATGTACCAGCGTAACCTCTACACGCTGGCTGTCGAACTTGCGCAGAAGTGCGGCATGGATGGGCAACAACAGAACGTCATCTATCGCAAATACGGCGACTACCTCTACTCAAAAAGGCGACTACGATGGAGCCATGACCCAGTACATCAAGGCCATCGACAGTACCGAGCCGTCGCAGGTGATTAGGAAGTTTCTTGATACGCAGAGGATACACAACCTCATCGAGTACCTGGAGCAGCTCCACGATCACCACAAAGCCACGTCAGATCATACCACTCTTCTTCTAAACTGCTACGCAAAGCTCAAAGACATCGACAAGCTTGAGAAGTTCATCAAGTCTCCGGGAGACCTCAAGTTCGACTTGGACACGGCCATCTCCATGTGCCGACAAGGTGGTTATTATGAGCAAGCAGCCTACCTCGCTAAGAAGCATGGGGAGCACGACTTGGTAGTGGACATCCTGATTGAGGACTCCAAAGCGTACGACGAAGCTTTGGACTATGTCTGGCACCTGGACCCAGATACAGTGAGTCGGGTCTATGCCCTTTCTGGATGTGGATGCTGACAAGCCCAGGCCTATTCCTGCCTGAAAAAGTATGCTCGAGTTCTCATCGATAATTGTCCCAAGGATGCCACTCAATTATTTATCGACTACTACACGGGGCGATTCACACCGAGGATAGACCCCCCGGTGCCAGATGCGCAGCCTGTCACCAACGGTGGTTTCGTTGTTGGAGCCGCAAATGCCGTACAGAACCTCAGCAACTTGTTACCGCTACCATACATGAATGCGAACACGGTGGCGGCGCACGGCAACACCAGGCCAACCGTCGGTGAGCTCCCAGTGAGGCCAGAGGTAGTATCACCGGCGTACACCCCACCGCGGCCACGGACCGCTTTTTCGTCGTTCATTGACCACCCCGACGAGTTTATCGTGTTTCTGGAGGCATGCCTCAACGAAGAAAGCATCTCGGAGGCTGACCGGACGGACCTCTCCACCACTTTGTTCGAAATGTACCTCCATAAATCCAACGAGAAGAAGGGTGATGACCAGCATCGCGAAGAGTGGGAACAGCGAGCCAAAACCCTGATCAACAACAAACCCCAAGGCACCGAAAACACCACCAAACCACCCATCGAAAACTCCAACGTCCTACTCCTCTCCCACCTTTCCGACTTCCACGACGGCACCACCCTCGTCAAAGAACAATCCGGCCTCCATTTCGATATCTTCCGCTCCTACACCTCGGCGAAAGACACCCGGGGCGCCATCAAAGCGCTCCGCAAATACGGCCCCGAGGAACCTCAGCTCTACCCAGCCGCGCTCTCCTACCTCACCTCAGACTCGCGCATCCTCGACGAGGCCGGCCCTGACGAGCTCGCAGCCATTCTCGAGCGCATCGACAAGGACGGGCTGATGGCGCCGCTGCAAGTCGTGCAGACATTATCCAAAAACAGCGTCGCCAGCATGGGCATGCTCAAACCGTACCTCTCCAGGCGCATCGAGCGCGAGCGCCAGGAGATCGTCGAGAACAAGCGGCTGGCCTCGCAGTTCCGGGTCGAGACGGAAGCCCGTCGCGCCGACCTCGCCGACCTGGCCTCCAAGCCGGTCGTCTTCCAGCCCACACGGTGCGCGCAGTGCGCGGGCTCGCTGGAGCTGCCCGCCGTGCACTTTATGTGCAAGCACTCGTTCCACCAGCGGTGCCTACGCGGCGGCGGCGGCGCCAACGTCGAGGGTGAGGAGTGCCCCGTCTGTGCGCGAGAAAATGCCACGATCCGCGTGCTCAGGAAGAGCCAGGAGGAGAATGCGGAGCGGCATGAGCTGTTTAAGGATGGCTTGGATAGGAGCGAGGATCGGTTCAAGACGGTGTCGGAGTGGTTTGGCAGGGGGGTCATGAGCGCGCCGAGCGCGGAGTAAGTGGTGATTACAAGGTATCTTGGTGTCTATGCATCTATCTGTCTAGTTGGGTCGGAGATGGGTATTATAGATCAATAATGTCTCCGTCGAGGAACATGCCGACGACGGTGTCGGATATCGTTTGTACGACTGTTTGGGCAACAGCTCCACCTCCATTTTCGGCAGGGGGCTGGATGCCAAACATGTGGTTGAGGAATTCGCCCGCGTCGTCAACATCGACCGGGATGGGGCTGGCTTGCTGGAGCGTCCTTCGCCAGTCTGTGATGTAGTGTAGGCGTTGTTTGACGACGGCCTTGCTCAGGATTTCGTCCTGGCTGGCTTCGTCGACGAAGTCGTGATACTCGAGACCAGCCATGGTCGCAGACTGAATCTCACCGTGGCGGATGCTGAAGTGTGTTTCGAACTGGGGCTATCAGCATGATTAGACTGGTTAAAGAGGGGCGTGCACTCACTCCATAGGGCAACGTATGCGCCACCGCCGGCCGCTCCCTGGGATCTTCCTCGGTCCGGATGCCTCGAGAAGGTAAACTGCCGGTGTCTGCTCAAAGATCCAGTCCGGCGACACCAAGCTCCCCGCACCCCCCTTCACAACCTCCTCATTCGCCAACGCCTCGTCCTCTCCCACCACCACCCCCTGCCCCGCCGCATCCCCATACATTTTCCGAAACTCCCCCATCACCGCGTCCACAAACACCTCCCCACCAACCCCCACATTCCGAATCGGACTCCTGACACTCTCCACCCCACGCGCCTTCACAAACCCCTCCGCAGGCGACCTCAACAACCGCGACACGCGCCCCAAATTCTCCGACCCCAGCAAGCACGTCCCATGATGCAGCGAGCGCGTGCGCGTCAGCTTGTACGCCGACCCCGACACCTTGAACGTCCCCCCCCCACCACCACCACCACCACCATCATCCGAACCGCTAACATCAACCACAATATCATGCCGCTCATTCACGCGCGCCCCGCCCACCCCCAGCCCGCGCAGCGCTCGCACCACCATCTCGGCGTGCCGGTCGCGGTCGAACACCGCCGGCGGGCAGATCACCGAGTAGTTGGTGTTGCCGGCGTCGTGGAAGACGGTGCCCCCGCCGGAGCGGCGGCGGACGAGGGCGATGGGGGTAGCGGTTTGAGGGTTGGGGTAGTCATCGTTGGTGCTGGTGGCGGTGGCGGTGGTGTTGGGGTCGGGGGGTTGGTGGTGAGGATTGGGGGGGTAGGCCCCTCGCGGAGGGCGTGAAGGTTGACTTCGAGCCAGGGGTTTTGGTTGCGGCCGATGATGATGCTGGGGCGGTTGGTGTAGAGGAAGAGGATGGTTGAGTCCGGGTGGGAGCGCTGGAGGAGGTGGTGCTCGATAGAGAGGTTGAGGTAGGGGTCTGTGGAGGCGGAGCGGTAGATCTGGAGGGGGCGGGTGAGGTTTTGGGTGAAGCGTCTTGTTTGGGTCTGTTGTGGGGGTGGTATTGATGATAGAGATGATGGGGATCGAGAGGGATGTGTAATGTGACGTTTGAGAGGTGAGATGGAAAAGTGCCTGGGGATGGCTCCCAGTCGGACTGGGAGAGCCATTGGTGAGTAATTTGGGGTTTATGAAGTGTCTGTATTATAAACGGCTCATGAGAGTTAATCTTAGGCCGTCACTAACCAACCAACCCTGTTGTTGAACTTTTGGGAACGGTCCGTCTTTCGATGTCTGTTCGGTCAGAACTTGCAGCTGACAGGCGCAGGGCCAATCGAATGCAGGTAGCTCAGTGCAATGGGGCAGCGGGAGCTTAACCCTGAAGGACCCACTCTCTCAGCTCCAACCCATGTTGCCAAGCCCCAAAACACTCCGACCCACCATCCCACGTCGTCCCCTGTCAGCGGGGTCCGATGGCGGCGGTGGAGGGGCAGGCTCCGGGTATGAGCTTTTCCTGTCACCAAATTCGACATCATACCAGCCGCTCCCCGCTGAGTCACCAGCTCAACTCGATTGAAAAGACGACCGGCCCCATTCCCAACCGCCCCGTTACTTCTTTTTTGCTGGTTGTCATCCTAATCTTCACCATGTCGACTTTTGGCGAATACTTCCGTGTAACCACGTACGTCCCAAATCACCCTATCCCCCTTCTCCTAAGATCCTAAACCACAAATATTGACAAACTACCGCAGCTATGGCGAGTCGCATTGCCGCTCCGTCGGCTGCATTGTCGATGGGTGCCCGCCAGGCATGGAACTCACCGAGGACGACATCCAGCCCCAGATGACGCGCCGCCGACCGGGACAGAGTGCCATTACGACCCCGCGTAACGAGAAGGACCGGGTGCTGATCCAGAGCGGGACCGAGTTTGGTGTTACCCTCGGGACACCCATTGGCATGATGGTGATGAACGAGGACCAGCGGCCAAAGGGTAGGAGATCTCACCGGTAGGAGGGATCCACCGCTGACATTCTCCAAGATTATGGCAACAAGACCATGGACATCTACCCGCGACCCAGCCACGCCGACTGGACCTATCTCGAGAAGTATGGTGTCAAGGCGAGCAGCGGTGGTGGAAGGAGTAGCGCGCGCGAGACCATCGGCCGTGTCGCCGCCGGTACCATTGCCGAGAAATATCTGAGGCTAGCCTACGGCATCGAGATTGTCGCCTTCACGAGCTCCGTCGGCAACGTCCACCTGTTCCCGCCCACACCCGAACACCCCAGCCCGAGCACCAACCCGAAATTCCTCTCCCTCTTGCAGACCATTGACCGCAAGGGCGTCGACAGCTTCCTCCCCGTCCGCTGCCCGGATGAGACCATCACCAAGAAGATGGAGGCGACCATTGCCGACTTCAGGGACCGCGAGGACAGCATCGGCGGCACTGTCACCTGTGTCATCCGCAATGCGCCGAGCGGGCTGGGTGAGCCCTGCTTCGACAAGCTCGAGGCCAAGCTGGCGCATGCCATGCTCAGCATCCCAGCGACCAAGGGCTTCGAGATCGGGTCTGGCTTCGGCGGTTGCGAGGTGCCGGGATCGACTCACAACGACCCCTTTATCTCGACCGCGGATGTCGAGGTTCCGTCGAGCGTAGCCGAGAGCGGAGCCGTTAAGTCAGGCGTCGCGCGGCCCAAGCTCACGACCAAGACCAACTACTCGGGCGGCATCCAGGGCGGCATCTCGAACGGCGCACCCATCTACTTCCGGATCGCCTTCAAGCCCCCTGCCACCATTGGCCAGGAGCAAAGGACTGCGACGTACGATGGTGCGTCTGAGGGTGTCCTGGCGGCCAAGGGGCGTCACGACCCCTGCGTGGTGCCGCGGGCCGTTCCCATCGTGGAGGCCATGGCGGCGCTCGTGCTGATGGACGCGGTGCTCGCACAGCAGGCGAGGCACACTGCCAAGAGCCTGCTGCCGCCGCTGCAGCAGACGGTTAATTCCGGCAAGCCGTCTGGGAATGGCGTGACAGAGACCGAGATGAGTGGTCAATAGAGTGGCTAAAGGTTAAATGGAATTAGGATACCCAGACTGTCCCTTTGAATCTTTTGCTATGCACCCGAAACCACATCGTATCATGATTGTGGCTCGCGTCCAACGAAGATGGGCTAAAAGAGTGATAAAAGCAATCGATCCCCTGAAAAGTTCAACGGTAACACACTCTGATACCATGCTTTATATAATCCTCTTGAATCCCCTAAGCCCCAATAGCGAGTCGAAGCCTCCGCCTCACCCCCAGCCTAGGGCAAAGCTTCCCCCAAACAAAAAGAACTGCATGCCACTTCCGCAGAAGATGCCGGGTTGCTCATCCGGGCGGCAGCTTCAAAATCCCTCAGCGATACGTCCGGGTCTTGGCCATCGTTCACGACGAAGAAACTTTGCGTGAGCTGGCAGAGGTAACAGCAGCCAATGACCACCCGGCCCGTGCTGCGTTCGGAGAAGGCCACACCCAGATGTGTCCGGCAGTCCCTGATCATTCCCAGCCTGTTTTGGTATGCTTCTTGGTACAGGGCGGGCATTTCTCCGGCAACGAGGTTCCTGCCGAACGTCAGACGTCCAGCGGGGTCGGAGTCGTCGACAGCGAGTTTTTCCAGGGCCTCGAGGTCGTTTAGGAAATTAAACCACTTGTCCACATTATTCGGTTCAATGTATGCATCTCTCGCCGATCTCCGTCGGTCAAAAAACCCGGGCCAAGAGTTGAGACGTTCCATCGATGCCCCAATGTGCGTGGCGGGATGAAGGCGGCCAGTAGGGGTAATGCCGCTACACACGAAAAAGACCAGGGGCAGGCATGGGTCGACCTCGTGGGGGGACTTTTTAAGGCGCTCGGGGATCCATACTTTCGGGATCGTAGTCGACGCCCTTGGTTCCTCGTCTGTCAATCTTGCTGAATATCGATCGGTAAGCAATCCGTACGTAGCACTGGTGGTCTCTGCAACAAGCTTGCTGCTTACCTATGAATTGAGATACCCTCTCGGGTGATCCTGATGCCGCCGCGTCCTTTAGGCCCCTTCGGTATTGTTCGGTGTTCGAGAGACACCAAAAGTAAATCTCCCGGGGCGAGACATTCGGCACCGCGGGTTCGGATTCAATGGACTCGAGAAACGCGGGGTCGAAGCCGCTGGCAAGCAGGCGGGCCGCGAAAATTTGGATTTCCCAGGCAACGGCGTCAACTCGACCCAGAGCGAATTCTGCGAGCTCTCGACTTTGTCGTACTTGGGCTTTTCTCCCGGCGGCGGTGGGGCGAATCTGGTCGGCATACCGCTATCCTTGACCTTATCCAGAATGTGGCTAGCTGTTGTCTTGCAAGCATCCTCATAGTACCGGACAGCGATGAACAAGTCTGCAACAGTGCATCCAACCGGTGCGTCGCCCCGCCAAATCTGGTGTTTCTAGCACTCAGATTTTCTGAACGCGGCAATGTCGTTGAATAGGACAAGTGTTAGCTTGCAGATTGTCGCCAGCTCCCTCGTCATCCAATTCGACGCCGCGCGGCGCCCGTTGTCAGTCGTGAGGTCGATGGAGCGTAGAGTTGGCCGCGACCAGGGCCCGTACCGCACACCGCCGCCACCGCCGCCGCCACCGCTGAAACCGCTTGGCGCAAGGTTGGACATCGTAGCGGTTATTGGGCAGGAGACGGGGAAAAAAGAGAGAAGAAGATAGGTTGCGGGGGGAGGGGGGGAGGATGAACAGCAGCCACAGCAGCCACAGCAGCCGCAACCACAGCAGCAGGAGACTCATGAAGCTGACTGTATCGCAGTCGCTGGTGCCTGTGGAGAACGTACGAGCACACCTACCGAGGAGGTCACAACCACATCGCTAGGTCTGCAGCGGTTAAGCCAGACTGGTGAAGATACGTTCCAGCCTGGCACTATTCGCCCTCGAGCCCACCAGCGCATTATTGACGGCCTCGAGATCGTAAATCCAGATGCTGAAGATATGCATGATGCCCTGCTTCGGGACCTCGAGGCTGATGGACTCGCGCTTACGGAGGATGATCTAGTTCTTCAGGATGGGAACGATGAAACGCTTGATAGGATCCAATTGTACCTTTCCCATGCTCAGAGAACTCATAGGCGGGATTATGGGCTACGACGATTATTCTGCGAATAGCCTGAAGTAATGTTCCGGACCTTAAGTGGCTTGTTCGTCATGTGACGATGCTAGCACTGTGTGCCTGTGGAAATGTGGCGAGCTAGTCCATTTTCGGAAAGTGCGGGGTGCTCCATGGTCATTTGGGGGGTGCTCGCTAGAAATTCCCTTTTTTTTTCAAGATGTTGAAAAAATTTCGCGGTTTGGAATTGCCAGATGTGGGAGAAGTTAAGTAGTTTTTGACGCGTAATTGTCACGAATTAAGATACAGGCCGATCGGGTATGCAGGTAAAGGAGCGGGGCGCAGGACCAATGAGGGGCTGCTCTGTAAGGAACCTGGTTCTGCGCAGCAGAACGACGCGGAACGCCACGGCTAGCCAATCAGGTAACGCTCTGTATGCTCTGTGTCTTGTAAGCCCAGAACATCCAGAGCAGGAAGCGCTCTGCACGCTCTGTCCTTCCCAAAGGCAGAGCATACGGAGCAAGGTACGGAGATCCCTTGCAAACTATATAGTATATAGTCACTCGTTCTGGAGAGCTCTGAGAGTTCTCAAGTTAGCAATCACAACTACAGTTCGCTACAAGCTCGAGAGCCTACTGTTGAGACAAGTCTTTGTTGTGCACCCTTTGGCTGCACCGAACCTAAGCACCCTTGAGAGATTACCTTCAACTGACAGCTGAACCCTAACAGGACAGGGTCCTGAAGTAGGTTCGTCACACCACAGCATTACCAAAGCAAAGCCATATTACAAATAAAGTAATCGGATTGAAGCTATTGAACGGGATTTCAAGAGTAGTTTTAGCAATTCTTGACGTTTTACACTATAGCAATTAGCCAACGGGACGCCGGCTCAACTTGTGTGTAATAAGGTTCGGTAGCATCGATACAACCTAACCTTCAGCCCATTAGCTCGCGAGCTTTGCATCATTTACAGGACAAATATAGCCGTCTTCGAAGTAACCATATACCCACCGCTATTTTACCTACTTCCAACCATATTTGTTCGCGTTCGGACTCAATCTGCAAGAAGCGTGGTCTTGGGCGCAAATTTTATATGCAGTTCCGCCGCTCCGTCGTCTTCCTTCTCAGCGGTGCAAGGCGGGTATCCACGAGCCGGGACATATTCGCTCACAGCAGCGAGTGCTCTCTCTTCGGCTTACGACCTTAAGCGGCTTATTTGTTGAAGCCGTTCCTTCCTCTAAGCCGTAGAGTGACTGCTCTCGAAGGCAAGAGCGGTTGGGTACTAGCTCGAGGGAAGGAGCGGGCTGTGGATCGAACCGGTTAGGTGCTCTAAGCCGGCAACGTACCGTCAACCTCCTGCTCACTCGCCTGGAGCTGCTCTTTTTGCTCAAGCCGGGATAAATTCGCTCAAAGCGTAAGCCGTCAAAGGCTTTTCAGTCTCGGCATGGGGCGGTAATGTTCCATCCTTGTAAATATGCCAGCTTTCACAGGTATTTTGACAAGTTCCCAGCAAGCATGAAGACCCGGTCTTTTTTGTGCCCGCGCAACCCCCAAAAGCAAATTTTTAATATAGAAGTAACTAGCGGCTGGGGCTGGGACGCAGTTCTGTTAAACTTCGTGCGGAACAGATAGGTACCTACTTAGGTAGCTAGGCGCGTGGTAGGTCATGTAGTAGTCATGTGTCGTACAGACAGTGGCGAGGCTGGCGACTTGGCACAACCCAAACCGATCGAGGGAAGGCGGCCGAGATGGTCAACAAAATCTCGGGAATCGTGATCGCAACCAGCTCATCCGTAAAGAAGGGCATTGTTGGCATGGGCGGCCTTGCACGGGATACTCTCTTCAACAGGACTAGCGAGACTGTGACAAACTATGCTGTTGTTCTTGGGACAAGGGAAGAGCAGAACCCATATACAGCAGAGCTAGCAGCCATCGCAATGGCCCTGGAGAAGTTACCGGCTAGCATCTGCCACAGGCACATCACCGTGATCACTAGGAACCAGTCAGCGCTGGCAGCAGTTGGACAGCCGCGGCAGCAATCCGGCCAAAGCATCATACGGCAAATCTACGACTTGGCCAGGCTGCACCGACAAAGAGGGAACTCGGTCAACTTTCTGTGGATACCAGCGGAGATTGACTTCGCGCTGGGGTCAGATGCCAAGGCAGCAGCCCAGAGAGCGTCGAAGCAAGGACGCACACCCGACTCCCAAATACCCCAGGCCAAGTCTACCGCGATGAGGCTGGCAATGGAAAGACAACGGGCGACAAGAGTTCTATTTGTAAGCGTGGGCAAGTTCTCAAAGGCCATGGACGCAGCACTACCAGACAAGCACACGCGCCATCTCTATGACAAGCTGAAGCGAAAGGGAGGCCTGCGTATTGGCGCAGCTCCGAACCGGAATGGCGAGACTAAACGGTTTTTTGAGCAGGATTGGGGCGGTCGAGTCAGACCTTTGTGCCTGTGGACAAGCGAGGGAATCAGTGGAACACTTTCTTTTCCGATGCGTGAGATGGACAGCTCTGAGGGAAGACATGCTGCAATGCACAGTGGCAAGACGAGGAAGCCTCTCGTTCTATCTGGGAGGGAAAGCGCCATCGGATACAAGGCATTGGTCACCAGATATGAAGGCAGTCCGGGCGACGATCAAATACGCAATGGCAACAGGAAGGCTGGAGCTGAATGAGGAGGAGAGTCTAGACCAGTCACAGTAGAAGAAGCCGACACTCAACACCACGAGCCTCAACCACGAGCCTTAACCAGCAGGTCCCGCTTTAGCTGCTGAAGATAGGACGCTGAACACTTGAGAAAGTAGCCTCCAAGCTGATCTGCTAACAACAACCAAGGCAAGAGGTAAATGGTGCAGCGAGAAAGAGGGAAGAAGTAGGGGGCTTGTACGAGTTAAAGGCAAAACGATTTGATCTGGCCGTAATCTCATGGTCGCTACGTTTCGGTATTGTGGAAGCATGTTGGGGATGCGAAAGTCTGGGGCTATCTAGGAACATTGCCATTGTCGCCGTCGTCGGGAACTGTGTGCATGGAGACCTGCTGAGTCCAATTCGTGTTCCTGTCGCGGTGTTGAAGATCGCCCTGAGGCGAAAAGGAGGGCGAGACACGGTGGATGAACCCAATTGGCTGGTACCTGGTACGTACCTCCAAGCAGAACGAGGTGCCCTTTACTTTACCCCTGAACCAGAATCTGGACAAAGTGTTCGCAAAACGTGCAAACACTGGAGTGTCCTAAACACCAGCTTAGGGAAGTTAGAGAATGTCAGGTAATGTACAATCTTCGACTGCATATCTGGGATGCTTTTTGATTTCGCACTTCAACCTGAAATTTTTCCCGCTGTGCACTTTCTGGCTTTGTTGCTTTCAAGTTAGGATAGGTACGAAGTACCTCAGGTACCTTAGTTAAACCCGATTGATCAACTGATTGATCGATTGATTGCTGCAATTGGTGAAGCACGAAGAGGGCCGTGCGCAAGCCAGTCCCTCTTTTCCCACCTTTTTGACCCCAGCGAACCAGCGACCTTTCGTGCAGCAAGCAACACCACCATCCTGTCTCTTCTCACCTTGACAGTTGCTTTGAGTTGCTTTGGGAGCAAAGCTCTCAGTCGTTGATGAGAGCTGAGATAAGCTCTTGCTGACCCTGGCTGTGCCGTTCACTGTTTTATGCTTCTCCATCAGCAAATTTACTCTTTTTCTATCGCTTGGCATCCTGGGTGTCTGTCCATAACTTGGTTCCTTGGCCCTTCGACTCGGCCATTCCGATCGCTAATAATTTGAAGACGGTGTCGGCAACACGCCGGTTCCCTGCATTGCAGCTAACTGCACGTTCAGCTCGCTCAACTCTGTGTTCAACTCCCCTCGACACATGAATTCACCCGATAGCACAGTAGACGATCAATAGCGAACCCTTTTCCCAGCGAAGAATCGCGGCCCACCTCAACCTAGCAGCCGAGCCGACCGACAGATCGCCTGCCCCTGATGAAGGTGGAAATCCCGACGATTGCAATATCGTAACACTCGTTTACCTTTCCCGCTGCCCGCCATTTGTCGGAGACTGGCTCGGAAGACGCGCCAAACGAACGACTAGCCGACCAGACGAAGAAAGGTCGGACGAACCTGACACAGCGGCGTCCAATCTCGACCAAGAGTTGGTGCTCGCAATTGTTGTCTATTCCAGGATTAGCCTTCGAACCCGCTTGTCATACCCACGAGGGCACGATCCAATCCGATCCTACATCCGGCCGTCGATGCCGCCCAGCCGGTCACGATGCCTTGGCAACCGCTGCCCCGGGTGGCCTTCGCTGTAGCGACCTTCCCCTTCCTCGCCGTACACGCGGCCGACCTCCCGCTCGAACTCGGCGACGAATTGTACATTTTCGAGGAGACCCAAGATGGCAATTGGCTCCGAGGATACCTGGTCTCGCCGCCGAGTCTGCTGGCTGGCCTGACCAGCGTCAAGGGACAAACCCTCGAGGCCCGCGTCTTTAGTGGCATCTTCCCGCGCAGCTGTGTTGAGGTTCGGGAGGTGATGGGCGGAAATGGCGAGGTCTACGATGGCGATTTCGAAAGCGAAGATGTGTCCCAGTTGTCGCCAACACATCTCGAAGAGGGCGACTCGGCCAAGAGTGGGATAGAGGGAGCCAGTGCCGAGAGAAGAAGGAGGAAGTGCTCGCCGACGAAAGGCTGGAGAGAGCATGCGGGCTTGCCGAATGGCGCCTCGGGCCGGCTATCGGTGCCTGTGAAGCGCGACCCGAATGCGCCACGCCCGCCGGCACCTGTACCCATGCTTAAAATTGGCGACGAGACTCCGACTTCAGCCTTGGAACCACTCATTGACGAGATCGCCTCGTGCCTCCGGGAATGGCACTCAACAAATCTCCACGAGCTGCTGCTGTCTCGCCAGTACGCAAAGCTGGACACCATGTCTAATCTGATCGCCACCCTCAACTTTGCGCGACAGCAATTCCTTCACGACGTCCTGACTGACTGGGAGTACGATGCCCTCCGGGAAAAGACGGTTTGGGACCTGGTCCGCGTCAACAAGCTGTGCGGAGCCGAAGTGATTGTCCGCGACCCTCATGAGCGCGGCCGGGTGCTTACCGGAGATGACTCGGTGGTGGAGATGACAAAATTGCAGTCCATCATGAGCCTGCTTGACGAGACACCGACTCCTGTGACCGAGTTGACGGCGCTCCACCACCTGCTCGTCGATATCAAGGGCTTCGCCGGCGCATCTACCGAAGACACTACCGTGGTGCTCTACCTGGCCACCAAAACCGCCGGGGGAGTGTTAACACCCCTGTCTGAGAATTATATCGTCGAGATGCCTGCCGGTGGGCAATTAGTCCATCTGACCCGGAACATGCAGATGCGCACCCTCTTCGCCGACCTGACAGCCACCGAGATTGGGGACGTCCCCTCCATCGAATCCGATCTCTTCCTGGTCGTCAAGATCCGCGCCTCGCAGCAGGTCGTCGCCACCAAGCCCAGCTCACGGTCTGGCGCCACCTCCCAGACCCCGTTCGCCAAAGAACACGCCAAGCCGCCATTGTCCGGTGGAAACAAATCGGTGCGCAGGAGTTTAATGTGGGCCGGCAAGAACACGCGTTCGGCGTTCTCGAGGGGCAACGGCAGACTCGACTCGCTGTCCGAACAACCAGAAGAAGTCGTATTGCCGCCTACAGCAGGCAGCGAGAGCAGGGATGGGCCGCCCCCGAGCACCGCCAACTCCAAGACGGGACGCTCGTCCGTGGACGGCCAGGTCACTCACACGGCCGATAGAACCGCCGGTATTGGCGTGCTCAGGTTGAACCCTGTCATGAAGCAGGACGAAGAGGTCGAACATATTGTGACCATTTGGGCGCCGTCTGCCAAGCACATAGCCGACAGGCAAGATGGCGAGGATTGGGACCCGGTACTGCGTGAGATCATGGATAGCAAGACGGGTTCCTACGAGAAGTCGAGGAGAGCCGAGCGCCTGCAGGTACACCTCCGGGCCTTCAACAATCCGGATGCGGATGCTCTGATCAAAGCGACCCCAACAGCACTGTCCAACATCTGCAAGACAAACAAGATGGGCTTCTCGGGCGCCCCGACAAAACCTAGGTCCGATATCTATCTAACAATTGACGAGGCCATCCTGAGCCGCCAGACTCTGCTATCAAGATTTGGCGGTAGCCCAACAACGCTTCCGAGCAATTTCCACGCCAACAACCTCCAGATCAGCCTCGAAGTTCGTAGGTCAAACGGCGAGCGCGTCGAGAACTGTATCCACCCTTCCTCCAACTCCGAGGCCGTCAGCACTTGGACCACCGTCGTCACCGAGCGCGGCGAGCCGTGGCGGCAATCGGTCAAGCTCGTGCTCGCACCCCAGGACGTTCACCAGGGACACGTGGTGATGCACCTTGCGGACGCGCCGAACCCACCCTTTGCGGTGGCATACATGCCTCTCTGGGACCAACAAGCATTCATTCGCGACATGGCCCACGGCCTCTTACTCTACCGGCTAGACGAACACACGAATACCGCCCAGCCTGGCCCCCAGGGTAAGGGCGGCTATCTGAGCCTGCCATTCTCTGCCAGAGGCAAGGAAGAACACCAGGCCGAGGTGACGGGGCCGCTCGCTATAGTGCGCGTCGAGACCTACCTCTGTAGCACGAGGTTCTCGCAGGACCGGGTGGTCTTGGGGCTGCTGGCTTGGAAAGACTCTTCCCGAGAGGGGATTCCCGTGCTACTCAAGCAGTTTATATTTGTTGCTGAGATCGAGGTGGTCAAGCTGTTGAACGATGTGCTGGATGCTCTGTTTGGCATTCTCTGCGAGTACTCGGGTAACGACGACTATGAAGACCTCGTATTTACCGCGCTCGTGAGAGTGCTGGATATTGTCCACGACAGGCGTTTTAACCTAGCGCCACTGGTCGACCAGTACGCCGAAAGCAGGTTCAACTACCCCTTTGCGACCCCTTGTTTGGTCAGGTCCTTTACCCGGCTCTTGTCCAAACCCACCGAGCCCGAGACGGCGAGGAAGCTCCGGGCCACCTTCAAGGTTGCGAGGCACATCCTCAAGTTCATCACGCATGCCCGTGGTCAGCAAAAAGCCAAGGAGGCGGGGATTGGGATAACAGGCTCGAACCCAGGTTTCACACGCCACCTCCGAGTCATCTTTAAGGCGCTCGATGCCATGATGCGCAGTAGCGCGCCAGTGCTTGTGGGCAGCCAGACCCTGGCCGTCCAGCACTTCCACACCTGGCTCCCGGAGCTAGCCGGCTTGCTGACGACCGAGGAAATCCTACATATTGCTATCGACTTTATGGATTCTTGCTCCAGCGTCAAGGGCAAGCTGGTGTTGTACAAGCTGGTCCTTATTATTAACTACGCCAAACTCGACATTTTTTCGCATCCGGAGCAACGTTCTGCCTTGAGCGCCAACACTGTCCGATGGATAGCACCACACTGGGGCCACGTTGACGAGATCACAGACTTGTGGAAGGACCAAGTTCGCCTCTGCTGCTCCGTCCTCGCCAGCCAGATCGACCACCTGGGTCCCGAGATCCCGGATTACATCCCCAAGATTATCCAGTCTTACCTCGTCATCCAAGCCGTCCCGAAGAAACAAAAGGACCGCCTGTCGCTCCTATTTCCTACCACTTATCCCTTCCCCGCGCGTCCCATCACCGATGAAGCCGCCTTCGACGAAGCCCTCATCGAACTCTCCGCCGTCCTCTCGGCCCTCTCGAATTCCCCCGCCGGCATGCAGCTCGAGCTCGCCGAAGATGACCTACACGTCGTCGTGGAGAACTGCCTGCGCGTGCACATGAGCATCCTCCAGGGGGAGACCTTCCCGGCCGACTGGCTCAGCGCCCACATCTTCCACCACAAGTCGACCATGCGTACCTTGCAATACCTGGCCGGCATTCTGCTCGACTCGTTCCTGCCCCACCCGGATGAGGCCGAGAACTTCAATACGGAGCTATGGAAGCTCTTCTTCACCACCCTACTGAGCCTGGTTGGGAGCCCGTCGCTCGCGCTCGAGACCTTCCCGGAGCAGAAGCGCCGCGCCGTGTGGAAGATCGCCGGGGACGTGCGCGAGCACGGCGCCGACCTGCTGCGGAGGACCTGGGAGGCCATAGGATGGGACACCACCCTCGAGGAGCGCGCGCGCTACAGCCTGGCCAAGATGGGCGGATACCAGGTGCAATACGTGCCGACGCTGGTCGGGCCCATCGTCGAGCTGTGCCTGAGTGTCCACGAGGGCCTGCGCCGCATGGCGGTTGAGGTGCTGCAGACCATGATTGTTAGCGAGTGGACCCTTAGTGAGGATCTGTCGGTCATTCAGACTGAGATGATTGACTGTCTGGATGTGTACTTCAAGTCGAAGCCGCTGACGGAGAGCATTCTGCAGAAGTTATTTGTGGGAGAGCTGTTGGAGCGGTTTGAGCCGCTCGCCAGGGGGAAGGATGAGGCGCTTTTTGGGGCGCTGAGGGATCTGACGGATACGGTGGATGTGTTCTTGGACTTGTTGGTTGCGGTGCACAGTGGTGATGGGTCCGGCGAGGCCTCGCACCTGATCCACCGGCTACGGCTGATGGAGTTCCTGCGCGATATGCAAAAGGAGGAGATATTCATCCGCTATGTCCACCAGCTGGCCAACCTCCAGGCGGATGCTAGGAACCACGCCGAGGCTGGTTTGGCCCTTCGGTTGCATGCCGACGTGTACGACTGGGACCCCCTGAAGACGACCCCTGCCCTGCAAGACCCCGAGTTCCCTGCTCAGACCCACTTTGAGCGCAAGGAGCGCATCTACTTCGACATGATCAAGCATTTCGAAGACGGCGAGGCCTGGAGCAGTGCCCTGGCCGCGTACAAGGAGCTGCAGGCCCAGTACGAGACGAACACGTTCGACTTCGCCAAGCTCGCCCGCACCGAGCGCGCCATCGCGACCATCTACGAGACGATCGCCAAGAGCGACAAGCTCGTGCCCAAGTACTTCAAGGTCATGTTCAAGGGCCTCGGCTTCCCGGCCAGCGTGCGCGAGAAGGAGTTCGTCTTCGAGGGTTCCCCCGCCGAGCGCACCTCCAGCTTCACCGACCGCATGCAGGAGATGTACCCGTCGGCTCGCATCGTCACGAACGAGAACATCGACGACGTCGAGGGCCAGTTCCTCGTCATCTCGACGCTGAGCCCGCACCGCGACCTCGGCCACCACGTCTTCCAACGCGCCCGCGTGCCGCAGATCATCCGAGACTATCTCATCTCGGCTCATCCGCAGGCGTTCTCTGTTACCAGCAAGCGGAACACCAGCGGCCCCGTGGCGGAGCACTCCATCGAGAAGATCGTTTATACCACGGCGGAGCCGTTCCCGACGATTCTAAGGCGGAGTGAGATTGTGGCCATGCAGGAGGTGCGGCTGTCGGCGAAGGAGACGGCGCTCGAGAGGATTGTGCGGAAGACGGCGGATATGTCGGCGCTTGAGAAGAAGGTGGCGGATGGCGAGGGCGGGGACGAGAGCGCGCAACTGCTGGTAGATGCTGTTAGCATCAGTGTGAATCGCAACTCGGAGAGCAGCGTGGTGGCCTACCGCGAGCTCATACCCGACATGTCGCGAACGGCATCGCCGAGGGATTTCGATGCCGAGCTCGGGGCGCCCGAGTTTGACCCGCAGGAGAATGCCATCAAGATGGCGCTGGTCGACCACGCAATCATGCTCAAGAGGTGTCTGGCGACGTTTACGAAGAGCGGGAACGAGATCCTCACGCGGCATGTGGAGGATCTGCAGCGGTGTAAGTACCCCTTGAGCTATCCATCTAGGGGCGGTTACTAACAAATATACAGTCTTCGAATCAACCTACGCCCCCGAGATCTCGATTTTCACTCCCGTCCAGCCCATCCGCGAGACCACCACCCCGTCTCCCACATGGCCCCGTTCGCCCGCCACCGCGCTCGGTAATACTCCTCACCACGCCGCTACCAAGTCCACTTCAACCGTCCCCAACGGCGCCGTAACAGAAGAAGCAACCCTTGTCCAACCCGTACCCCTGCAAAAAGGCCGCGGGCCCCGCCTCAGCTTCCTCGGCGGCCGCAAGAAGGATCAGCAGCCCCCGCGGGACGTCAACAGCGACCAACACCAAGCCGCCATCCAAGAAGAGCCTGAGCACGCCTCATCCGCAGCCAAGAGCACCACCTCATCAACCAAAGAAGCCCCGACTAACAACCGGCGCTCGTTCTTCCGCACCCTTCCGCAAGTATCTGCCAGCGAGGCCGGAAGGGCATCGTCGAGGGAACGCGGCGGCGGCGGGCACACCAACGGCACCGGCGCCGGACCGTACTATGCGCCCTCGCAGCCCTCGCAATCTCACCTCCCCGACCTGAGTCCCGGCGGCTCGGAGGTGATTTCGTCGTCTTCGCCCGCCACTATCAACGGTGGTGGTGGTGGTGGTGGTGGGTTTGGTGGCGGCGAGAAGGGGGCGTACCACGCGCACGTGTACGAGGCGACGCCGCCGCCGCAGGAGGGGCATGGGTCGTCGTCCCCTGGGGCGGCGCCGTCGCAGGGGGGTCATTCGTCGATTATGGGGCTGGGACATGGAGTGGGGAGCGTGAGGAAGAGGTTGAGTATATTGAGGCTGGGGAAGAAGAGTAGTCGCGAGAGAGGGGGGGGTGGGTTGGGGGGAGTGGATGAGGAGTGAGTTCTCTCTCTCGTCCGTCTCGAGGTGTTGGGATGGTGGCGGGCCTGGATGTGGGGACGGATGGTGCCCGGCTGGATGGCCGCACGCCCCCATTGACGGCCACAGGTGTGGTTGATGACGCATTTCCTTTGTGGATGTTCTAATATCTTCTCGGGTTGCCATGCAATCTGTTGCCGTCTTTTCTTTCTTTCATTCGAGTTTTTCTGTTTGAGCTCTGGATATACCAGTTCCATATACCCTTGTACACATGGAGGGATAAGGCAGTCGGAAGGATGGGTGGGTGGATGGACGGACCCGTGCTACTGTCAGCATTTTACTTTGTTGTATTCACGTCTGCACTTGCTCTCAGGTCTTCTGTGGCCTTGCGTTGCATACCCCCCTGGCTGGCTTCGGGATCGTGGAGGGCCTGGTACATACTTGCCAGCTTTTTTTCTGTTTTGTTCGTTTCGGCCTGCTTGTTTTTGTTCCCGCTGTATACACACGCGGTTTCCTCATAATTCCCTTACATTGTATCTGTTTTTGTTTCGTTCTGTCTAATAATTTTGCCGGGAGCCGTCGTCGCTTGCCGAGTCCATCCGCTGGGTCATGTATACTTTGTTTTGTATGTACAGTACATCCGGAAAAATAGCTAAGTCTTATACTTGGGGGTCCTGGGGGGTTAAGATAGAGGTGTGCAGGGTGGGCTTCGGGGCTTGTTGGCTCGATGCTGGTAGAACACGGTGGAATATGGGAAATGGAACTTCGATGTAATAAAAGTCGATCAGGTTGATATCATGGTGATGCATGTATATCCTCTGGGTTTGCCCGTGACCGGCCTACGATGTCTACTCGATGAGTGAGATGGCCTCGACTCAGTGATCGGCATGGGTTAGGTTGTGTCCTGTCCCGTGACAATGATGGGCAGCCTGGCAGGCAAGAGCATCTTCTTGACCAAAACGGGGTCATGTGATGATGCCTTGGTATCGAGTTGATAGATTTTCCGTGGCGAATGAAGGTCACGGATCAGCCTGCGCTTTGATCTCCTGGCGGTTGCCTTCATATACGCGACGGCAGGCAGAGAAAAACTTTTCTTCCTCCACACTCTTACATCCCACCTACTCACCATTTGAGCATACCTCTCAATACCTTCTCGTTCCCCTTCTTCTGTCCAGATACGCGGCAGCAATTAACAAGACAACTTTATTTTTCCTTTTCTCGACTAAGATGGCGTGCGCATCTGCCCGGCCGCGGTCCCGGCTCCTGTTGCTAGTTGTCGCCCTCCTTTTCTTCCGCGTCTTGTTGCTGAACATCACGCTTCTCGTACGGCATGCATCCCTCGACACCCGGGAAAGGTCGACACAAAAGCCCAGCCACGATGAATCACCGCCCCAGATCAGAGATTGGGAAGTCGCGGGTTGGGAACCGGCGGGCGCCGTATACCGGGAGAAGGCGTACAAGCCTGAACCTGCCGGGCCTTCCAGTCTGCCCGTCCCGGATCCATTCCCTCTGTTGTCCGAGAACCCGCCCCCGGCACCGGGCATCCTTCGCGCGCCACAGGTCAACCGCCCACCGCAAAAGCACTCTCCAGAACAAACGCCATTGTTTGTCGGCTTTACTCGCAACTGGCCACTGCTGCTCCAATGCGTCGTCAGCTACATCGCGGCAGGCTGGCCGGCAGAGGACATCTTCGTCGTGGAGAACACAGGCGTGATGCACGCCAATCGGGACGGCAAACTGACGCTGCAAAACCCGTTTTACCTCAACCATACTCAGCTGTCAATGCTAGGTGTCAACGTCATTACTGTATGTCCATTTACTCTTTTGCCCTTCCATTTATTCCATCAAGCTAGCTCATTGAACCTAACCCACCCCAACAGACACCCACCCTACTTACCTTCTCACAACTCCAAAACTTCTACCTCTGGACCGCCCTCACAAACAACCACCCCTACTTCTTCTGGACGCACCAAGACGTCCTCGTCTTCTCCTTCGAAAAAGACAACAACAACAACAACAACAACAAACCCCCCTCTCCGTCCCACACCACGGACCGCAGCACCGCCACAACTGGCAGCAGCGCTACGGCCCGCCCAGCCTCCCTCTACGCCAACGCGCTCGCCACCCTACGCCACCTGACAACCAACCCGGCGCACGTGCTCAACACCAAGCCCTGGGCGCACCACTTCTTCGCGTACGACCACCTGACGCTCGTCAACCGCGACGTGGTGCTGGACGTGCTCGGCGGCTGGGACACGCACATCCCCTTCTACGCGTCCGACTGCGACGCCTACCTGCGCGCGCGCTGGGCGGGGCTGGCGCAGACGGAGAGCGAGATTGGCATTGTCTTGGATGTGGGCAGCGTGATGGCGGATTTGGGGGCGTTGTTAAGGGTTCCCGGGTGTGTCGGGAGGTTGTTGGAGGCTGATGGAAGGGGGAGTGAGGGCGTGGAGGGGTGGGGGCCGGAGGGGGAGGGCGCGGCGTATGTGGAGAGCTGGGAGAGGTTGGTGGCGTTGGGGGAGAAGATGCAGGAGGAGAAGTATGTGGGTGGGGGGAATGGGTTGAGGAATCAGTGGCAGGCGGAGCAGAAGGGGGGGAAGGGGGAGCCGTTTTATAGGGATGCGGACGGGTTTGAGATTGGGGTGCAGATGATGATTGAGACGGGGCGGAATGTGTTTGCGGAGAAATGGGGGCATCGCGGGTGTGATGTTGGAAGGATGGGGGTGGTGCCTGAGGATGCGTGGCGGTTGGAGAGGGATTGGGATGAGGACGAGGAGGATACGGGGTCGTGGTGATTTTGGATAAGATATTGTTGGGTTTGTTTGGATTTGGAGGTGTGACAGAAGTCATAAAAACATGGGGAGCATGGATGGAATTTGATACCGGATTGTACGCCACGGCCATAGATAGATTGTATCAATACCAGATCGAAGTTTGAAACAAGGAACTGCCGTGAAACACAATTGCAGAGTAGCCGAGGTATTGCTTGTTGTAATTATCTGCGCAAATGCGCAAACATTGACGGCAGCTGACAACTGACAACACCTGGGTTGACCTAGGCCCTCCATGCCTCCCAGACAAGTTATGACTGCGATGGCACGCTGCGCAAGCACGACATCGCCGATATGATTGATGTACTGGCTTGGGCTGCCATGCATAGCATGCATATCCCGCTGCAAGCTGGGCCAGTAGGGTACTGCAGTCTCACCGATCCCTGGAGATGTGTGGTTGGTTGGAAGATTTATTCAGATCAAAAGACACGGGGTTGCGTGAAGTCGGATAGCAGCTTGTGGGGATGGGAGGTAACGGTTGGGAAACTAATGGGTGGAAAGTGAACAGAAGATTAGAATGTTGATACGGGAACAAGATGCAATAATGACTTTTGCCTGTACGCCTGACGGTCTCTTCTTTGCAAGTCATCAGGATTATGGCAATGGTAAGCAAGAGACTGTCTGTGGCCAAAGGTTTCTTTTTGGCGTCCTCGAAAACAATTTCCTCAAACCACCGTGTCCTTCCATAGTTCCAAGTCGTCAATCTTTATGCCCCCATCCCAAACCCCATCAAACCTGAGCAACCGGACTTACTAGAACTCAAAAAGGAAACGGGCCTAAGAGCTATCAAAGAGCGTACAATCCAAGTCTACAATCCAAGCCCAAACGCAATCCTCCAACACCAACCACCAACCACCAACCAGCCAACAATCCCCCCCCCCCCACTTCACTCACTCCAGCCTCGGCCCAAACTCAAACCCCCCCATCCCAAACGACCCCTCCCCATTCGACGACGACGTAAAATACGCCGAGTCCATGCTGAAGCTATCACCACACCCATACTCCAACCCCCCCGACAGCAACTCATCAACCACGCCAAACTGCAGCTCGTTGCACAGCTCATTGTACAGCGGATCATCCCGCAGCCCCTCCAGCAGCTGCTGGGCCGCCTTGCCCGAGTCCGGGCTCGGCGGTGGCGAGGACGGGTCTCTGGTGTTATTGGCGGTGGTGTTGGTGGTGGTGAGGGTGGTCGACAAGCCCTGGTGGTGATGGTGGTGGTGCGGGGCGGCGGCGGCGGCGGCCATGCCGACGGCGGAGGAGGAGGCTTCTTCCTGGAACTGGAAGGTGCGCAGCATGGTGGTCTCGACGTCGCGGATGATCTCGGCGGTCTTTTGGTTGGCTTTCTCCTGGATGTCCTCGAACAGCTTGTTGACGTACTGTTCCATGGCGGAGCGCACCACCCGCGGGAGCTCCCGTCGGATGTACTCGCGGCATTCGTCCAGGTTTTGGAATTGGCTCTTGGCGGACTTGGAGGAGTCGTTTTCGGAGTCGTAATCTGTGGTGGGGGTTTAGTTTTGGTGGTTGGTAGTGGATGGTGGATGGAAGGGAGGGGGCCCTTACATGGTGAGGGCACCTTCTCGCCGGGGAAGATCACCCGGTACATCTCTTTCCATTTATCCTCTTCTGAGGAATGAGCCTTGGCCCTGGTGCGGAGCTGCTTCTCTTGCTCCTCGGTGATGGCGTCTGACGACTTCTCTCGCAGCTTGCAAGGGACGTCAGCGCGTTGGTGATTCTTGAGCAGCTCAGGCTTGTCGAAGTGATCAAAGCACCGAGGGCAAAAGTTTTTGAACGAGTGGCGGCGGTATACGTGTTCTCTGAGCACATCGTCAGTAGAAATTCACAAAACATGTACACATAAAAAAACTCACTTGACACGATGAACATCTTCCCATCCCGGCCCACAGCAGGTCTTCGTCTTCTTGTACTTGGCCGGATCATGCTTGCAGAATGGGCACGCAAACGTCTTCTCGTTCGCCTCCCTAGGGTTCACCTTCTTCTTCTTGGCCTTGTCTCCGCCCACCACACCTGGGCCACTCTCGTCGACATCATCCTCCCTACCTCTCTTCACCCTCCGTCTGGGGGCCGCCACCGCCGAGACGGCGGCAGCGGACGCAGAAGAAACTGGATTATCAAGACATCTATCTAAAGACGTTTGAAAGAAAGCCATAGATCTATCCACGATTTCCTTCTTTTTGCGGCTCAGGAAGCTTTCACGGTTGGACGTGGTAGCCGAGTGGTGTGGCGGTGGTGGCGGGGTGCCTGAGCTGCGGGATGCCATGGACCAACTGGGCTGAACCGGAAAGGGGAGGGGTTCGATCCGGGGGGAGTTGGTCAGAGGGGAGACCCTTGACCTTGAGACATGAGACCCAGGGTGTTGAGATGATAGTGACTGCGGGCTTTGGGCAGAGGCTTTGTTGTTGCGGTACCGCGGAGAAGACTGGCTGGGTGTTGGATGGGGTAGGTGACTCGAGGTGGGGGCACAATGGGAAGGCTGCGAGGACGCGAGCGTTTCCGCGAGGGGGTGGAGATGGCCGAAGACGGAGGTGAGGTGCTTGTAAGATAAGAGAAGTAAACCGGAAGCGAAAGTACGGGTGAGGCAATGACCTTGCTAGAGATGGAGGAAGGTCAGGGAGAAACCACCACTCGGCGGATCTTAGTTTCATAAAAGAGCTATATACCTAGCTATTCCTGTTTGCGCAAATGCGGAGATCAAGCTCAGCGGACGTCTCGGGGCCTCGGTGACACACTCGTCCTCAGGATTCCCCAGTGACCACAGCCATTCTCCAATAGCCGATCCCCGCGCCGGGGCGCATGCGTCGGGACGGGTGAGCACAACAGGTCGACAAAGCATTGGCCGGCTGTACCGATGACACGCAGCACAGCGCCCAAGAGGGGAAAGCACGGGGGTCACTGCCTTGGCCGTATGCAGTCACGGTGGCATTGCGCGAGATGCTAGCGCGAGATGCAAGTGCTCAATTGCGGGATCATCGTTCGCAGCTCGGTACATCAGTCCCGCAGATAAGGCTGAGAGCGGGGAAAAGGAGGCGAGGTGCTGCTAATTCGGCAGAGAAAGCCAGGATTGGGACGTCCCGAGCCATCGTGTTGTTGTTTCAAGCTGGTCCGCTGATGACTCGCATGCTTGACGTATGCCCGGTAATCGGATGGTTGGCGTGACGTCGGTGCCCGGAAACAGAAGGAATTGGGCTCGGTCAGAAAGACCGGAGGCTTCGGCGGCGATGCCATCCAACAAACAACAACCGGGTCCTGCATATACCAACCAAGGTAGATATGGCGCCACAATATGTGACGCCCATGACCCCCCTGTGATTGACCGAAAATGCAAATGGCAAGCAGCTCAATCGCGAAGTCTAAAAGTTTGGCCAGAAGTTAAGCACTGTTTGTTGTTACTCCTGTACCGGGTTCCTAAAACCATAACCTCGCCCCCGGACAATATGGGTTGGACGTGCATTGAGAACACCGGAAACTCACTCGTCCTAGGTTTCCGAATGCTCAATGGCGAAATCCGACGATGTGGTCGCTGGGGCGGGACCTTTCTGGCGATGGGTGGAGGATAAAAGCCCCTGTTATCAGCTCGGTTTCCGCGATGGGGAACACCGCCAGCAGCTTAATATCGCCAGGCCAAGAAAGTGAAGAGCAAAACACACGGACTTGCACTATCCTTAGCACCACGCCCTGACAAACCCACACAATGTCGCAAGGGCTCGATAAGACGCTCCAACTTTTGGGAGAAGAGTAAGACGGCCGGCTTCCAAAACGAGAATGTCTGGAGACTAACGTGGGTATAGGCAACCGTCGACGGGTACGTCATACTCGCTCGAGAGATACCTCAACAGCGACGGGGGGCTCACGGAACGGTTGCTAGGAGGGCTCGGCCTAGACAACATGGTGAGCAGGACTCAAACGGTTAGGTGCAAGGTGAATGCTCTCGCGGATAGGACGGCGCAGCAGCCCCAAGGCTCCAGTTGACGAATGGTAGTTAAATACATTACAAGGGGTTGTATGTTGTGTTTTGGAGCAGGTTGGCGGCACGCAGGGAGTTTAAGGTTCGGGAGCGATGGGGAGGTCGCCATTCTCAAATGCGGAAATCGGGCCAAAGGCCTAAGAAGTAGAGTTAGTGGTTTTATATCCAAAGAAAATGCACCGCCACCCACCGCGGAATCGAAATCCAGCCAGTCTGTAGTCTTCCATTTATCCCATAATCGTGTAACAAGGGCGGGGGCGGGACTGCGGGGTGTGCCATTGTTGACGGACTGGTCGCCGGCAGCTTCGCGGGCAATGTCCGCTTCCCAATGAGCACGGAGTGCATCCTCGAGTAGCTGCTCGTCGAGGGTGTCGAGGTCGCCGCCACGGGTCTCATCGGTCTGCTCGTTGCTCGGGGCCCTATCTTGGGAGAGTTGCCGGACCACTTCTTCCTGGAGCTCCTCGAGAATGACGGCCCATCTCCGTGCAGGTGAGTATTGGTTAGTCCCTTGAACAAGAGCTTTAACGGCTTTGTTGGCAAGCTCGGCCAACTTGGCATCCGTCTCAGGTCTGTAGTTGGGGTGGGTTCTGCTACCGGACGCCCTCTGACGGTCCCGAACGTACGGGACGAGGAACAGGATTGAAGCGGCGACATAGGTCAGGTGGTGAGGGTGGAGGAGGGTGTGGAAATGACTTTTATCTCGCTCCGCCTGCTCGCGGGCAAGATTGACGGTGATGGTGAGCGTGGCACGGGCGGCCTCGATGCAAGTCCGGATCGCGAAATCCGTGGTTTGCTGCTTCTCGCGGTCTGTGGGGTATGCCGTCGTCAAAAATGGCCGATAGACCAACATCTGCGCGTGGAAGTGGGCCAACTGCACCAAGTTCTGCTGGCGACGCCAAGTGAAATGGAGGAGTGAGGGTTTGACGGCTGCCATGAGCGGCGGTAGCTGCGCTCGCAACTCGTCGACGGCCTTCCCCAGGCGCAGTGCAGATTCAAGCCTCTCGGCTTCCGGGACGTCATCAAGCGTGTACACCTGGCGTTTTATTTTCTCGACAAGTCGGGCCAGCCTAACATGGGTCAGCAAACGACAAAACGTGCGGGATGATAAGCGCGTACTTGGCCTGTTCAAGCAACGCTTCCATATAGCAGTCATTTCTGTGGGGGCGAAGAGGGCCGGCCTGTCCCATGTCCTCGTCGTTCACACAGTCTGGAAGTGCCTGGTCCGTCATGTCGGTGCTGAGGTGTGGGGGCTGGCCGGTTATCGCGGCTATGTGCTTGTCGATGATATAAGCCGACCAGAAGGTTCGTCTCTCGCACTGGACCTTCGCGTATTCCGGATGCACAACAATCTCGGGACCGAGACCTCGATTTTTGCCTCGTCGTCGGTGCAAACCAAGGCAGGTGAGCATTTGGATGGCGTTGCCAAAGACGTAGCAGGCTTGGCTGAGCCGACATGTACAGAGGAGATAAAGCGTTTGGAGAAGGCGAGCCTGCACAGATTCGAGCTTAGGCGGGCCCGGTTCGCTGCCAGTCAAGTCGAACGTGATGAGGAACAAGTTGTCGCCGTTGTTGACGGTCCAGAGCCAATTTTGACTGATCTCCTTTCTCGCAAGTCGCCAGCGCCTGTAGTTGAACATAGTCCCGAGGGCCATGGTCATCAGCGCGACGGCAGCCTTCGCTTGGCCGATGTGAGACTCCAGTGGCACTTCCTCCACCCAATTTCGGTACACCGTATCTTGCCACAGTCTCGCCGAGGGACGGTGGAGGAAGTGGAAGGTTTCGGTCCAGCCAATTGCGAAATTGTCCTGCATTCGGCGCCACACCGCTGGTGTCTCGGGGAATCTGTGAGGCTCAGAAGGGTTGATGGGCATATCGCCAGAGAGTAGAACGAGTTGATCGGTGACAACGGGCTGGTTGGACATTCCGAGAGACTGGGCAACAGCAATCTTTCGCCAGGCCCTGTGGAGAAAGAAGAGAGGGGGTATTTCCTCTCCGGCATACCTGGCGGAGAACTGAAGAGGAGTGACAGCCGGGTCGTTCCGGCCTGGAGAAGTATCTTCTGACGCCCGGCGGTTCAGCGCTTCGAGGGCTAGCCGACGCTCGCGCCTGTGTCCGGGTCAGCTCGCCAAGTCACAAGTATCACCGAGAGAGTGGAGGCTCACTTCCAGGCATTGTCCCGCAACTGCTGAGCGCATATGTCTTCTAAGTGGCCGTGGGGGCCAGGCGAAGCACCAGGAAGCCTTTGGTGGGCACGACTACGAAGTCGTAAGCGATTTGGTTATACAAGAGGGAGTGGAGGGGAAGACCGACTACTTGAAGGTGCACTCAACTCTCTCATTGAAGCACATTTCACATGGGAGCTTGCCTTGACAAGGGAGTTTGTAGGTTCGACAGCGGTCGCATGAACGGGCAGCCCAGCCCTTATCACGGTGTTCTTTTCCCTTTTCGTTCAACGGTTTGGCGTAGTTACGGGCTTCTCCATTGTCCCCCTCCGGGGGCGGAGGGGGAGTTCCCGCGACGCCCTTCGTGTAGGGTGCGTCATAGGTGCAGGTTATGCCCTTGCGTGTACCTGACGAGGAGCAGATTAGAGGAAGTGGTGATAACGAAAGGAGACAGGAACGTTGGAATACATGTGAAGCACGGTTTGAAGCCGGAACAGAGCCCGGTCTTGCCACGGCACTGGTCACAGCAGCGGTTAATTCGCATACGCTTCGTCTTCCGGCCTGATGCAGCCTCATCGTCAGAAGTATCGGGAGCGGGGCGTCCTCGCCTCCCAGATGTGTTGGACGGAGGGGTGTTGGGTGAGGCGACCGAAGAAACGGGATCTTGTGTTGGTGTGGATTGTGAATGTGATGCTGGTTCCGCTGAAGGTATCGCTAGCGGTGCTGTGGAAGGCGCTGCAGGGCCTGGGAATGCTGGGGCAAATTGTTGCTGTGTAACTTCAGACATGGCCTTGCAGCACGAGGCTCTGGATGTAAGATATCAGCAACAGCACGTTCCTGTGGGTTCTGGTGGATGAGCTATCGCCAATCCCGGGAGTGTACGGATTGCCAACGATGGGTTTGTCGGGTCCGTGATTGAGGTCGAATTTCCAGCTTCGAACGGTGATTGGGGTTTCGTCCAAATCTCCGGTTGCACAAAGTGGGCCCCGAGTTATGTGCTTCCCCTTCTCCACTTTAGATCAACTCCCAACCTGCCGAATGCGATCTTCCATTTCATCTGTGGCCTTTCATGGCTTTGGGCAAGAAGGCGAGGAAGGTCACCTCATGTATTTTTATGCTGTCTGTTCACCTCAATTTGATCACATTTTAATTTCATTTTGCGTGGCTAATAAGAAGAAGGTACAAGTTCAAGGGGAATTGCGTCAAATTCCATCTACCCCAGCCAGTGGACCCCCGAGGAAAAGAGGTAAAAAGCCAAACAAAAAAAAAAAAAGAAACCGAATAAAGTGAAAAGTAGAGGTTGTTTATCCGAATGGCTGTCTTTTCGTTCTTCTCGTCAAAGGTTTCGTCGGCGCCTACACTTGAGTTCGGCTTTTTCTGACCTTGGGGCGCCTCCCCAGCCGATTGCATGCGGGGCAGAGAAGCTCAAAGCTCGCGTTCATCATCACAAGACATTACTGACGTTTTAACGCGCAACCAAGAACTCGAACACTTCCTGTCCATTACAGTTAAAATCAACAATACCTGGTAACTACCGAAACTCCCAACTTGGTACCTTATCCACCCGCACCCAGTCTGTGAAAGCAAAACTAAACCACAAGATAAAGTAATCGTATTGAAGCTAAAATTGCTGGCGTCGCTTCGTTCGTCAGTCGCACGGCCCTTCGCTACGCTACGGGGCGCTTCCTTCCTCTCTCCCGCTCCTGGCAATTTTCCCGTCTCTCTCCGGAGGATAATCGGGGTTAGGGTTGACTACGGGAGAGACGAAGCGCCAATATCTGTCCGTCGGCCAACAACCGTACAATCTCGCGAAACTGGAAAACCCCTTAGCCTATTAGGACCGAGTGCCTTGAGGGCGCTCACCAATCGAAGCCATGCAGTCGGTGGATCTCAGCCACAGCCAAAATTGTCCTCAGTGCTGCCCCTGATCAGCTTGTTCCTCCCGAGCCCTCAACCGCTCAATCAAGCTTGCCTTGTTCCCAGAGACTTTGAGCCTATAGTGCCTGCACAGTCTGACCAGCTCGGCCTTTGGCATAAGGCCATACCGACTGGGTCCTACCATATCCTCGGTACTTGTATGGAAGGAAAGCAAGTCATCACGGCGGCGCTGTTGTCTCTGGCGAGTTTGAATCATCTTGTGGTGCAACAGAAACGTAAGGACTTGAAGCTTCCTCTCCCTAGAATAGCTCCTTTGCTGGCGTTTGACAGGCTTCTCCACAACTTTGCGGTCGATCAGGGACTTTGGCTTTGGACCGGGCTTCTTCTTGACAGGAGCAGCAGGCGGCAGGCGAGTACCGGTATTGGCCGAAATTGGCTGCAGTGGTTGTCTTGGTGCAGCCAGGGCCAGCTGCGGCCTACTCTCGCCAGCATCGCTGGCGAGAATTGACTGAGGAGGCATCGCGTTGCGATGGAAGATGTGGCTGTGTGGCTCAACTGCAGCAAACCCTGAGGGCTTCAATTGGTGGGCGTCCGTGCGACACTCGGCCCTAATCCTGTCCGGAGGACAATATTACGGTCAAACTTTTGGAAATTCCTAACTATCATTAACGTAGTAAGTTGGCTTGGTCATTCTCCAACAGGGTTCTGCATCTATCCACTTCTACCCACGGCGACCCCAAAGTAGATAGAATAGATACATTAGTCAGCCGACCCGAGGTAGAGTTGATAGAATAGGAAGCTATTCTATCAATGTAGATACTATTTAGGTAGATTGCCAAGGCTTGGGCGGGTAAGGATGTTCCAATAACAGGACCCATGACTTCTAACATACTTCTACCTAGCCACGAGTCGGCCACCTCATGCTATTTCACCTTCAGTTTGCCAGGATATTCCATCCTCAAGCGCCTCAATGCCTACATCTCGGAGGGCGATTCAATGGGATCGGAGAGCAGCGACTCGGAGAGGCTGGATGACCGCAGGCTGTCCTGGGACATGTCGCTCATGTTCGGTGGAGTGGGCTCAAGTGAGGCGAGAAAGAACTGGATGCGATCTCGCTTGTCTGCTGAGAGGAGGAAGAAGGAAGATGACATATTGATGGGGGCAAAGGAAATTGTATATTGTAGATTTTGGCTGACGCTCACAGGCTTGCAAGAACGCGGTCAAACGCGTCTTCACGAAGCCCTGTCAATGTCCATGAGCGGTAGGATTCTTGGGAGATTGCTGTTACTGGAGACCGCGGTAGTACAAGTTGAAACCCACAATGAGCAGCTCGAAAACCTGCAGGAGGCGTACCATCAAGTCTCATCATATCAGGACTGCGATTCAGTAGCTACTATCATGGAAGATTATTATTATTCATACTCCGCTATGCCCTAGGGCGTGCCGGACCCTCAGCTATTTAGTGTACAGGAAAACCGTGCCCTCCCGGGCCGGGTGAAAAACCCATACCAACAATCAAGGAGCGATGCGTTTGAGTGAGCCTACATATACAAAGAGAGGAGGCCTCCTGGCCTCCGAACGGGGGCGCTTCAGGCCGCCGCTTCCAGCTCGAGCCTCCTGGCTAAGTTGTACATCGGCAGCTTCCCCGAGTCCATCAGCCAGTCGAGAACTCTCCTCGCGAGCCGTGCAGTCGTGGGATTGATGCCGTGTAGAACAGAGTAAAAGTCCCGTCGTGTCCGAATTCCAGTTCTCTCCCATCTTCTAGTTAACGGTGGGGCCAAACACCACACTACCAGGTGTTCGGCAGTCTCTCGTCCCTTGCCACACTCGCAGGCAGGAGTCAGAACCTCCGGGACTCCCCGTGTAAACAAGAAGTCCCGGAAGCCTATTGCTCCCGTCCGGATTTGAATCAGCAGTGAGCTCTTCGCCTTGCTGAGACCGTCGTGCCTCCTTAGGGTTTCGTTCCGGAATAGCGTCTTCTGCTGATGGTCAAAGTCGTCCGCCGGCCTGGTGATTGCCCTGCCGTCCCGTTCCTTTAACCACCTCGCTCTCCAAGCCTCTTCTACTACCCGGACGCAGCAAAGTACCTCCAAGGCGTCATCACCGCCAACCTCTTCCCGGGCTACGCCGGCCCCATCCCCACGAGCGAGCACCTGCGGTCCGACGCCGGTTTCTACGCCGCCTTCCTAACTGCCCAAGGCCGCACCCTGCACGACGTCTTTATCTACCGCGACGCGCGTGACACGGCCCACCCGCCGGGCCACAGCTGGCTCGTCGAGGTCGACGCCGCCGAGGCCGACCGCCTGCAGAAGCACATCTGCCGGCACAAGCTCCGCGCCAAGTTCGACGTGCGCCTGCTGGACGAAGGGGAAGGGACAGTCTGGCAGGCGTGGGACGACAATGCCTCACCTTCTCTGCCCCCTCCTACCCCCTCCCCCTCGCCCTCAGTAATAACCACCCCCGACACGCGCGCGCCCCAAACCTAGGCCACCGCCTCCTCACCTTCTTCCCCACCACCACCACCACCACCACCACCCCAGTGTCATCTGGGGACCTCCCCATAGTCCCGGAATCAAGCTACCACCTCCGCCGCTACACGCACGGCATCCCCGAGGCCAATCGGAGCTCCTCTTCAACCAGGCCCTCCCGCACGAGAGCAACACCGACGCCATGCACGCCATCGACTTCCGCAAGGGCTGCTATGTGGGGCAGGAGCTGACCATCCGCACCGAGCACCGCGGGGTGGTGCGCAAGCGCATCTTGCCGTGTGTGCTCTACCCAGACAACGGCCAACAACCCCCGCCGGGGAACTTGGATTTGGTTGCGGGGTATCGGCCCGAGATTGAGGATGGTGTGACGGCCGAGCAGATCCCGCGCGAGGCGAGCATCGGGCGGGCGCCGGGGGGCAAGAAGGGGCGGAGTGCGGGCAAGTGGTTGAGCGGGGTGGGGAATGTCGGGCTGGCGCTGTGCCGGCTGGAGATCATGACTGATGTGGTGCTGCCGGGGGAGGCGAGTTCGGGCGCGGGCGGGTTTGGGGACGGGGATGAGTTTGTTGTGGGGGTTGGGGCGGGTGAAGGGGAGGAGGGGAGGAAGGCTAGGATCAAGGCTTTTGTGCCCGAGTGGTTGAGGAGGGGGTTGGTTCGTGGGGAGGGGCATTAAAGGGGTGGGGTTGAAGGGCCGTGGTGTATACTTAGTGAGTGTTTGGAAAGTGTATGAATGTTATATCGAGATGATTCGGCGGAGGAAACACTGTCGTATTATTACTTCACTGTCTCAACGCCCTGGCGTCTAGGGGTTTTCCGTGCTCTTGCGGCTGCCTCCTCTCTTCTCCGCCTTATCTTAGCAAAAATCTCACCCCAGTCCGGATACCTGAACTCCAGCTTCGCACCCGTCTTCCTGTGTATCCGATTCGCCATAACCGCCGCAATCGCCCCTGGGTTACACGTAGTACTCACTTGCTCCCAATACTCAAGTTCCGGATCCCAATCCTCGTCCTCGTGCCACCCCGACTTGTACCATTCGCTCACCATCTCGTCCCGAAACATGCACTGTGCCAGATCGACGATACGCGGTGTCTGCGACTTCCCGTCTACGACCACGTTGCGCGGCGCACAGTCTTCCATGATGATGCCGTGCTTGTTGATCTCATACGCTGCATCGGCGGCCAACTGGATGATGTGCTGCCATGTCCTTAGGTTTTTTGGTAAGGGACCGAGCGTTAGGTTGTCTAGACAATATCCGTCGATCCGTTCTAGAAGGATACCTCTCACTTCAAAGTAGGGCGCTGCTTCCGGTGGCATGATGGTCGCGGGCTTGGTGGCCGACAGAAGACTTACATGGGCATAGAGGCGCGGGACCACCGTGCCCTGGAGCTTGGCGAGTCGGTGATAGGCCTTGGTCTCGCATTCAAAGTGCTCGCTACAGTCTTGCCAGAGCGCGGCCTCGTACTTGGCAAGACCTTCGGTGCGATTGGGCTCGTCGAGGAACTCCCGAGCCCCGACGGGGAGAACGCTCTCCTCGGGGTCGTTTCTTTCATGTCGATGGCGGAGGAACCCGGGCATCATGCCCCGCCTGACAAAGGCCTCGAACGCTGCTTCGTTTTCCTGTGTGTGCGGCGCGACCCTGTCCCCGTCAACTTCTCGCAGGCATGAGCCAAATCGACGGTCGTAGAGCTTGAGCACATGGTGGATAGGCGGGCCGTGATGGGTCTGGAAGGTGACATCCAGCACAACGGACATGGTCATGGAGAGCACTTTGCTGATGGTGGCGGTAACGCGGGACGGCAGGTCGGGGGAGTAGCTTTTGCGCACTTGGAGCTCCAGTGGCCTCCCTGCTTGGTAAAGCGTCAGGATTGAACGTGGCGGCCCTGAAGTGGGAGAATATCCCGGCCAGGTTAGCGAGAAGGGTTAGCGCCGAGGGGAACCACTTGGCGTTTGCTCACATTGTGATTTTGGTCTGCGCTGCCGGATAGTGAAGGGCCGCAAGAGGGGGTGACAGAATCACAGGAGGAGGAAAGTGATGCTTTTTTGCGAGGGATAACCCGTGATGAGACGGTGGTGAGACGCAATCGGCTTGGAGGACCGGAAGTTGCCGAGGGGAAACTGAAACGTTGAAAATGCCAGCTGTAAGCTACATGAATGAAAAGAGGAAGGACGGGCGAAGTTGTCATGTCAAGGCGCTGAAGACGGGAGGTGACTTGGCCCCGCCCCACATGGCCTACTGCTGCGGCCTTCAAGTGGCTCGTGGACTAAAACGACAACGTCGCGGACCACCCACCTACCTGGTACCAGGCCCGCGTATAGGTGCATCATGGTCGTGTCATGTGCAGAGCCGGGCCGTTTGAAGTTTCCCCCTTTGCATGTCTCGGGCGCTTGGTTGCGGCCAACGACCGGACGGCCAACGCGTATGTACATGTACCTTGGGTACCGTATGCATTCTATTTCTAGCAGTCCTATGCGCCGACTGTGTATTTATCAACAGCCAGGGGGCGCGGAAGCACCCTGGGCTTGTTTAGTTGGACGAGTCACGAAGCCGATCACATCATTCCACTTCAAGGGTGATGCTAATCTCATATTTCAAGTCGAGGCGGAAAGGCTTGATGTGGAAGACGAGGAGAGTCGGCGGAATAGGTTTCACGTACATGTGGGAACGTGGCACAACAGTCAGATGCTCAGAGCGAGCGCCTCTTGGCTGACCTAAGCCGGCTCGGCAGCATCCCCGTGGCCGTAAGGATGTCTTGGGCTTCGCGCAGGACGACAACCCGCCCGGAGGACATGGCCTACTGTCTTATGGGCATCTTCGGCGTCAACATGGCCTTGATATACGGCGAGGGCGCCAACGCTTTCATACGCCTACAAGAAGAGATCATCAAGCGCACCAACGACCTGAGCATTCTGGCCTGGGACTCCAGAGAAAGATGCCGCATCGGGCCGTACTGCGGCATATTGGCCGCGTCGCCTGCCGACTTTATTCATGCTTCTCGCAACTTCTCTACCACCTCCTGGTCATTCATGACCGAGTTTACCATTACAAACAGCGGCCTGCGCATCACCACCAAGCTCTGGGTGCCCTGGGTGCCCCCGAGCCCCACAAGCTTTGCCCCCGACCACACTGGGTACCTTCTCTGCCTGTCCGACAGCCGCAGATTCCCGCTCGTCGGAATACATCTCAAAATGGTTGGGTGAAATCAATTCGTCCGCATCTCCGACAAATCCGTAATAGTGGATTACCTGAGCCCCCAAAAGGTCGATTTGAGTGACTGGACGAGGCTCCAGACTATATACGTTGCCGCCACTCTGGATTCTGTCGAGACGGCCACCAAGGGCATCACACAATACCCCCCCTTTCACTTTCCCGCCCATTCTACGTTCGCCATCAGCAGCGTTGCCCCTCAAGCCAGCTGGGATGTCTTTGACCGCATCTTTTACATGGGCATGCCCGGGTTTTCCGGTTTCATTGGAATCGCCTGTTTCGACGCGGTCTCGGGCATTGGCAGACTCGCAGAACCAGTCAAGCTTGGCATCGTCGTTCATGACGTGGGTCCGGAGTGCCTCATTTTCAAGTAAGAGGGCCTGGTTCAGCAGCAGATGGCCCTTGTTTTTGAGACAGCTTCGGAAGTCGCGTTGCCACAGGTTCTCTCCCAGGCACTTTCTGCCGGCTCACGAGACTACGTAGAATACCGCTTCGGGTCGGACCGCTTCCGGGTTTCAGCTTCGATCCGGAAGGAGGTCGTTGAGGAGATATCCGCTCACCCTCTCCATTCCGTCTATATTCAGGTATTCAGAAGAAGTGCCAAGGGAAAGAATTGGGTATTGCTAGGATGAGTCAACAGCTCGTTCCGCTTTATGTATTTCCTTACTCGATGAGAAACCCCCCGCTCTTCTTTTCCATTCGCTAAGATATCCATATCCTGTGATTGAGTGCAACGCTACATGGGTTGCACCGCAACTACATCTCAGTTAAGAGTGCTCCCTCACTTCGCCTTGAAAATCTAGCCAAGTATAGGACCGTGTTGTTGGCGTTCTGGGGACATTCAAGTCGGCCGGAGTGACGTCTTTTATGGTGACTTTTCACCAGCGCCTCACACAAAAGAGGAAGTCTCTTGTTGCCATTTGTCCAATAGCGTTGGCTGCATGGGTTTGTCGTCTTAGTGGTTGGCAGGGGAAAGGACACAAGAAACTGGTGTCGGAACATCTACGCCAGAGTTACGTCCTCGCAGGGGGACGTGACGGAGGGCAGGGGGGGGTCCACCACTGGGGCAGTCGTCACGTGGTCCTGGACCTCGGGGACGACAACCCCGGCTGCAAAATCTGAGCCCCCCTCATTTCTAGATAGAAGAACATGATCCAATTGAACCACGAATGTAGCACGTCCCTCCAGAGAGAAGGGATTTGCCCTGTGCTTCTAACGCTATCGCGATACCTGGTATTCCCTACAACTGGGGATTCAGCCGATTGGCTGCGCGTCATGATCAAAACATTCCGCGCAGGACGGGATTCAACCGATTGCCACTCCATCGCTACTCGCCTTGCCACGTCCGCTCTACCCTGCGTTCTTCTGGCCAGCCCTCGGCTTCGACAAGTGACGGAATATCCATCTTCCAGGTATAACGCAGTTGTAGCAACACAAGATATATCTAGCTAGGAGACAAATGTGCAGATTTGGTAAGGGGCACGACGAAGCGGATTAACGCAAGACATAAGCCTGAGATAATCGAGTACAAAGGTTCACGCCTCATCAAAGGAGCAAATGCCGGGCTAGCACAGGAAGAAACTATTAAGTAGCCGAGGTAAAGTCTCAGACAGTATCTACAGTAACCCGCCCATGAAGACGCTCATACTTGTCAAGCGCCTGTACTTCCGCCACGTTCTCGTAAGGCTGCCACGTCTCCTCTCCACCTTCCCACTTCACTAGTAGTTCTAGACCGCCATCATCCCGCCTTCTGTGACCGCAAATCTCCTCCACCCCCCACTCCTCCTCCCCGCTGTCGTCGCCAACCACTGGGGAGAGTGCCCGAGAGTCACCACACAATGGCCGAGACTCGTTTCGAGAAGGGTCGGTGGTTTTGAGCTTAGTGTGATACCTCATCTGAATAGCCCCGGCACTACGCCCCAGAAACTGCTCGGCGATCTCGACCCAAGACAAGCCCCCGCTCCTTCAGCCGAAGGATCTTTGCGTCGTCCGCTGGCGTGTATCTCGCCCTCCTTGAAGTCGAAGTTGGTTTGCCCTTGTGCTTCGTAATCTTGTTGCTCTTCTGTCTCGCTGGATGGTGCCTCTTCGCGGTGGTGCCCCGATTCTCCGTTCTACAGTACTCCGCTCCGTGCTCCGCGCACTGATCCCAGGTGAACTGCACCATGAAGGTGGGTGGCGAACCGTCCATTGTAACACGCTTGAGGACTGTATCTCCAAGGGGCCATTCCTCAAACGTTGCGGCGGGGGCTCTGTCCGTCTCGGTATCCCTTTCTAAACTAGGCTCTCGTGATGATGATAGATTGGTAGCGCTGTGCTGGCGCCTCGGACGCTGGGATGGTCTCCAAGCTTCTCTCAAAGAGTCGCCACAGTCCGGACGTGTCTGCTGCTGAGGGGCTGTCCCTCCGGCTGTATGTGTTGCAGCGCTCGCCCTACAGCGCTTGCGTCGCGGTGGCCGGACAGCCTCATCCTCGCTGTGTTCGGTGTCGCTGTACACACCAGGACAGCAGTTCTCCCCATCATTGGTACTGCTGAGCGGGTGTTAGGTTGCTCCAGAGGGGGAGGAAGCTCGAGGCCGAGACCAAAATCGAGCCAAAAGTTGCAATAGACGAAAGGCTGAGAATGTCTCGATTGGCGACGCGACGGCGGGCGGCTAGGGGACGCCAAAGAGGGCAGGGACGAGGCATCCGGCCTGGCGAAATGGGGATCGGAGCGCGAGCGACATTAGGCTAGCGAGCTGGAGACGAGGGAGGCAGGGGAACAGCGAAGCAGAGGAGGAGCGGGGGGGGCCGAGCGAAGGGGATGAGAGAGGGAGGAAGTCGAGAGTACAAGAAAGGGATGTCGAAGAGGAAGGCTCTATTTATGCGGCGGGGGCGGCGGGACCGTGCGAGGACGCGAGTCTGACGGAGCGCTATATCCGGTTAGGAACGCCGCCGTTTCCGGATGCAGCGACAGCATGTTGAACATTACAAAAGAAAATCCCATCCTCACATACACACATCACGCCATAGACAACAAAACCATCAAATCATATCCAGTGACCCCCCCTATCCAATCCCATCATAGACTCAAATCATCCATCCCCAACCATACAATCATATCATCGCATATCTCAATCCACAAACGGACAACCTTGGGGCTCCCTTTAAAACCAACCACCACCCTTCTCCTGACACCCCTTAGCCGGCTTCGCCTTGACCTTCTTCTGCTGCTGCTGTTGTTGCTGTTGCTCATCGACCGGCACCGAGACCGTGATGCGGACGGTCTCGGTCTCGTAGACGGTCTCCTCGACCGTCTGCGGGACGGCGGTGACGACGGTGGAGACGGTCTCGGTTTGCGTGACGACGCTGACGCGCACCGTCTGCGTCACCGTCTCGAACACGCGCACCGTCGTGCGCTCCGTCACCAGCGGCCCGGGTAGGAACGTCGACGTCGGCGCTGCCGCTGCAACGGACTCCTCCTCTTCCTCGGTGTCCGAGTCGGAGCTGTTGGGACCGCACGCGCCCGCGGGCTGTTCTTGCTCGGTTGCGGCCGCGTCGGTGGCGGCTTCCGGAATGATCTGTTCCTCCGCCGGGGTCTCGTCCGCCATGGTGATAGGGTACTCTGGTCCGCGTGGCGGGCACATATCGGCCGGGAGCTCGAAGCGAGGAATGTGCTGGACCTCGTGTTCCGCGACCTTCTGGGCATCCGCTTCCGAACTCTTCAGCACCACCTGCTCCTTAACCTCCTCTTCCACCACAACCGGAACCTCCTCCACAACAGCCGGCTGCTGCTGCTGGACCTCCTCCACGGTCTCCACAACATCCTTCTCCGGCTCAGCCGCAGCCCCAGCCGCTGCAACCCCCTCCAACCCCGCAACCTCCGGCATCCGCGAGCTGGCCAACCCCGCCTCCACCTCCCTCTCCCTCTCCCCAGCGCCACCACCACCAATAGCCTCAACCGCCGCAACTACCTCAACCGCCTCCCCCTTCCCCCCCTCAAACCTCCCATACCCCTCCCCCATCCCAGCCCCAGCCACAGGCACCTGCACCTGCACCACCTGCGGCGGAACAACCTGCACCTCCCCCACCCCCTCCCCAACACCAGGCCGCTTAACCACCACCGCCAAAAACACACACAGCAGGATAATGGCCACATTCTTCGGATCCCGCAGCAGGACCTTGAAGGCCTGGGTCAGCAGGTCGACAAAGCCGGCGTTCTCGTCGAGGACGACGGGGGGGCGGCGGTAGGGGTCTTGGTGGTGCTGGTGGTGGTGAGAGGAGGAGGAGGAGCCGTCGGTGAGGAGGGGGAGGGGAGGGGGGAAGGCATGTTGTTGTTGTTGTTGTTGGGGTTGTTGTTGTTGGGGTTGTTGTTGTGGAGGGGGTGGGTAATGATGTTGTTGTGGTTGTTGTTGTTGATGCTGGTGTTTTTGTTGGTCGGCTGGTTGTTGTGGCGGGGGGGGCGGTGTGTCGCCGTAGATCTCGCGCATGCGTTCCTCGTCACGGAGACGGCGCTCCTCGGAGGCGTCGACGCCGTAGGTGCTTGGGGTGGCGGCGCGGACGAGTGTGTTGGAGGCCGAGGGCTGGGGGGTGGCGGCGCGCATGGCGAGCTGCAGGGCCGAGGGCGCCGGGGAGGACATCATGCTCCGCTGGGCGTCCATGTCCGTCTCGCCCGCGAGGTCACCCTGCTGCCGGCTGGCTCCGCGCGCGTCTGGGTCTGACTTGCGCTCGGGCTCCGGCTCGGGCATCCGCTCCAGATCCAGCTCCCGGCGCCGCTGCTCGTCCAGCTCCATCTGCAGCACAGCCAGCTTCTCCAGCTCGCTCTGCACGGCCAGGTCCACAATCGGCTCGACCTCGACATCCACGCGCTCCATCTCCTTCCAGCAGGCTTCCCACGCACCGGCCCTCATCAGCCCGTTACTCGCGTACACCTTGATGCGGAACACCCTCCCCACGCCAAGGTCCTCACACCTAATCTCCCCACAGCACGTACCACACCAGTGCGTCTTCCCCTCCGCCCCGTCCGCCCCCTCGTCATCACTGTCCCCATCCTCAGGCACGTTCGCCGGGCCCACATAATGGCCACACTCGAGAATCCGCGCGCGGCGCCTCAGTGGCAGCTCCAAGGCCTCAAGCAAGCGCTCCTCAAGCACCTCATAATCGTTCTGCGGGTGCGGCAGCAGGATACCCCTCTCGAGGACAGTATCACCAACACGATCCTGCAGCTCGCGCCAGGCGTCGCGCAGCGTCTTGAGCGGGTCGCTCGGCTCGAACAAGGGCGAGGATGCGGCGGCGGCCATGGCGGGGCCGTCCTTGGCGGCGGCCGGCTGCAGGACCGAGTCGAGCGTGTTGAGCACGTCGCCCCAGACCCAGCGCAGGGGCAGCAGGGTGACGTGCAGCAGGACGAGGGGCGCCTCCTTGCGCGCGGACTTGAAGCGCGGCGGGGTGGAGCGGCCCTTGGGGGAGTACTGGGCGGACACGGTGGGGCTGCCGAGGCGGGAGATGGAGGAGGGAGGGCCGCCGCTGTTGCGAGGGCTTTGGTGGTGGTGATGGTGCTTGTGTGCTGATGACCGCGACGGCGAGCTGCCGTTGAAGACGGATGGTGTGGGGGACGTCATGTGCATGGCGCGGATCTCGGATGGGGTGCGGAATGGCATGCGTGTCTCGCGGTGGGTGGGAACGAAGGTGAGTTTGGGGTCGTCGTACTGGGAGAGACCGGAGATGGCGGAGAAGTTGGATGCGGTGCGCGCGGAGGAGTGTTCGTGCAACTGGCTGGATGCGTAGGAATCGCGCCGTGAAACACTTTCTTTGGCTTGCGGGGTCTTTATGCTCGGGATATCCGTGCTGTCGTGCTGATCAAGCGAATAAAGGGAGCTCCGCGCGCTGCGGTCGCTAAAGACGTCATCGTCACGCTCGTTATGCGAGCTGCTGTCGCCGGCGTCATCGCTCGAGATGGAGCGGGACGCCATGTGGCGGGCATGAGACTCGGAGGATTGCCGCCGGCTGGGTGAGTCGGCGTTTGTCGTGCTCCGTGCATCGTCTCCTAACACGTAGGTGTCGCGTGAGTCGGTGCTGACGAGTGAGTTGTCGACTTCATCTTCCTCCTGCGGTATGTCGCCGCTCTTGCGCTTCTCGATTTTGGCGACCACGGCGCGGGCGGCGGCCTGGATGAGGGCTTCGGTGCGGAGTGAAGTTTTCCTGTCGCCGAGGTCTGACTGGCGACCGCGTTCCTCTTCGTCCATGTCCGATTCTATGATGGAGGTGTCGACATCCTCAACGGGGAGGTTTTGGTCGTTCTCCTGCGGAATCTCCGAAGGAGCCTCGATATCATAAGCCGAAGTGTCGTTGGTTTCTTCTAATTCGTCGGTTGCCTCGGCCGAAGCGGCGGTCTCGTCTTCGTCTCGCGGTTCTGGTACCTCCTCTTGTGGCGGCGCCTGCTCCACTTGGTGTTCTGTTTCCTCCTCCTCTACTGGCTCGGGGATAAACTCGCCGGCCACAGTTTCTTCTGCCGGCTCTGTGTCCATAACCTGTGTTTCCGGTTCTGGGACAGACTCTTCTGAGACCGGTTCCTCGACTGGTTCGGTCTCGAATGTCGCTGTCTCGGGCTCGTCGAATTGCTCCGGCTCGGGTGCGGGCTCGTCTGTCTCGGTCTCGGCGGTCGCTGAGGATTCCTCCGTGGCTGTCGCCCGTTCTGTCTCCTCATCCTCGGGGGCTGATGGCTCGTCGACAGGCGGCTCAGCTGTCTGCACGTCTTCTTGCTCTGTAATCTCGGGCTCCGGCTGTTCTTCGGTTGATGCTTCGTCGTGAGGTGTGACTTCTCCCTCTGATTCCGGCCCCTGTTCGGCTGTCTGCTCCGCATCCTCTCCCATAGCTGCGGCACCCAATTCGTCTGGAGTGTCAGGAACGACGGCCGAGGCCTGCACCTCCTCGGGCGAGGGCGGCATGGTGGCGAAGGTTTCGTCGTCCATTGGTGCGCTCAGACAAGAAGGGTCGACAAAAATGTTGAAGTCCAGATCCAACTCTGGTGTCTTCCGTGGCATCGCGGAAACAAAAAGACAAGACAGCTGCGAGTGGGACAATGCAATTAAAGGAATTTAATAATTTCTACACGCTGCATGCGCGTCCCTTGATATCTCGGGGCAACGGCGGCAACCAGTGCAAAAGCCAATGCGATTGCCAATGGGAACTTGGAATGCCCTGGACCGGTGGAGAGGCTAAAGCAGTGATGCGCTGGCAACTGTCCGAAACGGTGATGCGAGGCGGCTTGTTTGGACGGGAGGGACACCCGACTGGCCTGGGGGCGGTGACAGGGCTTCCGGACAGGCGGTGACGGGCGCATGATGGGCTGTGACGGTGCCTAAGCCGCCGTTGGCCAATTGTTGGTCGAGTAAACAAACCGTTGCCGGGGGGATTGACCCCTCTGATTGTCTTGGCGGTCCAGGGGGTGGCCGTTGTGGACAGGGACGGGAGGGCAACCGCGACCCGCCGCAATGCAACCTCCCAGCGCCTTCCCGCAACATGTTCCAATTGCATTTTGGTCCCAAGTCGTCGAACCTCAATTGTAAATCTCAGCCCGGGCTTCTTCCAACGTCGCTGACCTCATTCTGGTTTCTCTCTTGCCCGCAGAGCCGAGGTAAGAAAGCGTTGACACCTCCTTGGCGTGGTCAAAGGAACAGCAGGCCAGCGACTGGGAGTGAGCCAGCGAGCCTCAGAGAAGGGACACGTCAACAAGCTGAGAAAGGCCACTTGGCTCGACACCTGCCGGGATTAGATTTGCCTCATCATATCCTCGCGGATCCGGGTAATCGAAAGTTGGGTGGTGAGAGCGAAAGCAATAGCCGGGCAATTAGTTTGGAAACATTTTACAGTGACCTTGGCGACAATATGGGCAACGGCAATCTCGGCGTTTCTGGCGAGCAGCCAGACAACCAAAGCGGTGATCGAGAGGCGAGTGACAGCCCTAGCGGCGCCCGACTCGGCCCTCGTCATGTATACTCCCTAGACGTTCAACGTGTGGCCAAACTCGAGCTCGAGAACTCCAGCCTGCTGCTCAAGACATTTCCGGGAGCCAACTGGGCATCCTTAATTGAAGCTGCCCCAGCTATTGTCCGCATCATGGGAGTCTTACTCAAGATATCCCGGGATGAGGCGGCAGCTGGACTCAAGATTGCCTCGCCCGGTATTAGGGGAGAGGATGGAGAGGTCATCGGGAAGCTGCCGCACAACTCCTTTCACACGGAGCTTGAGTCCTCCATCCACTCGGGCCGTTCTGTTTTGAAGGAATTTCAAGGTACCACGACCTGGGTCTTCAAAGCTGCTGACAGATGTCTCGTGCATGGCGGCAATATAAGCATCGAAATGCTCCAAGACGATCATGACGTCGTGGCCAATCTCGTCCCCGAGATCGATGAAGTCTGGGAGTTTGCCGAGGATTGTCTTAAGAGAATCAGAAGATTGAGTCAGCACTTGGAGTCCTGGTGCGAGAAAAATAGCTTTTTGAAGGATATGGCCAGGGAAGCCATAGGTAGGTATGAGTCTCGCGTCCCGGTTGCTGCGGATTGCTTGGGACTAATGGCGCATGGGAAAACCAAGCCGATGCTACCAAAACAGAACATGCTCAAGAACTGGCCATGAGTGATGTTGAGTCTCTATGTGATCAAAAGGTCATTGCCCCACAAGCGGAGCTGGTAAGACCTCGAGCCACCTCGTCAAGGATGTGTTAGCAATTGTCTAACATGTGCCAGCACCAGAAACCCATCGGCGATACCCTCTACAACTTTCAGAAACCCCTCGTCGACCTTAACGCCCGCGCCAGTCAGCTGGCTCAAAGCTTCAGCGTTCTTGTCGAGCTGTTCACTAGGGTCGAGGAGGATGCCAAGGATGTCCAGCAAACAGTCAAGCAGGGAGCAAAGCTCAAGAATAATGATGAGCTGGAGCTGATGGCCATGAGTCAAGCGGCCAAGAAGGTTCGTTGACGCCGGGGGTTACGGGATGCGAAGGATACGAGCTGACCAACGTTATGCCAGAGAGTCATTACCAAGGCATTTCACCTCCAAAGTCACGCCTCTGCGATTCGAGACATAACCGCAACCTTCGTCGAGGTGTCTAATAAATACATCAAACCTGCTTTGTCTAAGCTGGAGACTTTCTCATTCGGTACAGGCGTGGAGTGCAAGGTCGAGAATGAGGAGTTCATGACCTGGTGTGACAACGCAACGGCCGAAATCCGGGCTCTGGCCGCCGAGACCGATGCAAACCTGCGTCCCAATATCCAAGACCGAATCCTATCCCTGCAGGAATACGCCATTGATGTAGCGTTTCCTCGGTCAGAGGGAGAAGGAGATAGGAAAGGAGTGTGAAAACAGAGGGAGACAGGGAGTTCCCTCTAAGGCCCAGGGTAAGGGAGCTAATGTATGAAGCCAACAACGGCTGGTTGGTTGCCTAATGATAGACTATTAACAGGCCAAGTAAGGGGTTGCCGACGAAAGACACCGGGCCAGGATACAGCGCGATCACGAATGACGATACTTGAAACGGCAATCCAGGATTATTTGATGACACTCTACGGTATAGCTGATCTGATTTCTTGTTTTACCATGTTTTTTATCACTCGATCACAAATACTTCGTCGCCAAACAAACGTACTGATGAAGAGAAATGCCGACTCCAGATCGGTAATTTGTCGTTTTCCCACCGGGCCCGACCCCCTACAGCCCCCCCCCCCTGAATGCTGTCGCAGTCGAGGTCTACGACTTGCTCCCGCTTACGGCTCGACATACTCATAGCACAGATAGTCTCCCTGGATGTCCAAGACATCTCCCACCGTCTTGTTGGGACTGTTGCCGTACATGTTGAGGACATGGCCAAGCGTCGTCGTCGTGCCGGGATCACCATCCGCCCCCGTGGGCAATCTGCAGACCAACCTCATCAGTATCTTCCTCAACCCACCAGCAGAGTAAAAAACGATCTTACGGGATATTCGACGGCCGCGGCGGGAAGCCCGGCGAGTAGTCCGGGCCGATGTTGGTCCCGCTGATGGTGGTTGTGCGGGTCGCCCGGTCCAGCGCCTGCCAGTCCCAGAAGACCTTGTCGAGCCAGGTGTGGTGCAGGTAGAACAGCGGGTCGCCGGGGCTCGACACGCCATTGAGCATCTTCCCACCGCGTCAGCACGCCCACAGACCACACAACTACAGGTTACCTCTACTCGTGCCACCGAGCGCAACATAAAACATAAACAAGAACCAACTCACCTGCCCGCCCACCCCACCATGGCCGCCCGAGTGCGGCCGGCCCTCGATGCACGGCCAGGCCTCGTCAAAGGTGTCCAAGGCCAGGCAGGCGTCGACGTTGGCCTGCGCGGAGCCCGAGCTCATGCGGTCGTTGACGGCGCGGTTGATGCAGTGCTGCGTGTTGTCGTAGCCTGGGCCGAGCGAGTTGGTGTAGTTGGCAAAGGGCCCCGTGGCGATACAGCCGTCGCGCCCGACGCCGTTGCCGCCGAACCCGTGCGTCTCGTCGAAGAGCACCGATGCGCTGAACTTGCCCGCGTCTTGCTGCTCGTACCAGTAACTGGGGAGGGGGGTTTGGTTAGTGTGGGTTGGCTTTGATGCTGGTTTGTTGAACGGGGACTTGGGGAACATAGGTAGACAGCGGCCGTACGGTTGGTAGCCTGTGTAGTTGCACTCGTTCCGCAGGGCGCTCTCGTGCGCGTGCATCATCATGCGGTGGAATGGGAGGAATGCGCCCTAGGGCGTGTGTGTCAGTTGAAGAAGTTCTGGGTGGGCGAGCGCTTGATGACTTCGCCACGTACCACAAAATGAGTGGCATAGGCCTGAAGCTGGTGGATGGCCTGCAGCTCATCGAACCTCGTCTTAGCTGCCGGCAGATCAAGCCTCGCTGGAGTCTCCATGAGACAGAGTTCAGCATTGATATATTCTAGTTTCTCATCGTTGCTTAGAGTGTGCCTACCCACGCGAGTCAGTCAGACAACTTGCTGAGTGGTGATCAAGTCACAAGTTCTGGATATGACGGTACTCACCACGCTCGACGTTTGCCCGGATTAGTACAGGCTGCAGTTGCCGAACACACCAATAACAAGCAGGTAACTAGCTTCGAAATATGAGCCATGGTGCCCGTGCAAAGCTGTTCCTCGAGTCTGAGTTTTCGGGTTGTTGTGGCTAGGGGTGACACAGATACGAAGAAGGATCCTCCTCGCCTTGCATGCCCCCGGTTTCTAGGTGATGTTAACAACATATAACTTTTCTCGACACCCCATTTACTCCCCCTCAACTACTTTCCATCCTAAGAAATGCAATGGAACAGCAGTTGCGCTCTGACCCTGCAGTCATTACGTTTCCCGGCCACCTGGTTGGCTCCGCGGTGCATGCTGACGACGCGGGCTCTCAATTTGTGAACCTAGTGCGGCTTCTCGATATTAGTTCAGCGTTGTACAAGGGTTAATTTGGCCGACAGTTGAGCCTTGGGTTTGTCTTGGCCGTAGCAAGCCTCGGCCAAGAGTGTTACCAAGCGTGCCAATGGACAGTCTCGGCTGCTTGATGACCGGGCGGCCTCGGCGAAGATCCTTTTATCCTTTCTCCGCAAGTCACAAACGACCACTTTATCTGTAGGCGCTTGTTGTAGCGAGTGCCCGCGATCGCCAGAAGCCACGAGTCATGGCTAGGGTAGTCCACCCGGCGCCGGAAAGGTCCTACCGGATCTAGACGCCGAGACGGCCGGGACCGTCATGAACTTTAGCCTCAATGGCAACCATGCACCACTACCTGCCCGCATCCAGTTAATTTACACTTGCCGAGTTCAATCCCGTGCCGCTGTTCTCCCACATTCCGGCTCGGCTTCCCGTTCACCGGCTACCCGGGGCTTCGGGAGGGACTCGAGGGTATTAGCTAAAACCACGGCCAAGCTGCAATCCTCTGGGCTTCACACCAGTCTGATGAACTCATCAGTCCGGAGACAGTCACGGCTTGTTGACTAGAGTTGCTTGCTCTTTTTGTGGTGACACTGTGGAGGGAGGTATTGTGAACTCTGGGTACTTGGCAGAGTAGTTCAAACAACTCAATATGCGATAGGTTTAATAGAACACATGACAAAACGACAAATTCAAGGCTCGGTCGAGCCCCCAACAAAACCCCGCGTCACCCACTGCGCCTACTAGCGGCTTGCGCCGCTAGCCCCAGCATAGCCCCCGGGGGCGAAATACTCGACGACTCGGCCTGCCAACCAGCAATGTCAGTTACAAGGTAGCTTGAGAACAGAAGCACCAGACGATGCTGGAACAACTGGGAGGGTAAAAAAGTGACTTACGAATGTCTTTGAAATACTGCATGAACTTGCGATAACTATGTAGTCTTGTTTGGCAGCAAATTCTGACCTTCGTCGGACCTCACTCGCCCCTCGGCCCTGTCCCTGGCGTCCCCGGCACTGTTGATGTCGCCAACGACAAAGAGGGCGCCGACGTGCCTGGTGGTGGCGACGCAGATGCGGTGCGGGTCCACCACGAAGAGCGGATTCGTGGTGCGGTCCACGACCAGGGCGAGAACGACGACCAGCCCCTCCCGACCCTGGCGCGAGTCAATGGTGCTGACCGCCACGTCGCAGCCAGCGGCCTTCAGGGTCTTCTCGAGCCGGTCCAGGTTGGCCCGATACGGCGTAATGACGACGATATCGCTCGTCGTCACACCGAGATTAACAAGATCCCGAACGAGTTTAACAACGAGCGCGTTCTGGGGCTTGTTGTACCGTGATCCCATGTCCTTGTCCACCTCACAGTGCGAGTCGTGGTAGTGGAAGAACAGGGGCAAAATCGTACCGGCGGGCGAGGCGCTGACCTTGTACTCCGTCGTCACCCATGTCTCGATCTTTGTGGTTATGGGATGATGCTCGAGGGCTGTGGTCTCGCCGTACTCGAAGAGATTCTTGATGTCCGGGTAAATAATGGACTGCGCGAGATCGAACGAGCCCCTGACGATGCGGTACTGCGTCGTCAGAATGAAGCGCTGCCAGCCGGAGCGGCGGAGCTTCTCGAGCACCGAGGCCTTGCTTTGGTGCGAGTACACGTTGACGATCCGGCCCTGGCGACTCTCACCGTGCCTCATAACCGTTGGTGTCAGCTGCCGCTCGTCGCCGGCCAGCACACAGGGGCGGCATCCGGGGCCCCACACCAAAAGCGCGTCGGCCTCATGCATGGCTCCGGCCTCGTCGAGGATTACTCCTTTAGCCAGGTCCCTGTTATACAGCCTGTAGGGGTGCTGGCTGGCAAGGTAGGGAGTAGAGCAGACGGCATTGACCCTCTCGATAATTTGTACCATGAGCTCTTCTGCGATGTCGCACGGCGACCTCGCGTCTGGGGTGCCTTCTCGCTGTCCCCGGAAACCTGAATCAAGTTTGCCCTCCAGCCATAAAACGCAGGGTGTCGTAATGGGCCTCCCCTAGGAACGCCTTGCGGAGGTCGTGCAGTTGCTGCGGGTCTATTTCGACCAACTCGTACCCCGACGCCCCGACCACCTTGAGCAGCCACTCGCAAACCGACAAACTGAGATTCCATCGGGTGATGACGAACGGGTCCGTCACTTCACTTGAGTCGAATCGGAGAGCGATCTTGGCGAAGGCGTCGAGCTCCTTATTCATCCTGTAGTCGCGGACAACGAGGGGGGCACGCCAGTTCGAGCCGAGCTTCTTGCAGATCTTGACGCCGAGGTCGAAGAGACGCTCGGCCAAGTTGCTCGTCGCGACATGGGGTGGGTGCCGCGCAGTAAAGCGACCCAAAAGCCCGCATCAGCAACAAGGCGACGTGGCTGCTCATCTCGGTTTTTCCGGAGCCGGCAAACCCAATGAGCGGGATGACCCCGAGGCGATTGACCTTCAGGTACTCGCAGAAGCGCTTAAACGTGGCCTCGCCGATGCCGTCCTTGACAACTTCCAAGACCCCGTCCTTGGTGTTGGTGGCGAGTATGTTGACCTTTTTCAGCGAGTTTCCGCCAAAATCCTTTCCGTCGTCGCCGCTACACTCCCCTCGCTGCATTGTTATAGCGTCGACGTCAACGCCATCGCCACGAGGATGCAACAATGTGTTGAATCCTGACCCGGCAAGCAAATCGTTCTTGATGAGGTTCAGGATTTGCTGCTCGTAGGCACTACCTTGACGTCGGTCGCCGGGGCGTGCACTTCCCAAAGAGGCTTGACGGCATTAACGCGGGCTTTCGCAACGTCCTCACCATCGTCGAACTTGAGATAAAAGTTGCCCTACGACTTGTTGACCTCGCTGTACGTGTCGAAGGCGACAATGTTGCGCCTAGCAACCCTATGTCCGGGGTCGTCGCGGCCAAGCGGGCGGCGGATCTCCATAACAAAATCACACCCAGTCGACTTCCAAGGGTCCGCGGAAATTTGCCAGGCTCTCCAGTAATCAGTGTCCATGGCCTTTTCTACGGGCGGCGGCGCAAAAGCTAGGCCAAACTTGGCATCTCCCTTCAAGAGGCGGGCCAGCGTGTTCCCGAATCTTTCGTTCTACCTTGATGTTAGCTAACAAGCTTTGAGCCACTCGATGATGTCACTTACGTCGAGATGGTGCCAGGCGAGCACACGGAACTCCTTGGTATTGTCCAGCGCGACGTTTAGAAACGCACACTCGATCCTTTCCTTGCGAATTGCCATAACGTCCTTCATGAACTGGTAGACGTCCTGCACAACACCCTGGGCAATAGCCACCGCACAGTCTTGGTGACGATGGAACTTGTAATTCGCTTGGTACGATGTGTCCCTAGCGAATTCCTTGAGCTCGACCTCGTACCGAGCAGGATCCCATTCTCTGTGAGCTTGTTAGCAGGGACGACTGGTAAAAAACCAAGACAACTAGTGAACAGCCAAGATAACTGGTGAGGGGCGAAGATGATTGGTGAAGATCGAAGATGACTGCTAAAGAACCAGGAGGATTCGTATTACTCATTCGTTGGTATACGGATACGCCGTTTCGAACTGCGGCGGGAAAACCGTCCTCAACTGGTTGTTTATATGGGGGAGCTTGGCAGAGAACTTCGGGATAACGACCTCAAATGTTCTCTGGGGGCAAAACTCCCGAAGGGTCACCACGTCGTCAATCTTCGCGTCCTCGTGAAAGATAGCCTGGTCCACAGGGCTCGCGCAGACCGTAGGCATGCCGTAGTTCTCGACATATGCTTTCTCGTTAGCCTTCAACGTGAACCGCAAGATCGACAAGGTATCATTCTTTTCGGCGGTACGGGGGGGCAGTCTGGCAAGCTCCTCCGGCGACAAGTCCCTTCCAGAGCTCATGAATGTTCCAGCTTTCAGCTGGACGGTGATGGAACGTTCTTTCAGGGGGTTACCCTGAGAGTCGCTGAAGCTGACGTAATTGAGGTTCTAGGGGACCGGGAAATTGATCCTCAGGTCAATATGAGGACCGTTCAAGGCGCAATCGTGGAACGTAATAGCGGGTCTGGTGGTTGTCCGGGTATCCGATCTTCATGCCGCCGATGACAGCGACTTCTCCGCCGGAGTTGTTGTCCTCAGCAAAGGCCAATCCACTCTTTGTGTTGAAAACAAAGGCTCAATCCCGAAGACGGCGAGTAGAGGCAGGAGCCCTGGTGGTAGCGCCGGCAAATGACATATTGGTACTTTAGACCTGTTAGTAGGCGAGAGCCTTGGCCCTTGGGAGGCTAGAAAAAAAAAACACAAAAAAGGAATGTAAGTCAAGGGAAGAAAAGGAAGGAAATCAAGACAAAAGAAAGAATTAAAAGAAACAGAGCAAAAGAGAACCAAGATAAATACCACTTACGTTGTGGCCGAAGCCGAAAAAAAGGGACAGCCACCAGGGGCGGACTGACCACGGGACTAGCCGAAGCGTCAGTAGGTGAGAGACTCGGTCCTCGGGAGGTTGACTGCTTACTTTATGGCCGAAGCCGAAAAAAAAATGGACAGCCGCCAGAGGCGGACTGACCGCCGGGGAGAAGAACGAGACTAAAACCAAATGTTAGTAAGTGAGAAACTTTGTTCTTGGAAGGCTGACCACTTACGTTATGGCCGAAGCCAAAAGAGCGGCAGCCGCCAGAAGCAGGCTGCCCGACCGACAAAAAGAAAAAAAAAATCGAGAGATTGGAGACCGACAATGCTGCACATTCAACCGTTAGCTACTGCTACCAGTAACAAACTGTAGTTATTTTGATCCCTTACTGATGACGCGCAAAACGAAGCGCGCGCGAAAACGATGGTCTTGTCGACAGGTGTTGGGCGAAGAAAATGGAGTTGAGAAGAATGAAGTTGAGCGATCGCAAAGAGTGAAGTCCGAAAAGAGAAGGTGGGGCTGCGACGAGAGGAGGAAAGAAACATTCAAATGCCCAAAATCTATTAACTAGGTAATTATATAGTCACTCGTTCTGGAGAGCTCTGGGAGTTCTCTAGTTAGCAATCACAACTACAGTTCGCTACAAGTTCGAAAGCCTACTGTTGAGACAAGTCTTTGTTGTGCCCTTTGGCTGCACCGAACCTAAGCACCCTTGCAAGATTACCTTCGACCGAAGCTGAACCCTAACAGGACGGGGTCCTGGAGTAGGTTCGTCACACTTTTCTCCTTTACTTACATCCTTTCTTTTTCTTTTGCTCTATTTTCTTTTTTCTCTTTTCTTAATTACTTTCCTTCTTTCCAGAATTATTCAATTTCGTGATTCCATACTGGCTTATCTACGCACGACAGTGAACGCCTTGATTATGTGCTGTCTACGTGTTTTTTCGGCAGTGCAAAACGTCTGCGCCATGGGTTTCTGTAGATCTCGGTGCCAGAGTGGCATTCTTGGTGGCTTGGTCTGAATGCTTTTTTCTTTTGCATCCCAACCCTAACCCGGTCGTTACTTCGTAATCCGGATGATTCCGTCGCCCCTGCAGATCTGTGGAGCCGAGCCGAGTGGGACACAGCCACAATTTGGTCAACCAAAAATAACAGAGAGCCACACTGGGGCCAAAAGTCTCCAGATGAGCGCCACAATACCTCGACACCGCCACAATTTGTCTCGCACCCTCTCTAACCAACAGGGACAGAGCTAGCAGAACCCGAAACCAAACAGCTCGAGAGCTCCATCTGACTGAGGCAAGGGAAGTGGGCGGGCGGAGAAGCAAAGGTGCTCTAGGCCTTGCTTCGGGGAGATGGAAAGAACGGAGGCTCAAAGCATAGGCCTCCGGACACCTCGCGAAGCAGCCTGATTGCATGAACCACAACACACTGGCGGAAAAGTCGTGAAACAATAGGGTTGGCGGGGGCGCAACACAACACACAAATCGGGGACGGCTATTTGACCGGAATGTTTACACGAAGACATACTTTTTGGGGGTTGGGATGTCGGCAAGGGGTTGGCTGGCAAGGCTGGGTTGGTTTGTTGAATCCCAGCCCATCTATCTACCGTGCAGCTGCGAACCTCAAGCTTTACAAGCCCCATAACCAGAAAAGGGGATAAGCTGGCGAGAAATGGACGTCCACTCTTGTCAGCGTTGCCGTCCCAAGTTTTCGAATCAAGGTTTTCCCCGGCGACCGAGCGCCTGGACGGGTGGAGGAGCGGCGCCGTTGATGAAACAACTTTTGTATTTTGGTGATACAGAATGGATCCAGCGCAGGTTGATCAGCAGCCTTTCTGCGAAAGCTGGAACCAAAGAGGGGATCGCTGTGAGCGGATTGAAGGCGGAGCTTCCACGGACTCGACAAAGGACCCATCGGAGGCGGCAAATGCCGACTCACCGGCTCGCTGGCACGCCCCCATTCTCGCACACTCCCTTGCACCACAATCCGCCGGCTCAGGGCTTCTTTTCTGTGGATGACATGAGTTGCTACCACTGGCTGCCAACTGCAGTAACCAGGCGTGGTGAAAACACGGCATTCGACCAACACATCATTCGAGATCGAGGTTCCACTCCTTTGAATGGTTTCCGGCGTCCCTCACGGCATGTGGGGGCCCGCCCTGGCCGATACGCGGGTCAAACAGCAAATGTAGAACAGTGTCATTCCATACCCTCCAAATCGCAAGATGAGCACCGTCCGCTTGGTCGACAAGACGAAGGTAAATTTCGCAACTGTTTTGTCCCCGTTCTGATGCGTTCTGATGCGGAGTTATCGAAGCGCCCGCTCCAGGTTTCATCCCCTTTTTGTATCATCCTAGACCGTAAACGCCGAGTGAGGCAGTGCAAAGCCGCGAAGGAGCCAACAGGGTCTTCCCATTTCCATGGCCGCGCAAGACTGTCCGTGACTTCCGGGGGCCCTCTGCAGCTCAACTCGCACTCGCCTGGCACTCCGCATCGCAGTTCTGCCCAGTTGTGCAGTTCTCCGTCTCAACACATTCAGCGGGACTGACTCTGAGACCGCATCGTCGAGTCGTGCAAGGCGCGCTTTGCGATATCTCCGCAGCCAGGCAGCAGTTTTTGTCAAAAGCGCCGGGCTGTTTTCCCTCCGCCTTTGGGCCGCAGCGATCAAGGTGAATGAAGGACGGTGGCTCGGCCGAAGCCATCACTCTGATACGGGGATTTGGGTACTTGGGATGCACCGCCATTTTACAGCGAGGGACCAAGTACCCGAAGGCTCGGTCGGAGCTTGCTCCAACCCATTGCGCCGTGTGGCCGTTGAACAGGCTATTTTGCCGAGCCGTGTCCTGATTTGTCCGATGGCCGAGGGTTTTATGGGGACTGTCAACCAGATTGGCTGGCCGGTTCCTCTCGCATTGGCTTACGCGTCCCCTTTCCCAAAGCGACAGATATCCCTGCGACCGGGATTGCCTGCTGCAACCACCGCCCGGTTTCTTGCGTTGCTCATTCAAAACTGGCGCACCTTGCCTTTCCTCCCGCCCCCTCTTCTTTTTACATGTTTTGCAACTCACTAGGCCCGTCAAATAACCATCTCCAACATAACGACACCAACGATATATCCTCGAAATATTCGACGGCATCAAAATCGAGCGATAGCGATTGAGTTTTGGCCAGTCCTTTGTTAGCGCCCGATTAGTCACCCCAGTTCCGGCCGCGGGCAACACAATGGCTGGGTCCCAACAAGGCAACGGGTTCGACCTCGACCCTCTGGAATTTATGGACTTTTCGCAATACGACAACACCACCACCGACACTACCAGCAACGCGTTGAGCTTCCACCCATCCTCGCTCTCACCATCGACGTCGATCTCGCTCAAGTCAGAAACTCCGGAAGGCTCGTCGTTGTTCCCCACCAACCAAGGGTTCGCAGCACCCAGCCATCAGTACAACCTCTACAAGCAGCAAACAGGTCTCGTCCCGGGCGCACTGACAACGACGTTGTCGATGAACGAGCCGCAAGGGTATTTCCAAGAGTATCTCGACCTTCAACAACAACACGACATGCTCGCCGGGATTGGGGAGTCGGACGACGTCTTCGACTTCAACGCACCCCTGCCCACTGGCTTGGACACCTCGGGGATGGATCTTGGCTTCGAGTCCTCCGATGCGGGACTCTACCTCGGCTCGACCATCAACCCCAGCGCCATCGGTGGCCACGAACCTGATGGGCTGACTTCCCCCTTGCCGACGACACCCGCGTTGTCGAGCACCCCCGGCAGAGTGTGGCCAGGCATGCACCAGCAACAAGCGGCGATTGCCAGGGCACAGCAGCAACAGAAACAGCAAGAGATGCAGAGGCAACAACAGCAACAGCAACAGCTGCAAAGACAACGTGTCCAGGCCAAGCAGGCGCAGAAGGCCAGGTCACCTCAAACGAGCAGCTCCATCGCCGAGCAAAACGTTCAGAACATTCTGAGCTCGATGCGCTCGGAGCCTGTGCAGTACACTCCAATCAAGAGTGTGCCGACGGCAAACTTCCCCAAGAAGCAAAAGTCCGAGGCAGAGATGGATGAGGATGAGAAGTTCCTCGCCAGCGAGGAAGGCAAGAAGCTCAGCAGCCAAGAGCGCCGTCAGCTTAGGAACAAGGTTTCCGCTCGCGCGTTCCGCGGCAGGAGAAAGGGTAAGCATTTCTCCCCCATCACCACTCGTCGTATCCCGCCCCCATAGCTAACACCATCGCAGAGTACATTGGCTGGCTCGAGGGCGAGCTCACGGACCGGCACAACGACTCGGGTCTTCTGCGAGCGCAGAACAAGGCGCTGATCGAGGAGAACGCGCGGCTGACCAACCTCACCAAGATGCTGCTCTCGTCGGACCACTTCCGCGACCTGCTCAGCGACCTCAGCTCCAACCCGGAGAAGCTCGACGACCTGCACTCGGCCGGCGAGCCCCACGTCCAGGCCCACGCCCGCCAGCAGGCCCAGCAGGAGGCCGAGATGCAGGCCCGCCTCCAGGCCGAGAAGGACGCCAACCCGCACTTGGCCGAGCAGCAACACCTCCGCTACCAGGAACACTTCCGCCTCCACATGATGTCGGGCCATGCATGAGCTGGTTTCGAATGACGAGTGGTGTTGGAGCGCGGTAGGGATCGGTTCTTGGTTTTTGGAGAGGTTGCCTGTTGTGTGCCTGTTGTTGTGGGAGTCGGTCACGGGTGGCGTCGTCGTGCTTTTCGGGCTTAGGAAACTTGGGTTGTGCATAGCGATATACTCTCTGATTCTTTTGTATAGTCTTTTTCTTACCTCTTTTATCATGTTTATTATTATGATCTGCCCTCCTCAGCTCAAGCGAGTGTGCGCGCGATTTGCCCGACACACCAAGTCAGGTCTACCCCACGGTCTAGAAGAAATACAATTTGCTCTAATCTCTGGTCCCGTTCATCTTGCTTGCTTTTGGTGATGGTTTGGTGTTCGACGTGCCACGGCATCCGCCGCCATGGGATTTGAAGCCACAGCATGCATCATTGGTCATGCCGTTACCAAAACTGTCACCTGCTTTTGGCCTGGCCTTGGTGTGTGTTGGTTACCTCAGCCGAATTGGACTAGTTACCCGTGTCCGAGTTGAAAACACGACATCACTGTTGTTGTAGGTGGTCTGCTCCAAACCGATAATACGAAACCGACGAGAATTCTCATTTTCCCATTTGCCTCATTTCTGCTGTATACCGCCCCATTCCTCCTTCTCTGATGCTGCTCATCCAATCTTCAAAGAGCGAACCCGAAGCGTTTGCTTAACACTAACCGATTCCTGAGTTATGTAGAAGGGAATAGAGGACGCCCCCAGCGTGGAACCAAAACTAATGCGCGCGGGGCATGCGAATTCTTTCTGTACAATCCTATCTTCGGTCACCTCTACAACCCGTATCCATCCTATCCCTTGGGGTCAGGTTGTCACCGAAAGCCTCTTGTCACACCAAGTTTGGTACGTGCCTGGGTGTAGGGGTGAGATGGTTTGTTCAGGTGTGGCATCGTTGCTGTTGGTGACTAGGCAGTCGTGATCACGTCCAAGTTCTGGTAGCTATTCTCTTTCCCCATTTCCTTGTTCTTAGCCCCTGAGGGAAAGAAAGAGAGGGGTATAATAGATACAAAACAGCCTAACAGGCCACATCCATGATCTGTTCCTTCTCTCCTCGGGTTGCCATTGGTCTCCCAGGCTTCCGGTGACTAGGCGCGGGTGCCTAAACACTCATGTGGCCACGAGAATTATTAGGAAGCACAACAAAGTGACGGGACGAGAGGGGTAGTAGGGCTCAGTGTGAATGAAATGGCCCGGTGAATCCCGATATTCCGTGGTAAAGGCCGCTCGTGACTACCTATCTATCTACCTTCCAAGCATTTATTTCACTCTTTAAATCACCTCGTAGGTGGCCTTTGTAATCTTTTCCGTTGTTCCCCTCCACCATCTACCAGAATCAGTCTCATTGAGCACTCACTACGAGCTTGAGCCACACCTCAACTACACAAGTTGAACACAAGTTGGACTTCAAAAAGATAAAATGGTAAGTCGTTCTATTTTCCATCCACCTACACCTTTTCCCGACTGCCAGGCCCGACAGGCCCGCCGCATACATCCGAAGTCATGTTTGCCGGGCCTGCAGGCTATCAATCGAGCAAACAAGCCTGCTTTCTGTTTTCTTTCTTCCCATGCAGAGGCAAACGAAACTAACCGATCTGAGTGTAGGAATCATTGCAGGCGACCTGCAACCAGTTCTGGCAAGGTTTGGACCCTACAAAGCCTGAGCGACTTTCCAAAGTTCTCGTTGCCCTACACTGCTTCCACATCGCACCGCCGACAGACATCTTCCACTGCGAGTTTACAGTCCATCCCGCGGATCATCATCGCATTTACGACGGCTTTCCCGAGCTCCAGTTGCTGGAGGAACTCATCGACAAAAATATACATTTCGTGAGTACTTGACTTTGCTACCTTGCATGCTGCGGACTGCAACCCCTTCAGCAACCCCCGCCGTCACCATTTGTATTTCATTTCCTGACTGCGTCGCAGCACTTTGACGCATCAACAGGTGCCCTCGCCACGATATACCATACCTCTTCCCACAAGAATGTCTGTTTCGCCTTATCGAACGAGATGCACGTTGGTCTGAGATCACTCCTCAGCCACCCAGGCTCGGTCGGCGCCCTCGCCCGGCAGGTAAAGCACCGGAATTTCCCTCTCATTCTGCGCGGCGAGGGGGTCAATTGAGACGGCAAGCCCACCGACATCACACAAATTCCCGCCTTGTCGTATGGTACCTCGCGCAGCACCGATCCGACCTTCGTCTTTGACTTCGCTGGTCACCAAGTCGACGCGCCGAGCAAGCACGCTCGGTACATCACCAAGCATCGTGCCCGAACCGTTGTTTCTCTCCGACTCAGCGTCCCTACAACGGCGTGGCTCGGCGAGAAGGCGAAGTACACACGCATGGCCGACAACTCGGCCGTCTGGGTTTGGACAACGTTGATGGAACGGTGCAGCCTGTCGTCCAGAAGGAACCACTGTCGATGCCCGGCGGGCAGATCAAGCTTTGGTTGTCAGACCTTGTTCCCATGGCCGACCTCGCAAACCTCCCCAGCGAGTTTGTCCGGCCTCTCCGCGATGAGCAAGTTGTCGTCTCTTCCTCCGATTTCGTCGCCGCTGCCCCTGACCCTTAACTACGAGACTCAGCCCGCTGACCCAAACTCCATGCAGACCCGAACGCACCGCCAACATTTCAATCCCGTACTCGGTCATTCTGGAGACCCTCAAGGACACTTCGGACGCGGTATTCGGGGTGACCGACAGCAATCCGGTGCCCTCCAAGAGCATTGACCAGAGGCTGCCAGCCATCAACACCGATGCGAGCGGCAGGCGGCACTTCTCGTCTGCTGCTCGTGATCCTGTGGCTTATCGCAAGCCGGCGGCCGGCGCCGCGTTCAATCCGGCGATGGCGGCCTCCGTCGGCCGCTTCTCGGCGCGGTTCCTTCGGGCCTTCCGAAAGTAAGGTCCCGATGGCAGCATCGGATTTGTCGCATCGGGAGCACGCAGGACAAAGGTTGTTCAGTCGGCCGCTTTTCGGCACTGACAACATCGCGTCCCTCGAGGCAGCGGCGGGTGGGCCAGGGGTTGCAGAGAAGGAGAACGGTCTGATCGATTGAGCGCGGTATTTGTAGTAGCTTGCTGTAGTCTTGCAGGAGTCAGGTACTAAGTGTAGAGTTGATGTATTAACCGCGCCGGTGATGGCTGCTTGGCGAAGAAGTACATTGGCGAAGCGGATAGTCTACTCTCAATTGACAATCTCCTCTCACCCAATTTGCGAGTGTACTTGCCATTCCTCTACTTCATTTTCCAACTTATTTCTTGGGAGGCCGACCACTTCTTAAGTTCTTCCGTTGTGGCTGAGGCTGAAAGGGGACAGCTGCCAGAGGCGGACTAACCGACAAGGAGAGAAAAGCCGAGACCGGCAGTATTGCCCATGGTCTTCATGTATAGTGTGATTTTTGTATACAAATTATCCTTAGATGCTTCTCGCGCTCTTATCAAGAAGCGTGGTGGTCAATTAGACTTTGGAGTTGAGTTGACCCTCTTTCCCTTCACGATGGCGCAACTTCATGCACATGGCATTGAGAACTTGGCTTTGTGATGTGTTCGGGTTGATGAGTAGGTAAAGACCCCGTCCAACGGAAAGCAGATGGGAGAAAGGTTACCCTTCCCATTTATCAAAGATGTACCTAGCCACCACTCCCAACTTTCGGTTGTTATCGGGGTGGGTGGTTGTTGAGAAAAGGTGGAGTCAAGCGATTGCCGGTTTCTGGTTGGCAAACAGCGAGAGGGAAGTCCAAAAAGAGAAAGTGGGGGTTTCCAAATTTGCGGGCTTGGATGCGGCCAATTAGAATAAGGGTTTAAAAGTCTGTGCCCACCCGCCAAAATGATCGCATCGCAGCCGTCAACAACACGACCACGAATTAAATTGAATGTGATAAAAAACACAGTTATCATTCCTACATCGTAGGCAATATTATAAAAAGATCCATTAATAAAAAGGTAACCATTTGACCCAGGTGAGGCTTGAACTCACGATCTTCGCATACCCATAGCCTTTAGGAAAGGGGTATAAGAGCGAAATCTTAACCACTAGACCACAGGGTCCTTTTTGGAACTACATGTACAAACCTAAAATAATATACCCAAACCTTTCATACATAACCCCAACCCTAACGCGCACGTCTCTTTTCCCCGAACGACTGCCAGACACCTCTTTTCCTACCTACCTACTTAAGCATGGCCACAATAATCGAGCACCTTCTCACAGGCGCATACGTCTTGATTTCCACAACCTTCAACCCCGCATGGTCCAGCAAGGCAGTCCAGTCATCCCTCCACCTCTCCATCCCCCCAAACAACAATATCATGTTCAGACCCTGCCCGGCCACCCATGAATCCGCCCCCTCGTCCGGCACCACCAGCTCATCAATCAACACCTACGAGTCAGCCGCCCGTGGTACCTATTTTGCCCTCATCTACGTCACTTGAGCTCAACAATTGCGGGACATATAGCAGTTGCCCTTGCTATACTAAGTGCCTGTTTCTTTTGTGGGAACCTTTTGTGTTCTGTCCGGATAGAGGATGTCTTTTTAGCCTTTCCGTTTCCGCGTTGCATTTGCAGGTTGTATGTTCATGGGCAGTCTTAGTTTGGAGGTCAGACAACAGAACCTCCAGTTTTCCACGACATGCGAAAAGTGCGTGACAATAAGCGGTTTCGTCTAGACAGGGGGCTGCGGTGGTTTGTTTCACGCCGAATGAGTTTGATGCTGGCGCTTCCTCCCCTTATCTAGATAGGTAACAGATTAGTGCATCTGAGGGTAAATTGTTGATACGACATCCGGCCACCAATTGGCACACCAAGTCGTGCATCCACCTGTTCGATACACCGCAATGCATTAATGCAGGGGGGCTTTAACCTTGAAGAGCTGGATACAAGCTCGGTCATTCCTCACAGCCACGTGGCACTATTAAACAGGAGGATGCGTGACCTAGACTGTGAGATGCTTGTCCGACTGTCGTAACACTAATCCTTCGGATGTAACGATCTGTTAGATATGGGGAGGAACCACGAGCTTCAACTATGTTTGGCACGAGGCCAACTCTGTACAGGCATGGCCTCACACTCTCATGTACTGCTTACTCCCATCTCTGTAGGATTCCCAGGTGGTGAAAAACTGCAGGCGATGATGTTGTTGTCGTGCGGTGTTGCCTTGCTGTCTGACCTCCTTGACCAGCTACCAGAAAGGAAGCCGACTCAGGAGCTTTATGTATGCAGCAAAAACGCAGTGAGGAAATGGAAAAACAAAGACCCTCCTCCCCTGAACAGACCTGTCAGAGCGCAAACTTGGTATGGCCCAAGCCACGCCCTAGGCCAACACACACGGGGCCTCCCTCCCCAGGTAGGACCGCACTCAGGACTAGGGGTATAGGCACGGCGCTTAGAAAGAGGGTTCATTCGAGTTACATGCCTAAAAACAACAAGAGTTTATTTATCTCCATTGTACTATACTTTTAAGCGATTCAAGCCTAGCCACTCTAAGGTTGTAGGTTTAACTACCTACACTGTTGTTAATTCGATTCAAATGAAAGGGGAGGAAGGGGGCACAAGCGCGCTAGGGTTGGAATTATGTATGCAAGGTTCGGGTATATCATCCTAGGTTTGTAAGTGTAGTTCCAAAAAGGACCCTGTGGTCTAGTGGTTAAGATTTCGCTCTTATACCCCTTTCCTAAAGGCTATGGGTATGCGAAGATCGTGAGAAGGGGGCTTGGAGCTATCCCACCTTTTAGGTGATGATTAATCTTATTACATCCAGGTGCTGGAAAGCATCAGTTCGACGTTATGGCTACCTACAATCAGGCGCTGTCCTTTACTCTTTCCTACCTGGTGACTCTTTCCTACCTGGTGACTCTTTCCTACCTGGTGGATGATGGATGTGGGTTTTGGGACCTCTCCTTGTTTTGTTTTCTTCAAGTAGTGCCATAGAACAACAACATTTTTTGGTGAATTTATCCTCCCTCGCACGTTGACGACCCCCCAAGTATCGTCCCCTTCGTCGCTCAGTCTGCCCCGGCAGCTGGGCTTTGTTGGCTTCGGCCACCGACTTTGCCCCGGGCGAGTCTCTCGACATCATGTCCCCCAACGGTAGGCCATTTTTCCTCCATCTACATGATAGTTTCTGGCCCCCATTCAGCTACACGCCCTCGCCGAACTGCCGCTACTGCCATCGCCAGTAAAGGGCACCGTCGTGCCAGCTGCCTTTGAGAGGGATGGATGGTTTGGTCAGGGTTATCCTGCTGCTTCTTGGCCAATTCCTAAGGCTGCATCAAGGGCCCCGAAGTTGTTCGGCCCCTGGGCCCTTTGAGCCGGATCATTATACGCTTTCAGGACTCCACGTCCCCGTTTAGAAGCCCACATCCAAGTTTTGCCTATGGCGTTGTTGCCACCGCGTCGCGTCAGCACCACTAGCCAAAAAAAGCGGACTCGAAAGGGGAGAGGAAATCAAGAAAAGAGAAAGCCAAGGAAAACAGGAAAATGGAAGAGGTAAAAAAATCTGGGCAAAAGAAATCAAAAAGAAATTAAACGCAACCAACAAACCAAATAAAACGTAAATTTTGGGTTTCCGAATGACTTTCTTTTCCCTCTTCTGATACCCGTGCCACGCCCGCAGGTAGTCGGCTTTTTTGGCCAGAGGGCCGGGTGTTAACAAAGGCCCCACATTGCCGAGGACCCACTGAAAAGTAGCGATAACGATAACGAGCATGCTGAAAGACTGGAAAATCTCGGCTCGAGACAGGCCGTGGATGAACTCGATAGCCTCCCGACAGTCGACAACATGGTCAAAAGAAAGGTCGCCGCGCTCGAAAAGGTCGAGGCCGATTTAGTCAATCTGCAGTACAAGATTCGGAGAGACCCTAGGTTTGTCCCCTACCATTGCACTGCGCATTCGTCAATTGCTGACCGAAACTGCAGGTCCTACGCGCAGGAATTCCACGACCAGTGGCTTGCCTACGATGCGCAACGCCAGATCTTCGTCTCTTCCCCGTCGACTGTCTCCAGCGAGGATACCAAAAAGTTTCACGACCTCGTCGACCTCGTAGCCCACGTCGCAGACCTCTACCCCGAGCTCGCCGCCCCGTACCCTGACCACCTCAAAGAGCTCCTAAACCAGCACCATGCGACCCTCGATAAGGAACTGCGCGAGAAGGTGGTGGGCAGTTTGGTGCTGCTCCGGAGAAAAGATGTAATCGACTCGGCCAGCCTGTTGACAACCCTCTTCCCGATCCTCATCTCGACCCCGAGCAAGACCCTACGGTCGCTGCTGTACACCAAGATCATCAGTGACTTGAGGGAATCAAACTCCAAGACAACGAACCACCGACTCAACCGGACCATTCAAACCGTACTACACAACCTTGTCACCTCGGATCGCACTTCGACCAAGGGCATGTGGGCCACGCGCATCACACGCGAGCTGTGGCGCCGCCAGATCTGGACCGACGCGAAGCCGTGCGACGTAATGAAGGAGGCCTGCCTCAGCGATAACGAAAAGGTCGTCATTGGTGGTGTGAGGTTCTTCTTGGGCGGAGACAAGGAGCGGGAGGAGCTCGAAGATGAGTTAAGCGACGAGGACATTGACATCAAGAAGGTCAAGCACCAAGGGACCATCAACAAAAAGACCAAGAAGCGCCAAAAGGCGTACGAAAGGGCGGTCGACAAGATCAAGAAGTAGGTTGCCTTTCCCCCCATTTCGTCCCGGCCCATAATTAACCTGGAGCAGGCACGACCGCAAAAAGAATGCACCACATCCCCTGAACTTCTCAGCCCTCCATCTCATTCACGACCCCCAAGGGTTCGCCGAGAAGCTGTTCCAGAAGCATCTGCAAAACACCAAGAACAGGTTCTCTCTCGACAACAAGCTGCTCATTCTGCAGCTGGTGACTCGTCTTGTCGGGCTGCACAAGCTCACCATCATCTCCCTCTACTCTTGGTTCGTCCGGTACCTGACGCCGAAGCAACTGAGCGTCACGTCATTCTTGGCGTCGCTGGCCCAAGCAACACATGACCTGGTGCCTCCCGATGTCATTGAGCCGCTGGTGGTGAAGATCGCTAACGAGTTCGTCTCGGAGGCGTCCGCCGCCGAGGTGTGCTCCGCTGGCATCAACGCCATCCGCGAGGTGGCCCTTCGGCAGCCTCTTTGCATGACCGAGACCCTCTTGCAGGATCTTGTGTTGTACCAGAGGAGTAAAGACAAGGGCGTGGTAATGGCGGCGAAGGGCTTGCAGTCTCTTTATCGCGAGGTCTACCCCGAACTGCTGCAGAAGAAGTACCGTGGAAAGCAAGCTACAATGGGTCTGCGGTCGGGAGCCGTCAAGCAGCGGCAGTTCGGTGAGGCAGAGCAGGGCGGCATCGAGGGTATCGAGCTGCTCGAGCAGTATAAAGAGGAACAAAAGAAAAAGAAACAGGAGGAACAGGCCCTGGAAAATGGGGGTGCCGAAAGGAAGGAAGACGACGAGGAAGATGACGGCTTCAACTCGGACGAGTGGGAGGTTGCCTCCACCGATAGCGAGTCCTCCGGTGGCTGGATTGACGTCAGCAGCGACTCGGACGACGACGAGCCAGCCAAAAAGAAGCGTCGGAGAGAGGATGACGCCGACGAAGCCCCCGAACTCGTCGACACCTCCACCGAAGCAGGCGCTGCGGAGGCTGAGCTCAACCGCATCTCCAAGCTCGCCACAACCTCCATCCTCACCCCCGCCGATCTTGCCAAGCTCGAGGAGCTCCGCCGCGAAGCCAAGATCGACAAGGCTCTCGGCCGCACCTCGAAGCGCAAGAAGGAGCTCATCGACAAACACATTGAGGACGGGCTCACGGCCGACGACATCGAGCTGCCGGCGCAACTGGGCAAGAAAACGACCAAGGAGGAACGGGTGGCGTTGGCGCGCGAGGGCAAGCCCGGCCGCGAGGAGCACAAGTCCACACAAGCCATCCGCCGGGCCAAGAAGGACGCCGAGGGCAAGAGCACGACCAACAAGGAGAAGGCTCGGAAGAAGAACTTTTTGATGACTATCGGCAAGGCCAGGGCAAAGAACAAGAGGAGTCTGGTCGAGACGAGCAAGACCATGAGAGCGCATATTGCGAGGAGTAAGAGTGGCGGTCGAAGAAGGAATGGAGTATAATCGGTTGAGCGATGCCGAAATCTGTGTTTATTTGGTAGTACTCCCAATACCCACCTAACCTACTCGACCTTGATGGGCCCATGGACCTTTTTCTTCTTGTGGCCTAGTGGTGAAGAATTCGTTCTTATACTCCTTTCCTAGAGGCTATGGATATGCGAAGATCGTATTCCGCAGCGCGTCCGGTACCGCGAAGAATGTTGTGCACAGGCCCGAGAGTACGGCGTCGGCAAAAGAGGCGGAGAGGAGGGAACGGGGGCTCAGGGGTCAGGACCTAAACTCGCCATAAAGGAGTGCCGGACACGTAAACATGCAGGCCCACTTCGAAATCGGCTGGCATAACTTGCTGAACGGCATAGTTATCACATTCAACCTACCCATACAGTATACCTCACAAGCGAGCAAATCCTATGGTGATTCTCACACGGACAATTTGTCCTAAACCGCATTGTCTCAGGCATTAAGCGCTTTGGAGAAGGCAGTAAGAACTCACGTTCCGACCCACAGGATGCCCAGAATGTAAAGTAGTTCACTTTGACCATGTCCGGGGCGGTTATCCCATCCGCTGATGTAAGGGTTTCACTCCGCCTCATTCTACCATCTAGGGCCCCTGGCAAAAGCAGGGCGCTCGCTTCTAATCACGATTGAAACGTTGCAGACCCCTGCTTACGAGCCATGCAGTTCTTTTTAGCATTGGAGGGATCGTAGCTGGAAACTGAGAGTGACGTCTATCGTGGCTACATGTAGCCACCAACCGCAGAAAAGGCACCGAGAAAACAACCACGAGAGAGCACGCATGAATTTCGCAATCCAAATAAAGTTGCAACTACCATACAGACGGCAACATCAGTACACGCACACCCCGCCCCGACATGCACTCAAAGCCAAAGTCAGGTCTAGAGAGGTTGATTCTCTGAGAGAGAAAATCCTCCAGCAGCCAGCGTCACCCAAGCTCAGCAAGGGTCTGGCCACCACTTCCATCCCGGACTGCCGGGCGGAATGTGCCGGTCCGCGGCGGAGGTGGTCGAGGACTGACTGCCCGCTCCCTGCTTCTTCTGACCCCACTGTTGCCGCTCGGGGAGGTCCATGTGTGGGGAGGGGGGGTGTGATGGGGTTTCTATAGGGTGGGGAAGGGGGGGCTGGGGTTGGTTTTGGGGTATGATGGTTGGTATTTATTTAGGTAGGTTTATAGGGTATGGAAGTTGTGTTGTTGTTTGTGCTGGGATAGGTTCATGTTGTTAAGCTTCAGGTTGGAACGGAGTGGTGGGGAGGGTTGACATGTACCGAGGGGTATAATTAAGGTACTTTAGTACCAGCCGGGGTTCGTTAGTTTCCTGCGAGAGGCAAGGTAGGGAGCCAGCTAGTAGGGAGATCATGGTGGAGTCTGCCACGGCTGGAGTTGGTGAGGGCCGTTGAGGGTTCCGCTGTAGGGCATTTAAACTCGGCTAAGGAAATGGAAACGAGTGGGTTACGGCTACATAGGCGCGCGATGTGTTTGCCCGAATGGGAAGTTTCATGCCCTTTAAGGAATCTACCGCCCGTACACATGGCTGAATTGGCGTTCCGGAGTCAATCCAGTCTACTGGCCGTTGCATATCTCGCCACGTGCTCACCTATTCAAGTCTAAATCCATACGTCAGTCCCCAGCGGAGTAATTTATAACTGGAGCGGTTGTATGGAATGTTTCCCTGGAAACATGACGTCCCTCCCTGGGATGCTATATCCGGAACAGCTCCATATTGCAAGCTTCCCAATACCTGGTTTAACTACTCCGGGGTTGCACGACCCAGTCTAGACTTCATCTAGGCCCAATATCATTTTCCCAGCAACCAGTTACCCCGGATCCGGTTGCCGAGGTTCTCTGCCGAGGTGCATCGGTTCCGGGGATTCGCAGCAGGAACTAATTTATGCTACGCAGATAAGCTCCGATCCTGGGTTTGTTAAGCGGCTCAACCGCACACGAGGTTGCGTCGTGCAATTTACCCGCCTTAGCGGAGCATCGGCCTCGGGACGGACGCCAAAAGGGGAAATAATCCAGAACAACTCCGTGCTTTCTTGGCCGTTTGGGATGATCTTGACTTGCCGATCGCATTGCCATGGTTCAGGGCTTCTCGGTAGTGGAAAGTTGAAAGAAAAGGAGACAGAGTGGAGACGTCGAGGGCCAACGCGTCCATGTAAGTGGAATTGTAGTATATATCGCCGAGCAAGCGCCGCCGACGCCGTCTATCTTTGGTGGTTCATCAAGCCGTCTTCAGAAACCTCTTCAACCAGACCTGAATCGGCCGCCATGTTTCTTCGGACTTTCCTTGGGCTCGCCGCCACGGCGGCAACGGGCCTCGCTGCCTCGCTGCAGCAAGTGAACAGCTTCGGCGCCAACCCGACCAACATCCAGATGTTCATCTACGTCCCGGACAAGGTGGCAGCCAACCCGGCCATCATCGTCGCGGTAAGCAAGCGCCGCATCCATCCCACACCCACACCCACACCCACACCCACACCCACACCCGCGCCGCGCCGTGCTGACAAGCGCAACGCACCGAACAGCTCCACCCCTGCGGCGGCAGCGGACAGCAGTGGTTCAGCGGGACCAGGCTCCCGTCGTACGCCGACAGCAACGGCTTCATCATAGTGTACCCCAGCACGCCGCACATGAGCAATTGCTGGGACGTGCAGAACCCGGACAGCCTGACGCACGGCCAGGGCGGCGACGCGGGCGGCATCATCAGCATGGTCAACTACACGCTCGAGAAGTACAGCGGCGACCGCGACCGCGTCTACGTCATGGGCTTCTCGTCCGGCGGCATGATGACCAACGTCATGGCCGGCTCCTACCCGGATGTGTTTGAGGCCGGCGCCGCTTATTCCGGCGTTGCGTTCGGTTGCTTCCAGGGTAAGTCCAATCATGTGCGGCAGAGCACCTAAAACATTGGCAAAAAGATGGGAATTTGAGACCAGCAAGAAATTTGGCCATCCCCCATCCACAGCGGCTCAGCTCCAGACAGAGCAGACCGGCCACATCACCCTTCCCCCCCCTCTCCCTCCTCCACCCTTCCCATCCTTCCCACCCACCAAAACCTCGGCGGGTTTCTTTCCCATCTCCCAGCGGAAAAATAGAACAGAACAGCCCCAAAAAAGCACATACTCCAGAACCCAATCACTAACCCGGCACCCCCACCCCCCTACAGGCGCCCCCTCGGCCACGCCCATGAGCCCGAACCAGACCTGCGCGCAGGGCATGCAAAAGACGCCGCAGGAGTGGGGCAACCTGGTGCGGAACGCGTATCCGGGCTACACGGGGCGGCGGCCGCGCATGCAGATCACGCACGGCCTGGCCGATGGCCTGGTGCGGCCCACGTGCGGCGAGGAGGCCCTCAAGCAGTGGTCCAACGTTTTGGGTGTCGAGTACACCCGTGATGTTGCCGGCGTGCCGTCCAGCGGCTGGACCCAGAAGCTGTATGGTGGTGATGGTGTGAAGGTGCAGGGGTTCATGGGCCAGGGCGTGGGCCACGCGCCGTCGGTGAATGAGGAGCAGCTGTTGACGTGGTTTGGGATCTTGGGTGGGGGTGAGAATGGTGGTGGTGAGAATGGCGGTGGAAATAACGGCGGTGGTAACAACGGTGGTGGCGGTGGTGGTACTGTCGCGCTCTGGGGCCAGTGCGGTGGCAACGGGTATAGCGGTCCGACTGGTTGTGCCCAGGGTACCTGCAAGGTGCTGAACGAGTGGTACAGCCAATGCACTCCTTGAGTGGTGGGGGATGTTGCCTGTTCACCGGGTTGAGCGGGACGTCAGCTTTCTTCAGAGGCAGTCTATGGATGGGCTCTAACGTGTGGAATAACTCTCGCGACCGATTCTCGTTGGGAGTGAAACAAGCTGGCTTCTGATACTGATCTGGCTTTAAAGACAATATGTCAATTCGTTAGCCTGCGTCCTCAAATCAAAACCCCTGACTTGCTCTCCGCTGCCCGATTGCAATTCGATCTATATGTCGTATTTGGTTGCATTAGGTTCCACTTGTCACCGAAGCGTCTACGGGAACTACCTGCTAGGTAGTACTCAGCATATTGGGGGTATGCTTAACTCGGGCCTGTCTTCATTACAAATGCTTACTCAGGGCCCCCCAACAAGAGCCAACAGGCAGGAGCACCACCAATTTCAGCAATCTGGCTCCCTCACCATGATTCCAAACCTCTAGAGAACATTAAGTAGGAACAACGACAAAGGTAGAAGCGGAAGAAGGGGGGCTGGCAGTGGAATGGACGTTGATGCCCTACTGCTTATGTCTTGATCGCGGACGCTGGTGTCAGGGGAGTGGGCGCAACTGACCACTACGTAACACCTCCAAAGAGGACCGTAGTTCGAACTGTCCAGTCGAACCTGGACTTGCGCATATGAACCACACTATTACAACCGTGACAGCTGGACTCTGTTATAGGTAACGGCTCAATAGCAAGACTAGGACTACTATAGCGTGTAATCAGTGGGGTATGTCCACAACTCAAACCCGATGTTCAACTAAAACGAGACGTCGAACTTCCGCTATACCAGGGCTCTTGTAATCCAGCTTTGGTCTCGGCGGTGTCATCGGGCCTGGGAGTGAGCTTGCAGGTGCCAACTTGTCATATGCTCTACCACGTGTTCCACTTCAAGGCCGATGGAAACTTGGCCATATGTAAGTTCTGCGTTACAACAAGGAGACTGTATTTATATTGGCGCAAGATCCTCGGTGAGTTCTTTTAAATGACACTTTGCACATGCGGGCCACAGGACGCCCGCTCAAACCCGAGTTCTGTGTAGTGAGTTCAAGCACCACCTGCAAAGACTTAAACCAGATGTAACAAACGTAGTTGGTAGAGAGGACATGATTTCAACGTGTATCGGATACCCTCCCTGCTTAATTGTTAACTTCACGGGAGCCATTTTCGAGTCTTAGGGAGACGATACCAGGGCCCAGTCGGTACGTAATGATCGAAGTGAGCAGTGGCTTTTTTGTCTCAATATGAACACCAGCCAATGTTTCCTCGCGTCTTTTTCGGGCGTATGAAAGCTGGGGCTCGGCGCCACTCTCTTTAAGGACGGCCCAGGCAGCAGTGTCCTCGATACGCGGCCGATATGGCCGGGTTTAGCTGCAACTGCGAAAGTCTGGGGTTATGTCGTTCTGCTCGGCACCGACAAACAGCGGAATATGGAGTCGCTGCAGTGAGACGGTCGTGTCTGCTAAGGAACTGTGACGCTGACGAGATTCAAGTTGGGACAGAAAACAGGCAGCAATTTAAAAGACAGTGGGCCTCGCGGCCGGTAATAAGTTGCTCTGCTCAAGCGAGTTGAGCAACTACGGCACAGCAAATGTTTTGAAACCGGCCACGCGACTGAGTTCTGCCGAAGGTTACGGTTGCATACGACGAAATGTGCTGCAAAGGATTGAATGCCCAAACAAACTCACCGAGATCACCAAAGGATGACTGTTAGGGACATGAAGCATCATCCACCAAACATATCAACTAATTTGTCAGAACTCGCCATGGAAAAATTCTCATTTCCTACCTCTTGATGGTTAGGTACTTGGAGTCAATCGTGCATTGCCAGCATTGACACTTCCAGCCACTTGAGAGCTTGCTGCCTTCGAATCGGACGGTGTAAACGATAGCACCAATCGGAGTAAGCCACCCGTACCCGATTGCTTGACCAAACATGTCGGCATCGGTGCCGATGGGTATGGTCAGACGAAACCATCCTCCCTCGCGTGCGCTAGCACAAACGCCACATTGGCGCTTTGTTTCCGAAGCTTCCGTTGCTACCCTGTGCCTTTACTGTCGATCACACGGGGTTCGATGGCTATATGTAGCGACGAAACAAAAAGAAGGATTGTTTGAGCTTCCCCAGGGGCTAAGACTCGTTGGCTATGAATGATGCGTGAGGCTGGACATCGCCGTTGACCCGGTATTCGAGCTGTTTGGTTGAGTTAGGTACCTTAGGTACCTACCTGCCTTATTGCCGGGCTCCATGTGCTTTCTGCAGATTCCAGGTTGCAATAATGAATGGAGTCGAGTGCTGGGAAAGGGGAGCGGGAAGGCCCGGGTGGGCTGGGAGATTCTGTCACGGCACTTGCCATGGCGGGCTGAATTCTGTTTGCTAAATTGCTGCCCGGGCGGCGCCTGTCTTGCTATGTGCAGGCGCCTCACCGAGCTGCCGGACTACCTAACAGAAGCCCACTTCAGGGAAGGGATAACCAGGAATCCAACCACGTTGCCTTCACTCGAGCATGTACCGCATCGGGTGGGTATCCAACGGCACCCGATTCTGCAGACCAAAAAAAAAGCGAAAAGCAGCCACCGAACTGTCGGATGTTGCTCTGCATCGTCTGCCCCCGCTCGTCCCAGTGCCCTCTCAGTGGCAGATGTATATCGCCTCGCTATCCCATCATTTGAATTCAATTGGGGGTCCTAGGTTGGTAATTAGGTATTCTGTGTTTGTTGGTTGTTGATCCCTTGATCGGCGGACTACCCGAGCAATCACTCATAGCTCACAGCCCAGCCTCGGAATCAAACCCGCTGGCACACTCCGATAGCGGCCATCAAGCTTGAATGCGGAACGCCCAATGATGTGCTCGATGTTTCTTTTCTTTCCTGCTCATGTGTGCAGCGTGCAGCGTGCAGCGTGCAGCATCCTAGTCCATCCCTTCAATTCCACCTAGCGACTAGGGCACCGCGCTTCATCGATCACTCGCTTCGGTTGAGGGAGCATCGAAGGAGGGACTCACAACGGCGGCAGCCTCGTGGCATTCATTCATCCGCGCCTGACAAGGCAGATGTGGAGGTCGACGGGCTCGCCGAGTCGGCCGTAAGTCCTTCTGGTGGGGAATCTGCCCTCGGTCATTCCGCTCCCCGCCCGTAGTTCGCCGACCAAACTCTCCAACCCAGGCCGGGACCCAGGCTCACCAGAGAAGCAAAGTTGCAAACAAACCCACCAGCCCACCACCGCGTCTCGAGCACAACATAATTCGCTCTCCCCAGAATGCAACACCGCGGCGTATGCACGGATGCCTTCTGGAAGGAAATTATTCATGCGCGCCAAGACGACACTTGTCAAATCCCGCCACCTTTCCCCGGCCGCTCTTCTTGCCGCCGCTCTGCTTGCCCAGGCCCGTCAGGCGTGCGAACCAGATCCCTGGTTCCGGGTTTCGGACGGGCGATCTGCATTCTCCCGTGGTATGGAAGATGACGAGCGTGGTGTCACTGGTGTGTGGTGTGGTTGGTGTGGTTGGCAGGCAGGGGGGTTTTTCTCCCTCCCGCATGTGCCGCCGCCAGAAGTGTCAGAACATTGAAGCCCGGAAAACCTTAGCTTCACCAAGCTGGAGCCATGCATGCGACGCTCCCTCAAGTCCCTCCCCGCATTGGCCACATGGCTGATGGGGGTGGCACTAATGCACTTATTGGTTCTTGATGGCCCTGTGGGCCAATGTTTCACCTGACGGCACGCGTCTCTGCGACTTGATGTGGACAGTGGGGGGACAGCATTGGGCGGCACGGTGGGCTCTCGAGGCGTCTGCGCCGCCCTCCCCATGCAGGGGCGTCGTGTTGCCGCACCACCCACCCAAAGAAATATGCATGGAAGCTGCACAGAAGCCTTCGGTGCATATGACTTTTTATACTTATTGTGGTACCTGCGCCGCCCACATCCCACCAGCCGAAACAGAAGTACATCGGCATCAGCACTAGCTGCCCATCGTCCTTCAGCCAACACCCCATGTCCGCTTCACTCGCCGCCAAGCCCGCCCTAACGCCAAAGTGCTGATTCCCTCCAAGGTTTCTGGAGCCGCTCCCCAGATGCATCATGGGAAACAGGGGTACGTCTTGTGCTCGATACATAGTCTCGGGCTTTCTGCACATTCCATGGCGGAATAAACTCACGGAATTGCCCGTTGGCAAACACGGGAGGACGGGTCCCTTCGCGAGCCCTGTCTGGACACTATGCCTGTCAACCGTCGTGACTCGGCTCCGGCCTGGTCAACATGAGGTCGTCCTATCTCGATGCGGTATATGGAGCACGTGGCGGCATCGATGGTTATCACGAGATGCCGCCCTCGCTAACTCCCGCCAATCGTCCTTCACCACCTCCTCAACCCCCAGCTCCGTCGAAATGGCTTCCCCGCCGGCCTCCACGACCACCGGACCGACCCCCTCGGGCTCCAGGATAGGGCGGCCACCCCAATGGACGGTGTCTCGGTCCCGAAAGCTAGCCCGGCTCTATCTCTACTCCACGCTGTCTATTGAAAAAATCATTAAGGTGCTTGAAGACGATGGCTTCAACCCGAGGTGCGGGCGTTCGTTCGGTGGGGGCTAAGGAGATCCGAGGCTGACTCGCTACTAGGAAGAACTCGGCCCAGAAAACCATCCATAAGATGCTTGACAATGATCCCCGGTACCTACGTCCCGAATCGCGCGCCGAGATGGGAAAACGGATCAACAGCCTTACCACGTCCCCCACGCGCCGGAAAAAGAAGGGAGTCCAGGACCAGCGCCTGGCAGCAAGACGCGGTTTCAGAGAGGTAAACTTTGCTTTGGTTCGGTGGCTTTTATATAACCCCGCTAACCGTTTGGTGTGGTAGGAAGAAGCTATGCTTCCCGGCTCGGAGGTAACTTCCCCTTCCGGACTCAGCGTCAAGGCTGAAGACCCTCCCGCGTTTGACTACTCGACCTCTCCCGATGCCTCCGGTCTTGGCAATTTCAAATTCCCATCCAAGGCCCAGGACACAACGGGGGCAGACAAGGAAGCCTACTTAGTTGGGGTGCAAAACATAAAGCGAAGAGTTTCCGAATGCTCGTCCCATTTCGCCCTGCAGCTATCATCCCTGATCAAAGACTTTACAATTTCGATCTGCTCTGATGGCCAATCTTCTGGACGCCGCGCCTCGGCAGCGTTCAGCGAAGGGTCAGACCCTGGGGAGCCTCCGGAGTTGGAAACTGTCCCGGAACCCTACGAGTCTTTTCCCGACCCAGGGTTTGCTCTTCCCGGGGATTTTCTCTCCGCCCACACCAGGAGCTGTGCCGACTTCCCGGGTCAGCGGCATGGGGCGGGTGATTGCTGGTGTTCCATCGCCGAGGAAACCGCTGCGGACGAGTATTCATGGGTGCTTCCAGGGGGTGAGCTCAGCGAGAGAACGCGGCGTGTTCTCCACCAGCCTTTGTTAGGAGACTCCAGTCTGCGAGACAGCTGCGGGAACACGCCGTTACACTTGTTTGCGGCATTAGAAGGCACCCAGGATATACTCGGCAGGATGGTGACTAATTGCGAAGGGGGGCGTTTGGCAGCGGTCAACAGCGCCCGCCAGACATTCCTCCACGTCTTAAACCTCGATTGGTTTGTGGATGTTTCCGCTTCCTCCCCATTAGCCCGGCTACTGGCCCATGTTCAGGATGTTTGCCCAGGGCTGGTTTACGAAACCGACGTTTACGGCCGAACGTTTTTTCACCGCGCTCATTCCCTCATACGGGACCCATCGCTCCTCGCCAGCCTTATCTCTCTGTTTGATCCCGTGCTCGCCTCACGCCGCGGATGCATTTGGGTTCAACCCCGTCCCCGACACCGACCCAGCTAACCAAAGCCCATACATTCCACCCCGGCGGACCGGCAGCCTGTCTCCGCAGGTCGAGGACCTCGCGCGTGCTAGCCCAAACAGCCAGCCCAACTCCTCTGCCTCCGAAGGCTCCTTCTTAGCCTACCACGCCCGCCTCGTCCAGGTCATCCAGTCCTCCTACAACAACCCCACTGTCGAGGACGCCGACGGCCGCAACGGCTTGCACTGCCTGGCACAAGCCATCCTAAACCAACAAGCCATGGACCGCCACGTGCGCTCTTCCTCCTCCTCCTCCGCCGGCGGCCGCCCACACCTCAAGCGAAAACTCGACGCATCAAAAGACACACCTACCCCCTCACACACCTCCCCCACCCCCGTCGGAACCCCCACCGCAGGCAACGCCACAACAACAACAACCAGCTCCACAGAAGGCACGCTACCCACCCGCCTGCGGCACCTGCACTCGCTCCTGCACCGCTCGGTCGCCGTCTCGGTCGCCCATTACGACCGCCGCGGTTACACGCCGCTCATGGCCTTTGTCGAGCACGTCGCCGACGACCAGGACGACAAGGCCCGCACCCTGCAGGCCATCCTCGAGACGCTGGTGCGCGCGGGCGCCAGCATCGAGGCACGTAACCGCCGCGGCGAGACACCACTGCTCATGGCGGCAAGGCTCGGGCGCAAGGTCGCGCTGGCCACGCTGTTGGAGTGTGGGGCGAATGTCCATGCGAGGGATGTGGATGGGCGGGGCGTGCTGGAGGTGTTGGATGCCGAGGTGGGTGGGGAGAGGGCCAGGAAGGAGGTCGGGCTGTATGCGCGGTTGGAGGCGTGTCGCGTGCTGTTGACGGGGAGGAGGGAGTGGGGGGTGGGGTACGTTAATGGTGGTGTGGGTGGTAGTGGCGGTGGTGGTGGCGTTGGTAGGGTTGGGGAGGGGGCGGTAATGAGAGAGTGGAGAGTGAGAGAACGGGGGTAGGCCGGGTGTTGCGGGTACAGTGTACATGGATTGGTATGGTTGTTGGGCTAGATCGGTTGTACATATACAGATTTCTTTCTTGTTTAGATGCGGTTAGAGATGTTGTTGTAATATGATATCATTCGCAGAGGCTGTCGGGGTCCTGTTATGTCGGTGGGATCCCTTTGTGTCCGCTGTAACCCGCTAATGCTTATTAGGCTAGACATTGATTTAGGCGCTGTTGTGAGTTAGGGGTTATTTACAATTGACGGCTGGCTTTCACCTACCCCTGGAACCATCAGACGATTCAGGCTCACCTGAATTCGTCCAGGGTATCCTCGCCGTCGGATGCCATCACTGAGATTTCGACCCGATCGTAAACAAAGCCCCTGACATTTCGCCGTCCTCTTCCAACCCCCCCCCCCACCACCCCCCTTGGGAGCTCCTGTCCCTCCAAAAGCGCCCAGTGAACTGATCCCCGAGCAGAAACGTTTAAAGTAGCTCCTAAAAGCCGACGGCCCCTTATGCCTTTCTCGGCCCCTGTCAGCTCACCCGGCTCAGCCCAGCAAACCCCCTATTCGCCAATCCCGCCCCTCCCAGCCATGGCTTCCCCTTGCCCTCGTTCGCTTGGCTGGCTTGGCTGGTCGCCTTAGCGGCTTAGCCGGACCCCTTGGCCGCGCGCGTTCCACGCCGGAAAACTCAAATTCGACCTTCGCTCTCACGCGTCCGAGCGAGTCGACCCCTGATCTGGTCTCATCCTCCACCGTCCATCACCACCACCGCCACCATTGAGTTATCCCGTCCATTTCCCGCGACACGCCCGATCGCGAGGACGCTGGGCCATCTTTTCCCCATC